AGGGAGGTGGATGATTATTATTGTTGTATCTCCTTCATTCACCCAGGCTGGCTCACCCCACCCCTCCAGTCTAAATCGGCTTCTCCTTTATCTCCCTACCAATTACCGGCCCGGCTGAAGAGTTCAGGGTGGCAAGTGGGGCCCCCGGTGCCACCGTTATTGGATGCGCCGGGCAGCGACTTGGCCAGGATGAGCTCTACGCTTAACCCAGAAGGGGAGCTTCAGCAGACAGAATTTTTTCATGGCCAAACTTGGTTGGCTCTTATCGTCTCACGCATCTCCGATTGTTCACTAAACATGGGGGAGGTTTATGGGTAACCGCTATACGTCAACCACGGGAACTGCAACGCGAGGGAAGAACTGCAGGTTACATGGTGGACAACACGTCGTCGTTCCTGGAATGAAAATCTCGCCATAAACCTGCTGTACACAGACAGTATCAGCTCACAAACCGAGGCTACGCCAGGAAACCCTCGGATTCCGATCTAGGGTCCCGACACATTTGCCGGCACATAGCCTTGGGAGGCAAATAATCAAGAGCAAACAATAGTGGAAGATCAGTCTACGGATCTACCGCTGGGGGAAGCTGAGTCGTGCACAGTGGGTATGTATGCTCGGAGAACATCCACCAGAGAGCCCACCTTCACACGCTAGAGTCCGACCTGGTGGATTGGCGTGGCGAGACCACAAATATCCAGATCGAACGTCAGATCGACGCTATGCGAGGACTAGAATCCGAAGAAATTTCAATTCCTTGCCTTTTCCGGGGAGCGTCGCAGGGACAGTCTACGTGCACGGATCGTCATCGGCACCAGTGACTATTGCCCTCTGGAAGAAAAGTGAAGGACGGACCCACTTTCAAATCCCTCACCCTTTATGCGCATAGTCACATCTCCGATTTTATTGCTCCTGCGACCCACGGATGGACCCCACGATCTATACCCCATGGAGAAGGTTGATTCCTGATAACTCAGGCCATTCCGCCGGATGGAGTAGGAAGACCTGGATAAAACTTAGTTGCTTCTACCACCTTTCCCGAATAGTAATCTTACAAGGTAAATCGTTCTGCCAAGCAACCAGGTTCTCTGGTTCTTCAAAAATACAACCTGACCTCATCCTCCGGGATTCCCCCTCCAGGCAACAACTAGCTCTCCTGGGAGGGCCCTCTTTCAGCCTGCAATCGACTTTGAACTGCATAGAATACCGCACACTATCACACTTTCCTGAGGCCGGAATCATCGGACTTACCCTCCTACGGAAGTCTGGAGTCAAGTAAACGTCCTCCGCGACCCTGAGGGTGCCCGTCTTGATCAGTTTAGTAGAGAGATTAGTTTTTGTCGATCAACTACCGCTCACCAGAGCTGAAAAATAGATCGGCAGTACCTACCTGGGACAACCATTGGTCTATTGGTCTACTGTAACGGATACCGTCCGATCAGTTTCCCAAGGGAAACCTTAAATCCACTTCAATGCAAACTTTCGACCCAAGGTTCGAACAGTCTCCATCCCGTTTCTGTGGAACAAGCCTTGATTGGAGACCCTTACCGAAGATCGGACTGTTCACCTATGATAAGTGGGGTACTTCGATATCCCAGGAGAGAGCCCAAACTTACTTATCAACGCCCTGGCGGCTAAGCTCTTGGTCCCTGTTCCAACCACTTCGGATCGAAGTGATCGCCGTCGGCATATGCATGGCTATCGGACCATCGGAAAGCCTGTACGCCCCTTCATTTAAACCCCCGCTGGTCTTATAAGATGTGGGTATTGCCTCGCTCATTGAACGATCGCCCTGTTAATCGATTTATTGCAGGTTGTTGAGTCGTGACAGTATGTCGGGCCTGGGAGGTGACTTTGGTCGCCGCTTTGCCCATGAGACATGGGCTCTTTATGCAGTTGGTGTACTAGGAGTTATCCTGCGATTGTGAGTCCCTTTATCCGACTGCCACCGCGGAAAAGACCGAATACTAACCTGGAATTCAGTACTGCGCGTATTCGCCGATTAGGAATTCGGAATCTCCAAGCCGATGACTTCTTGATGGTTAACGCCCTCATCTGGTACACGATCTTATGTGTCGCACTCAACCAAGTCGCCTCTGGAGGGGGCTCGAATCTGATGACGGAAGAAGAAAAGAAAACGCTGACCCCTGCTATCCACGCGGAACGAGAGCGTGGGAGCAAATGGGTTTTCGTGTCGGAGCATGCCTTTATCCTCGCCGTCTGGAGCTTGAAGTCTTGTATGCTGGTGATCTACGCTCGTATCACGTACGCGAACTCCCATACTCTTTTTTGGCTCTGTTGCTAACTTCTTAACAGAGAGGGACTCAAGCAAAGGAAGTGGATTAACTATCTTGCTGTCTACGTCGCCCTCGGATTTGTCGGAACTGAACTGTCATTATTCCTCATCTGCCGGCCGCTCTCGAACTACTGGGCCGTTCCAACACCAAATTGTGAGTGGCTAAATGAACAATGCATTCAAGTGCCATTACTGACCGGTATATTCAGATCAATGCTCGTCCTATCAGTACTACGAAATCGTCCAGGGCTGCTTGTCCATCTCCGCCGACGTCTTCATGCTCGTGATCGCCATCCCAATGCTAGTCCAAGTCCGCGTGCCAGTCAAGCAGAAAATGATTCTTCTCGTCCTCTTCGGCATGGGAATCTTCGTCATTGTCGCCGCCATTCTGAACAAGGTGTACTGCCTCGTCCCTTGGCTGATCTCTTACGTCTACATGAACTGGTACTTCCGGGAAGCCACCGTAGCCATCCTGGTGACCAACCTCCCGCTGATCTGGTCGCTTATGCGCGACGTTTTCCCGGCACTCAAGAGCTGGACCGGTGGCTCGAAGCGTGGCACCGATCGCTATAAGTCGGGCCCGTGGACTAGCAACAAGGGATCGGGTCTGCCTTCATATGGAGCGAACACTCAGCTTCGGTCTGGCGACTTCGGAATGCATGACTTCCACGGTGCCTCTATCTCGCCGCAATCACCGCAGAAGGCAACTGTGTCCGATATCAGTCTGGCGCCCACCGAGGAGCGCTCTATCAGCGACGATGGATCGGCGCGCGCTCTGCGCATCCAACAGGACATTACGATTACTGTCCAACACGACACAAGGCCGGAAACCTTCGAGCCCAGTACTGCGCATATTACCCGAGGGGATGATGAGGCTGTGTAGCCTTTTCAAACCACCCCTCTCCCCCCTATTACTTGTCATGAATAGACGGATTCCATGTGGCCTAATACCCTTTTTGTCCTTTTCTCCTGTACATATTTGCACCGGTTCTTAAATATCTCATTTTGTTTAGAGGGATAGAGGAGTTACAACATTTGCAGCATTTTCCGATCAAGGACATTTCTCCGAGTCGACCCATAAACTTTTGTAGGCTACTTTACTAAGTTACTCCCGGCGATCTCCTCCTACCGGACAAACACCGAATGTGGTTCCAACTTGATTGGAGAGTTATTATGGAGCTCTCTTCTAGAAGGCTAGAAAACTCAAAAATCCCTATGACTGATAATTCCCGATCGACTAATTATTCGAACGATCGAATAATTAATAATGTACTGATACTCTTAATGATCCTGTGAGGGGCACTAGACTTGTCCCCGGTTCAACCTATTCGAGCGAAGATCAGTCTCCACTGGTACTTGATTTCCCTTTCATCCGGCAGCTGCGGTGCCAGCTAGTAAAATTAACCGCCATGTCAATCCGCATCGACCGATCCATGGCTCACACAAACTACCATCCCAGCACTCCATCGCGGAGGAATAACGAGTTGATCCCTGGAGTCCGGAGACGGCTGTTACGCTGATCATGGCTTTGATCTCCTATCTCCCCCCCCCGCCCTCCTAGACAGTTCAAAAAATTTTTTTGAATTTTTTGAATTTTCATCACGCAGGGCCAAGAAAGCCGGCTTAACTTTCGTACTATTTAATCAATCTAAACCCACTCTGCTCTCGACTGAGTTTCGGTGACCCACGGCTGTTCTAGCACGGTCCGCTTACTCTTCTTGGCCATCAGTCTCCGAGATATCCAAGTCGACCCAGCATGGATAAGATGGTGGTGGGCCGAGGACAGCTGATGATCTCCGATTTCGCAATTGCGCTGAATCCGGTTTCTTGTATACTTACCCCAGTATAAACGCCGATTCGGGGATCATTCCAGTAGAATTACTGACTGGGTCCTCCCGTGATCAGGCCTCGCGAGATGATTGGGCTTGCGGAAGGTCCTCCCAGTCGGGGCTGGCATAGTTAGAACCTTATGCGGGCGACAGGGATCTTGAAAGTTCTCAGGTACTGGCAGAAAGCCACACATGTAATCCAGTTGGAAACGACTTTGCGATTGTTCAACTGCACTAACTATGATACTCGTCGCAGGCTACTTGTAATAAATACTGACATCTGTTAATCAATAAAAAAACAAAAGATTCCTTTCATATCACAAGCACGTGATGGACTTTCTCAGCAACACCTTTTATACTAGCCTTAAAACTCGGATTAAGGTGATAGGAACAACATGACGGATTATGACCAGGCAATCAATGTCTGTACAGCCAATCTCTAGAGGACTGGAAGAACTCTATGTAGTCATATCGGCGGCCGCTGATACCATTGGAAGTGAGACAGTTCAGAAGTTTCTAGGTAAGATTGCCTGATCACAAAAGCCGTATTCGGTACACTCCGTCATTGCACTGTGATAGGCAAATCGCGGTTCCAGTGATAACCCAGGAATTTGGAAGCTGTAACATGAGGAACAGAGAGATTCTTGAGAGAACACTAGACCAACTAAGTGATGAGCTAGAATCTGAGGTAAAAGGCGAGTTTGGAACTAAAGTAGCTCTTTATGCTTGACGTAGCTAATGAACCCTTTGTGCAGCGCTGAGTCAGCCCCCACCACCGAAGAAGGCGGAATGTTCGATGGGAGATTTTTTTGCCCGATAAGAACTGATACATCTTTCGTTGCTCGACATTCCTTTCACAGCCCCACGACCCATCTACGATGTCCTCTGACGCCACCGATACCACTGCGCCCCAGTCGCAGTTCCAGAAGATCGGCGATCTAGTCGAGCAAAATGAGGACACCGGGGTTATGAGCGTGGAGAGTCTCTGCATGAACTGCCACGAAACCGGAACGACCCGTCTGTTGCTTTTGAAAGTCCCCTTCTTCCGCGATGTCATCCTCGAGTCCTTCGAGTGCCCACACTGCCATTTCAAAGACAATTCCGTCAAGTCGGCTGGTCAGATCCAGGAGAAGGGAAGCAAGTACACGTTGGACGTGGAGAACGAGGACGATCTCCAGCGCCAGGTGATTCGCAGTGATGTGTCCATTTTCAAGGTGGAATCGCTGGGTATTGAGATGCCCAAGGGCGAGAGCCAGCTCACTAACATCGAGGGTGTCATAATGCGCATCCACGAGTCGCTGGCAAGCGAGCAGCCCCTTCGCAAAGTGCAGGCCCCCGAACTCCACGACGCTCTCGAGCCGATCATCCAGAAATTGAAGGCTATCCTGGATCGCAGCGGTTTCCCTTTCACTGTCTCCCTCGACGACCCGACGGGTAACTCTTGGATCGCGCCCAATACAACCGACCGTGGCAGGAAGTACCGCCGTACTGAATACCCTCGTACCGCCGAGCAGAACGAAGAGCTGGGTCTCGCTTCCGACCCCGAAACCGGCAAACATGAAGGAGTCCCAATGGCCGAGACCGAGCTTGATGAGTCCGAAATCGTTGATGGACAAGTCTACACTCTCCCCGCGCACTGTCCAGCCTGCACCAAGCCCTGTGTGGTCAACATGAAAAAGGTATGCTCTTTTAGCCTGGCAAGCTAATCGAACGGTTATTAAGTGATGATTCCAGGTCCACATTCCATATTTCAAAGAAGTTTTCATCTGGTCGACCGTATGCGACGGAACCCTTATCGACGGCCAAACGGGTCAAGGCGAAGGTGGAGGCTGCGGATACAAGAGCAACGAAGTTAAGACCGGTGGCGAAATCCCAGAGAAGGGCAGGCGGATCACTCTCAAGGTGGAGAACATCGTCGATCTGTCTCGAGACATCCTCAAGTCCGACACCTGCGCGCTGTCCAGCCAGGAACTCGAGCTCGAAGTGCAGTATGTATTCCATTGATCTATCTAAGGAAACTGAAGCTAACAGCAAAACCCAAGACCGGGAACTCTGGGTGGTCGCTTCACTACAGTAGAGGGTCTCCTAACTGAGATTAAGGAGCAATTGTCCTCGAATCTCTATGATATCGAAGATGTGGGCCACGCCGGCGGTGACAGCATGGCCAGTTCCGAGAAGCAGAAGTGGGACCGCTTCTTCGCCAACCTGGACTCCGCTATCTCGGGCGAGTTGAAATTCACCATCACTCTTCAAGATCCCTTGGCGAACAGCTACGTCCAGGATCTGTGTGCGCCTGCGGCGGATCCGCAGATCACGACTGAGGAGTACACCCGCACCGACGAGGAGGAGGATGACCTTGGCTTGAAGGACATGAAGACTGAAGGGTACGAGGAGGAGGAGCAAAAGTCATGATTTGCAGATGCCATCGGTCACGATACATACCTTTCTTCTGTCTTGGGTCACGATCTACAAGCGATGTCTATTTCATGATGCATGAGACGCTTTTCCTTGCTTCTCGCCTGGTTCTTGCATGATGGCGTCTTCTCTATGCTTTAGTTTTTATTTGTTACATAGATATCCGGTTGTTGTAGGGGAGTGAGTTATGAAAAGTTAGTGTTGTTTCATATTGATCCTCTATCTTTGTAATTACTTTTACATCAGAGATGATACGGATATAGACAAGTTTATCTTCGTTTAACGTCAAAAGAGTGTCTTATCGTGTCATGTTCATTACCTTTTTCAAGGCTTGGAGGGAGACTGGTTTAACGAGGTAGTCATCTAACCCCAGCAGAAGCGATGCCAGTGACAGCCATAATGCAAGATGCCAGTATTCCCTTCTCCTTTTCAAACAATCGAATGTTGCTTGTAGAATCGAGGCCATCCATGACAGGAATAGACAGATCTGAGAACGCTGGGTCAGATAAGTATGCTCGAAGACAACGTGAGACACTCACTCATTAGAACGTATGTGAAGTGTTTATCGGACTCCTTGTACTGATACAAGGCAAGCAGTCCATTTGAAGCCTTTTCGTAGCTGCGGTCCATTTTCCGAACAAAGGTGGACGGATCTGTGCACAAAACAATCAGCTTATGAAGAATAAGACGAAAATAGAGACAATCTAAGAGCGCAGGTGGTGACACCAATTACGGGACGTACTGTATCAAGTATACTTTTTGTATTAACAAGGTACTTATAAGTCCAGGACTATTATAGAAACAACGAAATAAGATATATGCAAAATCCCCAGCACCATGCCAAACCTCCAAAAGGAAAATCAAAAGCAAACACCATAAGTTCATAATCGATATGTCCAAAATGCATTCTTTGCGCTTTTATGCAGTGACCATGGAGGAGGAGCGGTTTACTCTTCGTAGAGATCCATGTCACCACTATTATCCTCCATCTCAGCAAGAGCATCCTCATCATCAATCATATCCTCGTCATCATCATCTTCATCACTCGAGTCCTGCTCATGATTAGGCAAGACTTCGATGTGGCCCTCGTGCATAACTACGCGAGCCGTCTCGCCATCCTTGATGCTGCCGCGCAGGATCAGCACCGCGAGACGATTGAGGACCTCGCGCTCAATGATGCGGCCCAGAGGACGCGCACCGTAGGCCGGCGAGTATCCCGCGGCGCCGAGGTAGTCCTTGACTTCTTCGGTACAAGAGATGAGCACATTGCGGCCGTTGTGCTCGAGACGTTTCTGCACTTCTGACAGGCGGAGGTCGACAATCTTCCGGATTTCCTTCCTGGTGAGGCGGTTGAAAACCACCGTGCTGGAGATCCGGTTCAGGAATTCGGGTAGGAAGTAGTCGCGCAGGGCGCCCATGACCAGTTCACGGGTTTGCGGATCGATGTGGCCGTCCTTGGTGGTGGGCCGGGAGAGGTACCCAGCACCCAGGTTGGAGGTCATGACGACGATGCAGTTCTTGGCGTCGACGATGCGGCCTTGGCCGTCGGTGATGCGTCCGTCGTCCATGAGTTGCAGCAGGACAGTAAGAACCTCCTTGGCAGCCTTCTCGACTTCGTCGAATAACAGGATGGAGAAGGGGCGGCGGCGCAGATTCTCCGTCAGCTGGCCACCGGCATCGTGACCAACATAGCCGGGCGGTGCGCCGATCATTCGGCTGAGCGAGTGTCGCTCTTGGTATTCGGACATGTCGAACCGGATCATCGCCTTCGGGTCGTCGAAGAGGAACTCGGCCAGCGCCTTGGTGAGCAGCGTCTTACCCGTACCGGAAGGACCGCAGAACAAAAAGCTCGGGGGCGAGTTGGGGTTGCTAAGTCCCGAGCGCTGCAGACGAATTGCATTCGAGACCGAAACCACGGCCTCCTTTTGGCCAATGACGATCTTGCCCAGATATTTCTCCATGTTGAGGAGCTTATCCTTCTCAGTGGTCTTCAGGCGTGTGACGGGGATACCAGTCCACCGGGCGACGATCTCATTGATCTGGTCGGGGCCAACTGCATCGGCCAGAAGAGCCTCGCCGGCCTCACCCTGCTGCGCGCGACGCTCCGCATCGGCCCGGGCGCGGTCAGCTTCCAGTCGTTCGATGAGCTGATTTGTTTCAGGAATGGCATAGTACTCGAGATCAGCAGCCGTCTGAGTGTCGCCCATGCGCTCAGCCTCGTCTCGCTTGACCTTGAGCGAATCGAGTTTGATCTTCGCGTCCTGGACCTCTCTGCTGCGCTGCTTCTCGCTCTCGTACTTCTCGCGCATCGGGCGCAGCTCCTCGGCGACGTTGGCGGCTTCTTGCTTGGCAGCCTCCAGCCTATTCTTGGACGCTTCATCCTGCTCACGCTCCAGAGCGTGGATTTCAATCTGGAGTTGCCGAGATTTCCGTTCCAAGGTATCGAGAGCTTCGGGTTCAGATTCGCGAGTCACACGGACGGCAGCGGCAGCCTCATCGACCAGGTCAACGGCGGAATCAGGTAGTCGACGGGCTGTGAGGTAGCGCGCGGCCAGGGTGGCTGCAGTGACGATGGCACCGTCCAGAATGTTGACACCGTGGTGGACTTCGTACTTCTCCTTCAGACCACGGAGGATCGAGATGGTTTCGGATACGGTGGGTTCCTTGACCAGGACTTGCTGGAATCGTCGCTCGAAAGCCTGGTCCTTCTCAATATACTTGCGGTATTCACCGAGAGTGGTTGCGCCGATGCAGTGCAGCTGGCCGCGAGCGAGCATGGGCTTGAGCAAGTTTGCAGCATCCATGCCGCCTTCGCCGCTCGACCCGGCGCCCATTAGCAGATGGATCTCGTCGACAAACAAGACGATCGTGTCTTTCGAATCTTCGATCTCCTTGAGGACGCCCTTCATTCGTTCTTCAAACTCGCCGCGGTACTTGCTTCCAGCAACCAAGGATCCCACATCAAGGGAAAGCAGCCGGCATTGGGCCAGGTTGGCGGGGATATCGGCGTTGACGATCCGGCGGGCCAGACCCTCGACGATGGTGGTCTTACCCACACCGGGTTCACCGATGAGGACGGGGTTGTTCTTGGTACGCCGACTGAGGATACGGATGACGCGACGGATTTCCTCCTCTCGTCCGATGACGGGGTCAATCTTGCCCTCACGGGCTAATGAAGTCATATCAATGGTAAACTTCTTGAGGTTTTCATTTTCGCTCTCCGAGTCTGCAGTCTTGGAGTCAACGCGGCGCGTGCCTCGGATCTGCTGCACGGCCGTGTCGATCAATTTGACGTTGGTGACGTTGGCATCGGCCAGAGCGCGCTGGACCTGGGAGTCCTGGGACACGGCCTGGATCAGGTGGTCAATGGCCACGAAGCTGTCCTTTTGGGTTTTGGAAAGCTCTGTGGCCGATCGGATCACTTTCGCCAGAGCGGGAGAGACGGCGACAGTCTCTGGTGGGGGGTCTTGACTTGGCAGTCGGACCAACATCTTCATCAAAGAGCGGTCGAGGAGCTGCGGATCGCCATGGGCCCGTTCGATGACCTGCCGGAAGAGAGGTGAAGAGGAGGCATCATGTGAGGAATGGCCGGCGGGCTGTTGTTGGTCCTGGCTCTCATCCGGGGAGGGGTTGAGCAGCGACACCGCCAAGTGCATGGGGAGGATTTGTGAGTGAGCATATTGTTCGGCCAGAGCGCTGGAATCCAGCAGGGCCTTGTTGGCGCGATCAGTAAATTGTGCACCGTTCATGGTGGATGATGGGAGAAAAGCGGGTGAGTGAGAGAGAAGTGAAGTCACCTAGTAATATATAGAGATACTATTGTATGAAGGCTCATGACGCAAACGAGGGCGTTCTACCGCCTTCCAGAAGCTGCGCGAAGTCACCTGATTCTTCGAGCTCGGTCACCTGATGTTATCACGTGCTGCGTTCATCCCCGCCTGGTGTTTGCCTTGTTTTGCAGCATTCCATGCTCTTCCGCCCGCCTTGGATCATGATGATGATGGGCGTCCGCCATGTCTCCACTCCCGGAGCTGGGTCGGGCTGCCCATGGGTGGAGCAGGAGGATACCTTGCTCAGCACGGGTGAGCGTCCCGCCGCAGTTGGCCCAATCTCACTAACAATGCTGTAGGAGACTGCCAGATGAAGAGATCCCGCACGCCGCACGCCTACGCCTGTCAGACACATCTACATACATCCCTTTAGTTGTAGCATGCCCATGCAATTCTTGTTCCGAGATTTCCCTCGATAGCCGCCGGTAAATCCCCCCTGACAGTGCATGACGTCAAGCGCGCCCGGTCCCAGCAGACCAGACAATGGATTATGGTTATTATCCGGGATCAAGATCTAGACCTCGGCCGAGATACATGGCTACATTTCACCCATTCGTGCCCTGTTTCTGCTGCAGCAGACGAATAATCGCGCAGTCTCACGCAGCTATGGCACCGAGACTTTCGCGGCGGAGAACGATCAGACCGTGGATACGCTCACGCCGTCAGGCTGGGCCCTGCTGCCCACTCGCAGTCCCCCCATTGGCCATGACAGGCTTTCGACGGGAAAAAATAGAAGCAGCAGGGAGGGGCTTGGGGCTCCGTGATTTGCCTAGGAACACAGTCGAGCCGATGCTATCGCTGTAGAGATGTAACCAGCCCACTTAGGTCGCTTTGGATGGAAACCGTCACTGGCGAGAAATATGGGTCGTGGAGACGACCAAGACCGGTAGCTTTAGCAGCCACCCGGTTTCTGTGCCTCGAAATCCGTAGTTTCCAGACTGTTCTTAGGCACTTGAGTATAAAAAACCCCGGTACCTGCCCGTGCTTCCCCGTTCTCACGCCATCTGGTTGACGGCTGAAGTCATCGCGCAACCCTCGCATTTGCTGGCGGGGCTTGCCATTCTTTGGCTTTTTATTGGAGTGCTACTACTCCAGCCCTATTCTGCCCTGTCTTCCTCCGTTCATCCATCCAGCCATCTTGCACGGATCCACGCAGGAACAAATTCTATTTGACCTATCTATTCTTATCTACTGACTTGCTACGTGCACGGTCTCACCATGTCTATGAAGCCGATCTTCGTGGCGACGCATCCGCGCGCCTGTTCGACAGCATTCGAGCGGGTACAGACCTACCTTCTTCCGCCCGGCTGTAGATTCACTCGTGGCTGACTGGGGACACAGGTCTTCATGACCCAACGGGACTCTATCCAATGTGTCCACGAGCCGTTCGGTGACGCCTTCTACTACGGCCCCGAGCGCCTCTCCGACCGGTTTGCCGAGGACGAACAGGCTCGGCTTGACAGTGGGTTCAGCCAGTCGACCTACGCCACCGTGATGGAGAGGATTGATCGAGAAGCTTCTGAGGTCCGACCCTTCTCCAACCTCTCTTTGCGTTCTGTTCTTGCTTTGTCGTAATCACCCCGCGTGTTCTGCACTGCGGAGCGGTGTATACCCTGCTTACATGTCCCCTTGCCTTGCTTTTGTCATACGTATAAAACCACGAAAACAAGCCATCGGAACCAGACGTGTTCGGAAGACCGTCGTTCCATCGCTTTTGCGTAACTCACGTGTTTTTTCTTGCGAGGGGATACTTACCGTGCGAGCAGGGAAAGAGAGTCTTCATCAAGGACATCGACCACTACCTGCTGCCGCCGGCGGGCAAACCCGCCAGCCCGGCTCCTTCGCTGCAGCGCATCAAGCGCGGCGTCGGCACTGCCAACGGCATCAACGGTCACCACCCGGCCAATGGCGTGAACGGTGCCGTCAACGGCTCCGGTCATGCCAATGGCCACTCCACCGCGCCGACCAACGGCGTCAACGGCACGGTGGTCAACGGTAGTGCCAACGGCGCTACCACCAATGGCACCGCCAACGGTGTCAATGGGCATGCTCATGCCAACGGCACGACCAGCAATGGGACTGCCAACGGCATCACCAACGGCGTCTCCAACGGCGCTGCCAACGGGGCCACCAATGGTGCTACCAAGCACGCCAGCAAGGAGCCTGTCCCGTACGACACGCTCCCGGAGCCAGGCAACCCGACAGTTATGCCGCGGCGGCTCCAAGAGCAGTTCCACTTCGCGTTTCTGATCCGCGACCCGCACTACAGCGTGCCGTCGTACTACCGGTGCACGATCCCGCCGCTGGACGAGGTCACGGGCTTCTATAGCTATGACCCCCTGGAAGCCGGGTACGACGAGCTGCGCCGGCACTTCGACTACCTGAAGCACGAGGGACTGGTCGGACCGCGGGTGGCGACGCGGCCGGAGTTGAGCCCGGAATGCGAGGGCAAGGACGATCCCACCGTCCACGAGATCTGTGTCGTCGACGCGGATGATATGCTCGATTCGCCGGCGAAGACCATCGAGGCGTTCTGTCGTAGTGTGGATATGCCGTATAAGGAGGAGATGCTGTCGTGGGACACGGAGGAGGACCATGCGTTTGCGTGCTGGGCGTTTGAGAAGTGGCGTGGGTTCCACAATGATGCGATCGAGTCCAAGGGTCTGGAGGCGAGACAGCATGTAAGTTTGTCTGGTCTGACAGGACGTAGAACGGGTGCTAACATTGCATTCTCCAGCCGCATGCCCTCAAGTCCGAGGAACAGTTCGATGCCGAGTGGCGCGAGAAGTACGGCGAGAAGGCTGCCCGGCTCATTCGCAAGACGGTCGACGACAACATGGCCGACTATCTGTACCTGAAGCAGTTTGCCGTGAAGGTGTAGGCTGCACTGCATGTCCCTGTATGTTATTCCTTCTTGAATAAAGGACACGTCGAGACAGGTGCATGTCATACATGTTTGAAATGGGAAGAATAATGTACCCGAGGAAGTGGAAGCAGCAGCGGAGGAGGAGGAAGAGGAATCGGGGCCAGGGGTCCAGCAAGCTTTTCTATTTCCCCCAGCACTCGAAATTGCCGCGAATCTCACGCTTTTTGACCTCTTTGACCGCTATTTTGGCTTCTTCACCCCCGGCATGACGACGCCGGTTCTCATTTTAGTCTGGATGACGCCATCTCGGCAGCTCTGTGTCCTGTCGTTTCGAGGGGCAGGGAGAGGTTCGAGGGTGCTTTCCTTCAGACAGAGTGTGCATTGGCTTGTCTTGCGTGTTTTTTGACGTCAGCGAAGTATTATTCTTGTGTTTGCGTGTTTTGTTGTTGCGTTGCATACCTCGACGGGGTGGGGATCGGCTTCGATCTGAGATGCTCTGATCTACTCCTCTTACTGCTCTGCCTTGCGTGTAATGACTGCGTTTGCGCGTTTTGAGTTATGATTTGCGTGTGGGGAGACTATCGGTATGATTATGATTAGTTACGGAATGAACTCAGCCATGTTACTTGTTGGATTCTGTTGCGTGGGTGTAGTAGTATAGTGCAGCACATGCGGAGTATAAATCCGGACTGGGGCAGTCCATAACCAGCTTCGGATTTCCAGCTCCATTGATTCTCCTGGTATTTTCGAGCCCCCGAAATAGTTTAGATGGTCTTTTGACTAGCTACTCCAATATCATACAATGATGTCCGTCCCTAGCAGTGCTACCAAGATTCATAATGAGACAGATTTTCAGAAGACAACTTTATGGATAAAATACAGCCTAGCGCTTGGAGTGGGTACATCCTAATCATCGAGAAGCAGAAGCATCCCACTATGTTCCAGTAATGGTAGTCCCTACAGAGCTCTCTGTATCTTCCACCTCTTCTAACCTAACCGAGCCAAACTAAACCAAACCCCCCGAAGCATTCGGCGCCATAAGTATGTCTACGGCACAAGAAAACAAATAACCATGCAACGATCTCCAAGTATAAGTAGGTAGCCTATATAGATGACCAAGCTGAAACACAAGAGAAGCCCGGCCGGTCGAAGCAAACCACCCTCCCTCCTGGGCCAAAGGGTTATATATCGCCGTAGAAGAAATACACACATACACAGAGGTCAAACAGACAAACACCACGGTCGGCACACTCAACTCAGACAGCACTATAGCCGCCCCGTGACCCCGTACCCTGGAGGGTATTGATCACGCGGCGCAGCCAGTCTTGGAAGATGTATGGGATATCGCGGATGGTGTCGCCGTGCGGGAGCAGGTCCCAGCCGCGGGCGCCGTAGCGGCTGTAGTTTAGCCAGGAGCCGAAGACGAGGTAGGTGGCTGTGCCGAGGAAGAGACTGTTATGGAAAACACAATTAGAAAGTTGACGGAGAAGAGGTGCGAGGCGAGGCACAGTCAGTCACTCACATGATGATCATCCACGTAAAGAACCCCCAATGACTCCCTGACGCATCCTTTCTATCATCATCACCACCATCATCTCCCTTGCCATCGCCCCTCTTATACTCGTCGCAAGCATACCTCGTGCGCCAGTCCAGCTTCAGCACGTAGGAATCATCGTCAGCCTTCCCAAAGCTCTTAAACGACAAGCTCTTGTTCCGAGAACTGTTGTCTTCGTCTTCGGCGACGGCGACAGCAGCAGCTCTCCGCTTCATATCATCCTCATCGACCAAGCCCTCAAGCCCAGAACGGACCGGATCACACACGAACTCAATAACAGCGCCGGCTGCCTTCTTCTTGCCCTTGTTGTCATCCCCACGATACTCGCCGCCCGTCAGCTTGACGAGCAGCCCCTCGCGGTCGGGATCGATCTTCTTCAGGCGCGTGATCTCCGGGTCCTTGGAGCCGTGGCCCAGGGGGTCGAGGCCGACGATTGGGAAAGCAAATGGGTTGAAACTTTGGTCGGCTTTGGAGTATTGTTCGACGAAGCCGCAGACTGGAGAAGAGGGAACGGGGTTAGCATCGGCTTTTTCCTATTTTTCCTTCCAAGGGCTTTGGCTCAAGGGAAAGAACGGAGGAAGGTGGTCGCACTGTTCTTAGAAGTTCCGCACTTCAGCGTCCCGCGAGTAGCGGCTCCCTTCAGGATATTGCAGATATTGAGCACGTAGGTAGTGTTGGTGACAAACTCTTCGGTCCTGTCGACATGGTACAGCTCGTGAACGCCGCCCAGGGCGCTGAGGTCGTATTTGTAGCCGTCGGCTTTGATGTGCTCGCAGTCGAAGCCGGATGCTGCTGCGAGTGGTAGCAGCAATGGCAGCGCTAGCGAGGCGGTGGATTGTATTCGCATGGTGCAGGTGAAGGAGGACAGGAGGATCGGCGGAGCCGAAACTGCAGCGCAGTCCGGGAGGTGCGAAGGCGGAGGGCGAGCACGTGCTCGGATACCTGTCGTGGACGAAGGAAGTTGGAGGATGGAGGGGAGGTCGGTGTTGGATATGTAGAGGGTGGATGGGGATGTAGTGTCGAGAGCAATGGATGTTGTCGAGTAGTAGCGTCTGCCTTACTGTCCGTTCAAGTCACAGGAGACACTCAGCAGATGATGTCACTTGGCCTACACCACTAGGTACTGAAAACATCCTCTAGGGACAGTAAAGCAATGATTTCCTACCCCGATCCCGATCCGTATCTCATTCTCATTCTCCATCTCGGCGTCGTCCTATGTCCTCCCACTTCAATCCCGATCGGATATTCTACACTTGTCCACACACCCACCGCGCACGGACCACCGCAACATCTGCCACTTCCGCGATTAATCGCAGCGACAACACTTACTCCCAACAGCCAAGATGGTCCAGCCACGCATGGTAAGGTCCATTCAATTCCACGTAGCCGAGCAACTTGTCCACATTTGCTAACACTCCTCCAGCTCTCAAAAGACGAAGAAGGCTTGGGCGGGTCCGAGGACAACGAGGTGCGCCGCGAGGACCAGGAGAAGATCAACCGATTCAGCCGCCTGCACCAGCGGGAGACCGTGCTGGAAGAGCAACTGAAGGGAAAACAAGTAGGCCACATCCCTTGTTTCAATTTCTTAACATGGAATGGTACTAACAATATCCCTGCAGAAAGACAAAGAAGACCTTGAAGAAGTCTCCATGGAACTCGAACTAGCCGATGAAGACGACCTCGTCCCGTAAGTATTTACTCTATACTCTCTTCGTTCCATCCCAGTCAGGGAAATGCCTGGCTGGCTGGTATACATGCATACACCCGATACTCATTTAATCTCTAGCTACAAAATCGGCGACTCCTTCTTCCAACTACCCCTCTCCGACGCGCAGGCCATGCTCACCTCCTCGACGGAGCGCATTGACGGTGACGTGTCGAAGTTGGAGGATTCGCTGGGCGAGTTGCGCGAGGAGTTGCAGTCGCTCAAGGTGGCGCTGTATGCGCGCTTTGGCAGGAGTATTAATCTGGAGACCTGATCTTCTCCGTCTCTCTTTCTCACTTGCTTTTCTTTTTTAAGACACACAAGGTAGAACATGAATTATCTATCATATCAAACAGTCAGTCTTCGGGAGATGTAGATTTACGGGAACATGCATATACGTCGACTACAATGCAACAATTGGCTCGTCGGTATCATTGAAAGTAAAGAAAGGTCAGAGGTATCTAAGAGAAGTAGAAGAAAGAAAAGATCACAAAAAGTCATCCACCACAAGAAGGTAAAAAAAGACAAGCATGTATTTCGGGGGAAAGTGCAAGTGCAAAGTGCAAAAAGGGTAAAGTGCAAGGGGTACGGGGTAAAGGGCATCCAAAGGACTCGATAGGAATTATCAATCAAATAACGCCCATTCTCCAGTGCAGTGCTGTTCAGGTAAGCAGAGATCCCCGCGGGTCCGCCATGTATCACATCCATCCATCCATCCAACTATCATCCTCTCCCATCCCCGTCAAGCCAAGTATGTACGTGCTTTCAATTTTTCTCTTTTTCTCTGTCTGTCTCCAATTTTGTATGCAGTGGTGGTAGTAGATTACCTGAACTTGGCCCGGCAGCGGCCCATGATTTCGTTCTGGCACACCAACTCGGCACTGAATTCACTTCCATCCAGAGTAAGGTAGATGTCGAAGTAGACGCGGTAGAAGATACCCTGCGGGGTGTCCATGCGCTCGAAGTCCGTTTCGAGGTTCTTTCGCGAGAGGTCCGAAGTGAGCGTGACGACTTCCTTGATGCCTGGAAAGGGTGAGTAAATATACATAATAATCAAAGTTAGGGCAAGACTTACGGGGATCCTTGGTATATTCTGGGCACACATCCTCGTCGCACGCGTACAGCACATCCTCGTACATGAGGGTAGCGCCAGGGGCAACCTGGCGGAAGAAGCTGACCTTGACGGGCTCGCCGATCTTGACACGCTCGCCCTTCTGCACGAAGATCTGCCGCGTGTACTTGCACCGGTCACGGCCGTCCAGACTGGGTACCCGGTACTGCTCCGGGTGGTAACCCTCCTTGAAGGGCTGCAGCGTGGCCATCAGGTAGTGCCGACGCGCCACACGGTGGGTGATCACTCGCTCGGTGATACCGGCCGTTACGGCGCCCTTGACAATAGCCGCCACCGAGTCCATCGGGCGCACCACCTTGGTCTGGTACTGCGGAGGAACGTGGAGTCGAATTTGCTGGAAGAGGTACTCGGACGCACCGAAACCACCCACAACCAAGACATTCTGCGAACACAGTCAGCTTGGAACAACCCAAACATTATAAAAAAGGTCTTACCTGAAGCGAACGGTTCTGCGCTTGAATGGCGATGATCTGATTGCGCACCAACTCCAGAATCCGGTTGACGACCGGCTCGAAGCACTGAAGAATCTCCTCATTGGTGAAGGTCATGTAGCCCTCCTCGATGCCCGCGTCCGGGAAATCTGCCTCGATACCCACATCCACCGCCCACTTCTGTCCGTTGTTGCGGAAGTCGGCCTTGATGCGGTTCTCAAAGTCCATGATACACTTGGCGTAGACCTTACCCGCCGTCCTCGAGCCGTCAGGAAGCTTCATCTTGCGGATCTTAGCGCGCAGGATGTTGCTGAAATTCCGGTTCAGCGCCGTCGAACCGCACGAATCACCAGATCCAGCTGTGCACTCCATGACACTGAACGGCTGCTCTTCCTCAACCTCGTAAGCGATCAGATCCACCGTACCACCACCGCAGTCGACAATCAGGATGGCATCGCCGACTTTCAGGTTCAGCAGTCCGGTCTTGGCACAGAAGAGCGCCGCGGCCTCGGGCTCCGACACGAGCGTCAGTCGGTTGTCGTTCTCGTCACGCAAGAAACCGGCCTGGATGGCGGCGGCACGCGTGGCTGCCTTGCCGGCATCGTTCCAGATCGCAGGCACGGTCAGATAGTAGCGGATGTTGCGCTCCTCACGGGTGAACACCTCGCCCAGCGTCTTCTGCAGCTGAGCGCGCATGGCCTGGCGCAGCTTGAAGAGGTAGTCGGCCGCCACGTCGATCTCGGACTTTCCTGGTGGTAGCGGGGGCAAGTTGATGGGGTCGATATAGGTATTTCCGGACAGCATGAGCTGGAGCTTGAACCACTCGACCTTTTGCACGCCGGGCTTGGGGTATCCGGTGGGAGCGAGGGCATCGGCAATGTCCGGCCCCCAGCCAACGACTTTTTGGTACTGGTCATAGTAGAGCACTGTAGGGATCTGGCAAGGGAGTGAGTTGGATGATCCGGTAATCAATTGGCGGGGAGGTTCTGTTTACCTTTTGTTTGGTATGTGTTCCAGCGCCCGGCCACTCCGTAATGATATCTTCCCTAGCCTCATTGTTGGTCGCAAAAGCGAACGCGACACCGGAGAAAGTGGTGCCAAAGTCAATTCCCACAATCAACTGAGCCTTGCCGCGACCACCATCGGCGTCGGTGGTTGTGCGCCCGGCATACCCCGGGTGAGACATGTTCTGCGGGATGCCATGGGGCACGTGTTGCATCCCGTAGGCAGGCGGGGGATTCATCTGTTGCACGGGCGGTTGGCCGTATTGGAGATTGGTGTTGACTGGGGGCGGATGGTGGGTGATCTGCTGCTGACCGGGCACCATAGGAGTTGTAGGACGACCGACGGGGTAACTTGGTGGGCGGCCCAACTGGTTATTGTTCATGGGCAGGCTATTGGTGGAGGAGGCGTTGTCGCCAGAAGGGGGCGGAGACGCGGTCCCGTTGGAGGTGGTGTTGACCAGGAGGTTGACTGGCGGAGGGGTGGGAGAGGACGAGGTAGGGATGTTGTTGTTCTTTTTGTCGCGACGGAAACCGAAGGCTTTGAGTCGACTCATGGAGTCCATAGGTGGCAAGAAGAAGAGAAGAGAAGGAAGGGGAGGGGGGAGGAAGTGGGAAGGGTCGGGAGGAAAGGAAGGGAAATAAGAGCCAGAAGGGGGCCAAGAGGCTGATGGACAGCGAGAGGCTGAGATACGAGGCTCAGTAGTATTCAGATCAGGGGAAGGTAGGAGGCAAGTAATTCCTCCGTTGGGCTAGAGTCCACTTGCACCTATACTTAGATCATGAATTGTTGTTGATCGAGAACTTCATAGTAGTTTCGAGGTCTCACCGTCTCTCGCGGGGTTGGAATTTATCATTCTTCCTCGGCCACTAGTAGTTCCTATTCTCCGCATCTACTTGCTGCCACCTCAGACGCAGTCCGAGTCCATTCATTCTTTCATTCTTTCTCCTTTCCCTTCGCGGCTTTCTTTGTTTAGTGACGTCGAAGTCTGGTCCGGAGGGCGACCCACGGAACGCCCTGTTTCTTCTGTGGCCACTTTTCGGCCCCAAAGCCAGGAACCCACGCGGTTGGAGAAAATAGTAATTTCCAACCACCCCCATGGCTCCATGAGGAAATAGTGTAATAATAGATACACACTACTACAATTTCCGCGCCACCCAATGCTCCGGCCGATACAGGTTCTGAAGCATGCTCGCCCGGTCCTGGATGTAGCCGCACAGCGGCCGCTCCACAGCCCGCTGCTCAACCCGGAAGCCCATGCGCTCGACAAGGCTCAGCACTTCCTCCGCCGTCAACTCCACAGTCCCAGGCTCGCCGATGCCCGGGCCATCCTCTGCCGCCTGTGCGTCGGCTTTGCGGGGGTGCTGGTCATGCCCATCCTCGAAATGCCACAGTAACGGGCCGACATTGATCCAAAGCCCGCCCGGCCGTAGACAATGCCGGATCGCTTCGATGTAGCGGATTAGATTGGGCGCCGTGTCGATGAAAAACACGGTCGCGACCGCGTGGAATGCCGCCTGGTTCGTCGGTTGTGTGTACAGCACTACGAAATCGGCTGCCGACATGCTCATGGCCCCCAGTGGCTGCTGCTGATCGGGGCCAGTCGTGGTAGCCGCTGTGGCTTGGGCCATGGCGGTGCCCGGGTGGATGTCCGGGATGGCGATGCGCTGTAACTGTTGCGCGCGGGATTGGAGATTCGAAAAATGTAGTGCAAAGGGGAATAGGGGGTGTTTTTGCGGTCCCTCCGTATGATTCAAGACCCAGCTGCTGGCCAGCAGCTGGTGGTAGGAGATCTCATTGCCTTCGGCGGCGTAACCCGCCATACAGATATCAAAAACAAGGCGTCCCAGGCCGGCACCTGGTACTAACACTCGGATCTGCTCGCCGGCGGTACGTTGTGTCTCAAACTCGGTGCGTAGATCGTCCAAGACCGGGCCATAGCAGACGTCACGCTCGGGCTGGGCCTCGGCGCTCCAGTCGCGATAGAACTGGCGGATGGTCGAGTGCGCCTTGTTTACGTCCGTGCCTTTGGCGGTGCCGTGCCAGTTGCGGGATGGGTCGTTGGGATCCGGGTCGGCGTCGAGTCCAAAGGATTCGAGGCCGACGGCGAGAATGGCCTCGGCGATCTCCGCGTTCGTGTCGATGGCATCGTCGACTTTGTTGAAGCTGTCCAGCACGGAGAATGGTGGTTCAGCCAGCATCTGCCAGTGGGCGGAGGGCAGAGCATAAAATGCCTTTCGGCGGCGATGGGTGGTGTTGAAGTGGGCGGTTCTTCGATATTGTCTGCGTGGTGTTAGAGCTGTCCATGAAGCTATATCCAACACCCATCAAGAGAGAATATATATATTTTCCGATATGGGCATTATTCAGTTTCACCCACCTGAAAGAGTCGAATGCTGCAAACAAGACCCTCCGTTCTTCCGGATCTGAAAAAGGATCGAAATCGCCTGCCCAGCTACGTTCTTCGTCCGCCGCCGGGGAATGAACCGAGTGGGATGCCATGCTTCCCCACCAAATCCTCCCGCCTACCGCTGAGTGTGAGTAGTAGTGTGCACACTGCTCTGTAGATGATAATAATAATGATGTGGTGTGGTGGTAATCAAGAGCGGGCGAATTGAAGAAGTGAATGAATTGAGTTGTGGATCCGTGGGTTTGCTTTGGCGGGGCCCATCATCCATCTTGTTCTTCTTCACCACCACTACTACTATCACCGATTATGATCTAGTCAGTCCCGGATTGATATCCAACGTGTGTCTGCCCACTCCTCTACCACCATGGCAGGTGAAGTCTCCTCTCTCCCCCAGACGGAGCTGGTCACGCCCCACGTCATCCCGCAAGAGACCTCGTTTGCTCTGCCCCGATCCCTGCATACCACCGCGCATCTGCACTTAACCTTCCTGGATACATGCTCGATGGTCTTTGTGACCACTACGACGCCGGGAGACTCGACTGCCTCTGCCAAGCCGATGGGCAGCTTTGTCTATGCCATGCCAGATGTAGGTTCTTGCTCAATCGTGTTTGCATTGTTGGCAGCGTCGCTAACCCAATGCAGCGAACCTCCCCGACCTCAACAATATCGACCACCATTTACACCTCTCCATCCAGCATTGAATACACGACCCGCATTGCCAAGATTATTGCACGACGGATGAATCGTCCTGTGTATGTGGGTTGTAGTATCGATGCTAATGGGCTGGGATTGACGGTCGACGAGGAGATGGCAGGGCTGAAAAAGATTATTGACTCGATCATGGAGCGGTGGGAGAAGAGGATGCAACCAAATTAATCCTTGCGCGGCAGCAAGTTAAAATACCCAATCGATACAAGTTGGAACAATCCATCATCCTGTCTCCAAACTGGACTCTTCATCTTGATGAGAGGCAAGGTAATCAGTTGCAAGATGACAATAGCGAGGATGAGAAGATGGATGATAGACGATAAAACATGAGAGGGAGGACGAGAAGACAATAGCATGTTGTTGTTGAGGCAGGAGTGACGGGAAGGTATAGGGACTGCGATCAAAAGTGTAGTTGAACATCTCACCAAGTCCATCAGTCTTTCCATCGGAACTGAATAGTTAGTTAACCCAGAGTCAGCTCCAATTCAAAGACAAGGTTGAATAGGCATGGTCTGTCCTGGTACTCCGGAGTTGGTAAAGGATGTCCACGCCAGGACTCCATTCTACACTGTACATCCACGAATGTTACCACATCCAGCCCAGGCACCCACTATTACAGGATGACTATAGCATTAGCGGTCTCCGGATGAAAGGAAATACTCTCTTTGGGAATCTAAGACAGCAATGACAACTCGTATTGGACTGGAGTCGAGCAGGCGAACTCCATAGCCCACGGCGCCCGGCGCTGGGCCAGGGGCTGAGCAGGAACACAGACGACCGAAATTCTGAGAATGCAGTATAAATAGACAGGCGATCTCCAACAATTCCGGTGTTTTCCCTGAAACTCAGAATCCTGGGTTCTTACTGAATCTCTCACCCTCATGATGACTCGCTCACATCCGCACAACGTCGGTATCAAGGCCATGGAGATCTACTTCCCCCACCGAGTCAGCTATATTCCAACCCCGATTTCATCCTTCAAAGCTAACTGACTGCAGTACGTTGCCCAATCGGACCTTGAAAAGTTCCTCGGCGCCAGCGCAGGAAAACATACCATTGGATTAGGTCAAACTAACATGAGCTTCTGTGATGACCGCGAGGGTGAATATAATCCATTCCATTCGAATCGACATCACTAACAGAGCGTAAGATGTCCACTCTCTCGCTCTCACGGCCGTCTCCTCCCTCCTCCAAAAGTACACCATCGACCCGCATTCCATCGGCCGCCTCGAAGTCGGCACCGAGTCGATGCTCGACAAGGCCAAATCCTGCAAGTCCGTGCTGATGCAGCTCTTCGACACAAACACCGACATCGAAGGCATCGACACCTACAACACCTGTTACGGGGGCACCAGCGCTTTGTTCAATGCCGTGCACTGGATCGAGTCCTCTGCATGGGACGGCCGCGATGCTATTGTCGTGGCATCCGACATCGCCATTTACAATCAACCAGCTGCACGTCCTACCGGTGGAGCGGGATGCGTGGCTATGTTGGTTGGCCCAAATGCACCGCTTATTCTGGAGCGTGTGCGCGCGTCTCATATGCAGCATACGTATGACTTCTACAAGGCCGACTTCAAGTCTGAGTATCCCCGCGTCGACGGTCATTATTCTTCCAGGTGCTATCTGCAAGCTCTGGATGCTTGTTACAGACGGTATAAAATGAAATCCGCGGCTTTGGGTGGAGATTCGAGCCAAGCAGCAGCTTCTTCGATAGAAGACTTTGACCACTTTGTCTTCCATGCACCAAACTGCAAGCTTGTCGCCAAGGCGTATGCACGTCTTCTGTACGATGATTTCATTGCTGGTCCTGAGAACTCGGATCTTGGGCCTGGGGCTATTCCTTCGACATTTCGGAATATGTCTGACAAGGCCTCTCTTGCGGATAAGAGCTTGGAAAAGCTCTTGATTGGATTGAGCAAGGGAAAAATTCACCCTACGCGTGCAGCCTAGCTTGACTGTTCCGGCTATGTGTGGGAACATGTACACTGCCACCGTGTGGGCAGGTCTGATCAGCCTTCTCAGCAACGCACCCAGCGGCGGACTTCTTGACAAGCGGATTGGCGTGTTTAGTTTTGGGAGTGGTCTGGCAAGCACTATGTTTAGCCTGCGGGTTGTCGGTGATGTCCAGGCCATCAAGCAGAAAATTGATTTGCATACACGTCTAGCTGAACGAGTGAGGGTTTCCCCCGAGGTTTATGGAGAGGTATGTCCTTGTATATATATACCGACGAACAGACAGCTGATAAATGATAGATGTGCCAGCTTCGGGAGAAAGCGTACCAGCAGAAAGACTATACTCCGGTAGGTGACATTGATACACTCGTGCCGGGGACGTACTATCTTGTTCAGGTTGACGAGTTGTTTCGGCGGAAGTATGCAACAAAGGGATAAATTGATCGCCAGACCAGGGACGCACTCAAGCAACCCCCGTGTATTTTCCTTAAAAAAAAAAGAAGAAACAATGCTTCGCTAGAGCTCAATTGAACATGGGAATAATGGACCATCCTATACTTCATGTTTCATGTATACTGTATACTCAACCCCAAAACAATTCCGGAAACTTCGTCCCCAAACGGTATTTTAGCCTCAGCAAAAGCACCAGATAGATTAAACCTCCACTCGGCAGACACCCGACAACCCAACTGGACTGTATTCCCTGTCGCGATCTACACGTCATTGTCACAGACTAACTGCCTAAAACCGAAACACTACTACGTATCGTGCGATGTCAGATTTAGGGTAGACGGAGGTCGGCGCTCGGGACGGAAGTCTCAGATTTAGACAAGGATGAGCAAATCGGAATTGCTCGGTTGGCTTTTTCTTTTCTTTTTTTGTTTCACCCCTGGGCCGGATCTATGGCCCACTGTGGGGCTGTCGCTTGTCACTGTGCTTTATTTGTTATCCGGAAAGTGTTTTATGACAGTAGTGGGAAATGGCTACGTATACTCGGTGCGTTTTGTAGATGTGGCCTTTTGTTTTCGTTACGTGGTCAATTCTGTGTTGAAAGTGGATGGCCCCCGAGGCACATGGATAGTATTCTGGGAAGTGTGGGGCGAGATGTTAAATAACACTGTGTAGCTCTGTCGTTCTTTGGGGTTACTGGTGGGGGGGGTAGCGGATTGGGATTGGCTTTCCGGCGATTTTGCCAGAGACAACTTAGTCTTTGTCGAGGACAGTTCCTCTAATCATCGTACGTAGTAAACTCGTGTTCCCCATTCCTGAGAGGCTGGAGGTCAATGCACCACATGCGCGTGCGCGTGCGAGCAGAGCCACAGTTGCACCCTGATGGGGTCTGGGTAATACTTCCGCCCCGCGGTACGAACCGAGGAGCAGGATTCCAGGGCAAGCTCCCTGCAGCTAGCTGCGCGGCACGACACAGACAGGGACCCTGACGCTGGGGGGAGGTTCATTTTTCCGGCTCAATGATAATGTTCCAAATGTGCACCGTGCGAGATAAGGAATTGACAGCAACAGCAGGATCATCGCGCCAGTATGTAACATAGTGCCGGTCTGGCCGGTCTGGAGGGACAATAGTTCCCAGTAGTAAGTGGGACATCATCAAATATTAGATTGGACTCCTCCAGACGCTGCGGGGGAGACTAGGAACAACGTTGTTTAGGGTCGATAGTTAGGGGGCGGTGATGGCGACATTTCGTGGCGGTGACCCACAGTAGTGCACTACTGCCGCGATAGGTGTTCAGTTCTTCTATCATTCGAGCCGATGGGCACGGGAGGATCTACAGTTCCTTACGCGAGGTGACCGGAGAACTAGCCCAACATGGCAATTTGAGCTTGGACAGCGGACGCCAGGCGCCAAAGGAGTTGTGCAGTGACGGTGTGTACCTAGTTCCGCTACTGGGGATTTTCTCCAGGCGACTATTGGTGCCAAACCCTGTATGGGGTGACCTCCGGTGTATGTTCCATACTATTGCCCCGGCAGCAACCAGTTAGGCTTGCTCTCCCTGCAGAACGTTGGAACTAACGGCGGGCGGAACAAATTCTTCGGGGCAGTTGGGACAATGAGGTCGCCCTGACCTCGGCCAGGAAGGGGTCCGCCCCTGATAGGCGAGTTGGGGCTAAGCTCGGCAGTAAACTCATTACTCCGTTCGTCAGTCATGAAATTTGACGGTTGTATTGCCACCGGGTCCCACCGTCCGGGTCAATATCCGGGCTGGGCCTCCATGTGGTCCGGTGCACACCTTCCGAGTCGATCATCAGGGCTTGAGTACAGAAAATGAAACAGGCGATGGGACCATACACGGCACGGTGGCCGCCGAGATCTTCATCCCACATACATACTTGGCCTCATTAGACTGGCCCAAGGGATAGTCAGGCTCATGGCGGGGTGCCAACCCTGTGTGCCCTTCAATCATCATCCTCGAACTGATTTTCATTTAATTTTCGTGTAGTTGGCGTGTCGAGCCTCACCCTGACTGGTGTGTGCGTTTCCCATCCACTCCCCGTCTGGGATCGTCGCGCGCACCAACCTCAACTGGACGATCCGGCTCTCTTTCTTGTCACCACCTGGCGCACACTTGTCAACGGGCCAAGTGGGCCCCGCTAACTCTGCCGACTGTGCGCTAGGGGACACGCACCTTTTTTTTTCCTTGTTATCCTGAGCCTCCGACAAGGTTCATCAAATACATACCAGGCTCCCGCCAGTGGGCCGGTGGACATCGGGCGCGCACTCCAGCTCCCGCCACTGGATGACCGTGCAATAGAAGCACTGAGCCCCGAACTGCTTCCGGTATCCATCGACACTGCAACCGCCGATCCCGGGACACGCGTAGCTATTGGACCGCGAAAAGAGAGGGTCTGATCATAGACTCTCCCACGGCTGCGCGCAAGTCGTCCGCGATCATCCTAGGGCTAGATCCTTCATTGCGACTTGCCAGTGTCAATTCAGATGAGGGTGGTAATTGACTTCGGCTGATGCATTCTAAATTCAATCTGGTCCGTGTTCTCCGCGCGATCTTAGTGAATACTGTACAGTTCAACCCAAACAATGGACTGGATTGGATGGAGTCCACGTCTGGTGATCGTAATTCCTCACTTTTTTGGCATGTCGATCTGGGTTCCTCCTCCTTCGGCTGATCCAGGAAAATTATTCCCTTTAGCCAATTTGACCTTCTGTTCTTGGACAAGAATAGAGAGAAGAAGAGGATCCATTCCCCGTTCTTTCCCCTTGGCCCCCCTCCCCCCGTCCCGGGTTTTCTTCACAAGATTCCTGAACGCCTTGATCTTCACTCTATTTTGCCCTTCTGCAACCTCGGCACTTGCAGCGCGATAAACTTGCGCCTGGGCTGCTCTCGGTGTCCGCTTAAATGTCCGCTTGAGTTGGGGATTTGACTTTCCAACCAATAATCTTCCCGTCAAGCTCCTCCCCGACACTATGGCTTCATTGGAGCTTTGGTCTCCCCGCAGTTGATGAAGGAAAACCCCAGCGATCGGATGGCGTTGGAATTTCCCGGTAACTAGCGATCTTTGATTCCAGCGGTGCTTCATGATCAACGCTCCTTGGGAATTCCTCCTTCCCACTACTGCAGGCCGGGGCGCAACCTCTAACACCCCCGGAAGGTGACAGCTACCCTTTGTTTTCGTTTTCGTTTTATTTTTTTTTTAAAGGAAATTACTTGGGTTCTGGCTTCCATCACCATGCAACCTTCTCCTTTTCGCCACGGCCACCATCCGGGCTCCTATGAGCTTCCCCCGGTGCAGTCGGTGACATCGGGGGCCTTGCCGGCTCCCGCTGCGCTGCTCTCCGCTCCGCCGAGCAGGCCCGACAGCGGGATGCGCATGGCCCATCTGTTGCAACCTGTACCGCACCAGCCGCTGCCGGCCCAGCCGGCGCCAGTCTCATCACCATACACGCGCTTCTATGACTCTGCGTCGGGTTCTCCCGCAGATAGTGGCGGCCTGCCTGATGCCCCTCCGCTAGGCTCTGTCCCAGGCGGCGCGGGCCTGTATCAAACCAGCCCCGTCGGCCACCAGCAGTCCGCGAGCCAATTGCAGCAGAAAAGAGCCTATCGACAGCGCCGGAAGGATCCCAGCTGCGACGCCTGTCGCGAGCGCAAGGTGAAATGCGACGCCTCGGAATCGGCGAGCTGCACGGAATGTACCAACCGCAAGGTCCGATGTCAGTTTACCAAGAAGACAAACCGACGTATGTCTTCTATCAAGCAGGTGCAGGATCTAGAGAAACAGCTCCAAAATACCAAGCATCAACTGCATCAACTACGGTCTGGAATGCTGCGTCCAGATCAGATGGATGTTGACGATTCCAGCGGCCAGCCTCTGCTCAAACTACCAGAAATTGATTACCGCCCTTCGCGCCGGTCGAACGCGCCCATCACCCAAGACTTGTCAGAAGTACGATCTAATTTGCGCCGGTATGGCCGTGGCATCTTGAAAGTTCCTACGCTATACCGACAAGAAGGTGCCAAGTCGTTGTTAACTGGCGATGCGCCCCAACTTCCCTCGAAGAACATTGCGGATCGGCTCCTGGCGCAATACTTTGCCTGCATTCACTCGGTGCTCCCCGTACTGCATTGGCCGTCATTTACGAAGGAGTACGAGAAGGTCTATGAGTCGGGCTCATTGGTGGGCGTCTCTCGCGAATGGGCTGCGATCTTGTTCGGTGTCTTTGGCTGTGGTGTGGTCCACACGCTTGGACCGAAGCGGGAAGAAGAGGGAAAGGAATATGTGCGCATCTCGACGGGGATCATTGACATCTGGGAAGACAATTTCAACCTCGATCGGGCTCGCGCCGCGCTGTTGGTTAGCATTTTCCTCTACGAAATCAACTCGAAGTCGGCCAGTTGGGTCTGGATCGGATCGGCGGTGCGAGTCGCCCAGGAAATCGGACTGCACATTGATTCGGGGCCCTGGCCGCCTCTAGAGGGGGAGATGCGGAAACGCTTGTGGTGGGGGTTGTATACCTGGGACAGGTCTGTACCCGCTTTCATTACAGTCAGACTAGTATGCTGATACTCGCTCTAGGTTATTGGCTCTTGAAATGGGGAAGCCGGTCTTGATCAACGATCAGGACTGCGACACTGACCTGCCATGCCCCGTGGACGAGCAAGTCATGACAGAGGATGCCGGTATCTTGGAAAGCCAACAGACTACAGCGCTATTGGCAACTATCCACGTCGTCCGCTCCATCGGCCAGCTCACACGAACCCTACGATTACCTACAGTCAGCCCGGCGACTCTCGAGACGTTTGAGCGGCATTTTAATACCTGTCTTGCAACCTTCCCTCCTCAATTCCACCCGAAGAACGACGAATACCTGGATCCTCGGTCTCTCGCACCCGTCATCTACCTCCAGAACGCTCGCCTTATTCTCCACCGCCACAACATCTCCCCCTTCAGCTCGTTCGCCGCACGCTCGTCCGCAATGGATTACTGCGTCTCCACATCTCTCGACACAGCCCAACTTCTATCGCGTTGCATGCGGAGCCAATCGGAAGGCGATGACTGGCAGTCCCTACTCGCATCGTGCGCAGGAACTCTTCTGTGCACACACATTTGGCGCTGTATGCTGTTCCTCCTCTTCCGACAGGAATACGCAGGCGCTCTGGCATGCATCCAAGCCAGCGCCGCTATCGGCGATGCTCGCTCCGTGAATGCGTCCTGCGGCCAATACCTTTCCTTTTTCCTGCGCACTCTCCTGGAACGCCTTCAACGCGGCGACGGCAGTAGTGACCTGGAACACGACGAGGAGATGTTGGCATATGCTTCCGGCGACATGCAGGGCAGCAGCGATGGTAGCTGGGTCTGGCAGGGGAGTGAGACCGGCTCTCAGCTGGAGGGTATTTCTCCAATGCCCTCGAACGCGGGAGCTCGCGGTTCAACTTGTCAGCCACAAGACAATGAGTGGGAGGGATGGGAATGGATCGAGAAGACCGTCCAGTATCTTCTCACTGAGCAACAGGCACGCGGACCCTCCGAGCCTCGCGATGTCACCATGGGCCAGTCACAGGAGCCGGCCATGCTTGGCCCCGAGCGAGCAGCGTCGGACACATCAGATCAGCGGTCGAGTTCAGCTCATTCACGCATGACCATCGCGAGCATTATTTGAAGTATTTGCTGCGAACGTGCTTCATAACATATTTGATTCCCAACCATTGACGACGTCTTTCTCAACGAGCCTCCATTATTCTTACAGCGCCTTTTGATTCGCTGCAAATATTGCATTGCCGATACCATTGTCCGGATATCTGTTTATTATGCATAACTTATTATTTTCTTCTTTGTACATATTCTTCAGGATACATAAGCAGTATTAACCCTGGTTGATCCCGAGACGGATGATTTTGGCCAAGATCACCATCCGGTTTAACCGTCCTCCCGTAGACCGATGACGCCTCAGGCCATTATGGGACCACAGACGCCTGTTCGAATGGCGATAAGATAATGTTTCGTTCTCTCTACCATACCTTCAAAAGACCACCATACTTTCCAAAGAGTCCTACCACTTGAGCTGCGTTGATTTAAAGTGACTGAAAGATGGACCCACAACTCCAGAGAGAGACATCGTGGCTACAACCTCATGCACCCATCGTGAAGGTAGCTGCGAAGGCTCTAGCTGACAGAAATATCCCTGTGGTGGAGTACGGGCAGCAGATACAGTGGCGCAATGGAGACCCTGTGGTCCTTCTAGTAAGCAACAAAAACTTTTGTGGTATTCGGCACTCTAGTCGTCGGGCAGTACTAACTTCTGACTCCCAGCTTGTCGAGTGGGCAGTTCCCGATGCACTGCTCTCACTTTCATCGCAGATTCTATCAGACCATGGATTCTCCTGCGTTCCTCCATCCACAAGGGTCACTGACATATACGGACAATGGGAGCGAGCTTGCATCATCCATAAGCTAGCCGAGAGTAGTCCAGTATATCTCTATCCACTGTCGTTTGTCGGCCTTGCGCTCCAGGACACTGTTGAAGTCACGTCTACCTTTGATCGCATTCTAAGGATCTTGACGCCCAAGCCTCAAATCTATATGGTGTCGCTGATCCGTCATCTCCTCAATCACCCTGTTGGCGATAGCTTCAGATTTCGAGTAAAAGATGATCTACTGTCTTTTATATCCTTTTATATTTTGCGCGACAAGCCACTGAATACAAAGGAGGGTGAATGTGACGATGATGAAAGCGAAGAAGATTTTCAGAAAAGACTTGGAGACGCAGTGAGGGAGATGAAGACTTGGGATTGGGGCGCTGGTAGATATAACTATCTCTGCATTGCTGAATCCATCGTTCGCGACTGTCGGTCTATTGAGGAGCTATCCAATTGTTAATGAACGCAAAATTCTCCGCTTTCAATGTGGTCCCAAGCAAAGGGCGAACTGTAGCATGCATTTGGTGCAACTTGCGAACCACAGAGAGCAGATCTCGCTTTGCATTAAAGCTCTGAAGTTTGGGCTATTTTTGTAACCGAGTCGTTCTTATCGGCACTTTACCTTGTATTATTGGCTACTGGGGATGATAACACCAAGACATAGAACAGGCCGCAAAGTGTAGATGCAGCTTCATGTATTCTAACAAACTTTGAACTACAGAACATTCCAGATTGTCAAAGGTCAATTAGAGTGGCTCTAAGGCTGGCTAAATATGCTCCTATATAGATATTTCCAATAAGTGCTGTAGATTGTCACCATGATATCATCATGACTGGATTAGTGCCGGGGCGATTAGTTTCGTCTCCGAATTGAATAAGTTCTGTACAGCTAAATAAGGTCTTGACTCTATCTCGTTCATACCAAGTGCGTTCAGCATGCCTATCCACACTGTTAGCACCAAACCCGACAACCGACTGATTGGATTTCCCGACTGATGAAAGAGAACAAACAGGTCACCCTCCAAGATGGCATCACCGAGTCAGACAAAGATCGGTCTGGCACCCTCTTTGATTACTAGTTTGCGAATCGCTCACTAATTTTATACTACTCTGTTTATAGGATACGATCGTTGATCTATTCTGCCGGAGGACAAGTCACCAACGAGCTTGGCAATCAAATACAGTGAGTGTATCCCGGCGCTTTGTGTTTCATCTTAGTGCGGACTCGACTAAGCTTTCGCTGGGCTAGATTCCAAGTCCCCGATAAATTTGATCTGCATCTCATCACCAAGAACCTGTCCACTGAAACAGTTTCCGATGACCCTTGATCGTGGTCTGAAGTGGATCCGCTAGGATGGCCATAACGGGGGCGGTTGTTGTAGTTGTCATTGTTGGACATTCGCATTGCGTGCTGAACATGAATCAGAGCAAGAGCCAATGGCGTTATTCGTAGAACTTCACTTGCGCATAGTTAAATTATAGGAATTGAACCATCTTCACTCTCTGCCATGATTCTTACACTGATTTTAGTCCCAAGTTCTCACCCACGACAACAGCAACAACCACATCGGCCTTTTCTCTTCTTCCTCATCCTCGCCAAAATCCGCGTATCTATAATTACCGATCCTGGACTTATCGTCGTCTCTCAACCTTCTCATTCTTTCTCTAGACGGCGACAAGCCTAGGTTGAACACGCCTTCGGCGGGGATTTAAGGTGCTACGTAGAGCTTCACGATAGTAGATTGGATCCTGCTTAGCGACCATGAAATGGAGCGCCGACAGTTTTCCTGGCTCCTACAGAATCGATCCGCCGGATCCGCGCTAGGGCCTATCTGATTCGAAACACCTATCGGTTGGATCTTCCCATAAACACGGATGTGAGCAAAGACTGCGGCCTCCTAGGATATCCACGATGTCCTTGATTAGGATCTGGATTAGGAAATTATGACGGGATTGACGTACTTATTATTTTTTATAGAGTTTGTACAACTATCAGTATACAACATTTGATCAAGTAAATATCTCGTCCCAAAACGGCAAGAGCCGAGGCTCAATCCCGGCCCGCTTTAATTTTAAAGGCCTGGAAATCGCCGCCGTCCGGTTCCATCATTGCAACAATACCCTCACCCTCACTCTCCCTTGCTCTCTCTTACTCTCATAACACTATTCGCAACCATGGCTAAGCGCGTAACAATCTTCGATCCCCCACAACCGGATCACTCCAAGGCGATCATCGAGAATGTGCTCGATCTGACGCCGGTGGTGGACCTCGGCCCGGTACGACCTTATCCCAACAACCCGAATTGAACTTTTGACTGACGCGTATTTTTGTCTGAGCAGGATGTTTTCACGAACACGCGTCCGCTATGGCATCCGCCCGGCGCCCGCGGCATCTATGGCGGCGCCGCCATCGCCCAGTCCCTTGCGGCCGCGATGCGCACCGTCCCCGCCGACTTTGCCGTTCACAGCATGCACTGCTACTTCGTTCTGGCTGGCGACTCCGAGATCCCGATTCTATATCATGTCGAGCGAGTGCGTGACGGACGCAGCTTTGTCACTCGCACCGTCCAGGCGCGTCAACGGGGCAGGCCCATTTTCACGACAACTCTGAGTTTCAGTCGCGTCGGTAGTGGCGGCGATAAGACTGTTGAGCATGCGGTTCCAAAGCCGGACATTGCGCTCCCCGAGGAGGCGGAGCCGGGCACTCTCAGAGCGTTGAGCAATGCGGGTGGTGGACCCTTTGAGTCGAGGAAGGCGGGCATTATCAATCGTATGTTGCTCCTATTTTCTGAGAAGTCAAGCTCACAATCTGTAGGCAATTCTCCCAACCCCGAAGACAAGAAAGTGCGACGATTCATCCGGGCCCGCGGTCATATCTCCGACGAGGGCGGCTATCAAGCCCACCTGTCGGCGCTGGCCTATATCACCGACAGCTACTTCATCGGCACCATCTCCCGGGTGCATGACATCCCCCGATTCTCGTCCCCTGCGGAACTTGAGAAACTTCTCAAAGCATTGAAGAACCCTTCCGATCTCGACGACGAGGATATCACCCGCGCATTGAAGGAATTGAAGGAGGAAGAAGCCGCTGAGCTGCGTCAGCGTCTCGAGGGAGCTCTCAATAAGGCTACAAACGGACACAAAGAGAAGGATCATAAGTCAGTTGGCATGATGGTCAGCCTTGATCATTCTATTTATTTCCACAACCCCTGGGCATTCCGGGCTGATGAGTGGATGTTGACTGAGATGGAAAGCCCGTGGGCCGGGGAAGGGCGCGGTCTGGCGGTTCAGAAGATTTGGTCCAAGGATGGGCTGCTGATTGCGACCTGCACACAAGAAGTATGTTCTTCTTCTGTAATTTGCGGATTTGAAAACTGACATTTGATTATAGGGAGTGGTGCGGTTAAAGCAGGAGAAGCCGCCGTTGTCGAAGATATAGATTCCACATTTGTTATACCCCCTAATTCCTGACATTTTCTTGTCTTTCCCCTTCTGTTTGTTTTGAATATAGATGTGAATTATTTGACTTACCGGACAGACCGTTTCTTATGTGATAGAAGACTTGAGTTTCCTATATTTGAACTCCCAAATGCCATCTCATTGTATCCTTTTCTTTGGGAAAAACGTTGCCTCACATTCCTCTAGCCATTCTTCCCTGTCCTCGCGGATCAAGGGACAATATAGAAAGAAAGGAAAAAAAAAAGATTGAACATTTGCACGCGATAATCAGAAAGCCGCCCAGCCCATTTTGATCTCCTTGACGAATGCAAGAACATAAAAGCACATTGCCACCCAGCCATTTATTCAAATCCTCAAAGCTCCAACTTCTTTTCTTTTTCGTCACCCTGGTTGTACAGTCCATTCTTCTCACAATACTGAAGCACCTTGGCTCCCCAAACATCTCGCCCCTTATACTCACCGACATAGTCTGGCCAGCTCTTCATCTCTTTGGCCAGATTTCGCAGCTCCTGTATCGGAAGCTCCTCCAGTGCAGTCAGATACGTCTTCACTCCGAAGACAAGAGCCCCAGTCCGCGGCAGGCGGCGGAAGGTTTGCCTTTCGCGACGAATGAGAATCTCTGACGGCGATGGGTCGCTTAGTTCTTTTTCGCAAAGTATGCTAGGCCGATAAAGAACATCGGACAAGTTCTCGTCACGCCGTTTGACCTCGATGAAATAGTTGGAGCGTTCCATTGGGGAAGACGGGGTTAGACGGGCGAGGAATCTGGGCGAAATATTAGAGCTATCTAGAGTAAGACTTGATGTTTGGTTAACTTACTTGCTCACGGAGTCGGCCACTTGTTGATGCCACAATGGTACTGGGTTGTGAAGACGAGAAATCGTCCATCCAATACGTTCTTCCACCGTCCAGCCCACGGGGAAGAGAGTCGCACTGGCCGCTCTGTGTGTTTGTTAGCTCATTTTGGGCAATAGAACAGCCTTTTCAGACACATACAGGTAATATTCATCATCTTTGTTTATCATAAGAATACTGAGATCTTCCATAGTGAGCCGGACTGCGGTCTCCAGTGCATTCTGGGGATCTCGTCCGTCGAGTGTGAATTTCTCGCCCGTCAGATGATTCTGAATCCAGCTATCATTTCCACGTCCGAATTTCGCGAACCTATTGGGAAACCGTTCGCATAGGAAGCTTGCAACCTCCTCCAGCGCTTCCTGACAAGCCTCCAAGGATTCAGGCAGACATTGAAGTACCTGCTTCTTCTTTTCAAGGAGCAGCTGACCGCGTACGCGATGCTCGTCCATATAATTCTTGTCAATGGTAAGCCAGTTCTGGACGTCGAGCTTGCGAATGTCCATCATGACTCTGTACCGCGCGCGGCCTTTGATGGGCTGTGCTGGGTATGGCGTCATGCGCTTGAGATCCGATGTTGGGCTGCCAGACATTCCATTTTTGGGGAACTTTCGTCTTTTCGAAAGCCACTCGAGTAGTGCCGCGTGATATCGTACCACCAGGACAAGAAAAAGGATAGGGATCGCCGTGAACGAAAAAGCTGCCATGGTTCTTCCATGTAGTTCCTTCAAAAAAGTATATCTTAAAATAACCCACGAAGGTTGTCGGATCCTGAAATATGAAAGTGTCTGATCTGCCACGGAAAACACTTCTGGAACCAGCGACATAAATACCTTTGTTTCAAGACGGGCCACTCGAACGGAGGCGGTCCAAACTCAGGCCACAAACCAAAGAATAAGACGATCACCAGACGATAGCCGGGCCAAATTACGTTAGCTCTAGTCAGAAAATGGATAGCTCGAAGGCATGGCAGTTGCATTACACATTCCTGAACCTGGCCGTGCCTGCAGCCCTGCTGTGATACGCCCAGGGATTCCCCGCAAAACAACAACGCCGTTCGCCTGTTTTGGGCAAAACACTACAAACGCTAGAGGCCCACATGATGGTCTGTGGCTTCAGAGAAAAGGCTGAGTCCAGACTATGCGTGTGATCCACTGTGTCTCTCGGAGGATATGGTCGCAGGAGTGGAGATTGATGGCAAAACGAAATACCAATCTAGCGGCGCTTGGAGTCAGTCAGCCTGGCTCGGCGGACTAGCCATAGTAGCTAGACATGACGATCTAGGCAAATCCAAATTTTAGCTTCATCAATCGTCAAGCTCGCGTAGAGTCTGTCCGTGCGCGATTTCCACCCACCCCTCTCGTGAACTGCTAACTAGGGTTGCGCCGATTTGCAATTCGGGCAAGAAGCCTCGAGACCCTTCTGCGCTCGGGTACCCGCGGTGGATTCCTTTTCTGGGGAAGCTGATTGGCACCGCGTGATGCGAAAGAAAAAAAAAAAAAAAAGGAAATAAAAGTGGACAAGTTTGATCTGAGTCATGCGAATAATTGCCAGCTGAAGTTCAGCCCCTGGCTGGACAGCCGACGGCTGTCATAATGGATACAACTGGCTAGGACCCGGATCTAGTCCTGGCTGGATATCACACCGTCACCAACACTAGGCACATGGCGTGGCCCGGCGTATCATTCGTTGCTGTTACGAACGGGGCCCAGTTTCCTGACTTCCGCGGGGCCCGATCTTCGATTCAATTGCTAGTATTGACTTTGATTGTGCCGGGGCGGCGTTATTGTTGGCTAGTTCAGGATTCATCTACATAGTCTCGAACTTACAAACTGTGGGTGTTCTACAAAAAAATAACATTTTGCAACCCCCTGTCCAGCCTACATAATCCCATGTAGAATGATCAAAATATTCGCAAGGGGGGATAATGTCAGCTAGGATTACACACAGATGCTAATCGGGCGATCACCAGGCCCAGAATCCGCTGGAGCTTACCCACTCCACAGCCCCCCCATCTTGGGTTCCCGCTGTAACCGCCTCCCCCGTTTCGCGCAAAGCGCGGTTGCCGCAGCCTTTTCTCAGGAGGGGATCATTATTGTCGATAGGGGGCCCTTGCTTTTGAATTGTATAATCCGTACCATTTGATTTGTCCATTCGTATTATTCTCCTCCCATTTGCCCGCTTTTGTCGGCCTACATTACTTTGCCACACTGTGACCGTTGCGCTGGGATCCGAGGGCAAACTATGTCTGGCATGGCTGATCACGACAGGAGGCTACAGTACCTTGTCATTTTGCCACCTCTTTTTTTGTAGCCGGATTCCTGCAGGCCGGATTTGACAAACTATACTAACCAAGCGTGATGGACACCTTGTTTTTTCTCCAATCGTCACCGATAGCCATTCTACAACAGATTGGCTGATGTCAATGCACGACACTTCTATGAAAGTCTGGATCCAATTTTGAGCCGGGTATAGCACCAGATTGGTACGAAGTGGAGCAAGAACTACGTAGTCGATTCCGTCGCTCTCCTACGGAGGCGTCGCTCGAGCCGAGCCTGGAGAAATTTACATAGGAATAATACTATGCAAACGGATCGGCATGGCTGAGCACAGACATGAGATCTGCAGCGTGGTTACGAATAATAATGATGAGAGGCTCTTCTTTTGTTGCTCGGATCATGCGGGGTCGATTGGTAATTGGATACCAACAAGCAAGTAAATGGGCTATTTTCTTCAAAGAGATGAGATGTGACTCAAAAGATGAGGCGGAATTGCCTCAAAACCTGAGTCTTGCTCATATTGCTGAGGGACGAATGCTGTTTTTCTGAAGTTTCTTGGCCATGTTCATTGCAAATTGTTTGGCTTTTAGGACTAGGGGTGAAATGAAGCCACTCGAGACACTCCCCTCTTTCTTTTAATTGCCTCCGATATTCTTCTTCTTCACTGGAGGTCGATTTAGAATAAGTATCCACTAATAGCGGATTGTCTACATAGAGGATCCTGGACAGCGAAAATATCTTCTAGCTTAATGATTCTGGAGGTAAGCTTCGTATATTTTTCGCAGTGCAGTATATACTTACATCTGACGTGTAACATCCTTTCCATCTAGTGCACGTACTTAAGGTAGTGTGCACTCCACAATCCTATCTACAAGGACCTCTTGAGGTCCAAAGCTCGCTGTCTCATTTCGATAAGATTCAATAGGACATGCAACCAAACTAGGATCAAAAAGCTTTTCTATCAGAGTATGGGAAACGAGCGATCTTGGAACCCTGCCATGCATACTGCAGTCATACTAAGTTGTCTGCACAGCTAATGTTATCCCAATGCCAACAGTTCCCCACCGTTATCACAATCGTTCGGATCAAAAATTAAAAGTGAGAGAGGAGGCAAACAGGGAGATAAAGATGAGGACATTGAGGAAAGAGTTGAACATTGAGAATATATAAAGACTGAGTCGAAGTGAAAAGGGGGGCATTGAATTGGAGGAAACCCAGATTAAGGATGAATATCGCCCAGAGGTGAGATCTAAGTTTTGGAGAGCGGACGCCGCATGGGCGAAGTCCATGCCGAGGAAGGACAAAAATGGGCTCCTTGGGAATCCTTTTGGGTTGTAAAAAGATGGAACAGATAGGGAAGAATAACAGTAGGAGGATGCACCGTCCCAAAACGCAGCTGAATATGAAGAAGGCCCGGAGACCACCAAGCAAACTCAGGACGACCAAGACGGTGGGATGGAGAAGCAGGAACAAGTGAACCGGCGTACTCAGCATGGAAATACGAAGCTTATTCGACTCCCAACGGTCGACGTGGTCGCCAGGACCATGGCGTTCGAGCGGATGAGGCCAATTGTGGTACATAGATCGTTTCTCCGGAAATAGTTAGTTCACCCAGCCGGCTTATCCCGATCAACTCTAGCATCGGTCCACCTTCTGGGCACCCCACACCTCCCCATGACTAAGAGCTAAAGAGTGAACATTTTTAATCGGATTTCCGTCACTCCTCTTTCTGACATTCTTTGTGTTTTTGCGGTTAGTGGACTGACTTGACGTCAACCTGTCTGAGCACAATGTCTCAAACAGCGGTTCTCACCCAAACCGCAGCGTCCCCCCGGCGGTCCTTGACTCACCGCATCTTCTAGTTCAGTCCCAGGTACACCATGACTCTCGCCGGGGGTCCCAGTCTCAAAGCTCGTTATCTCGTGAATATGATTCTTCTGAGAATATCAATGATGACCAGCGCACAAATTTGTCCCGGACCCGTGCGGTCATCTTGATTACGACCTTGACGGGCATCACATTCGTGGGCAGCATGAGCACGGGCTTGCTGACCATTGGGCTGCCTTGGATTGCAGCAGATTTGGGCCTGCCGGAGAATCTGCTTTTATGGTAAGCTATTGCCGAGCCCTAAACAGAAAATTGTTTGAAGATGTTCTGACCATAGTTGCCGCTTACTCTCTAGGCCGGCATCTGTCTACTCGTGAGCTTTGTACACTGAGTTCAGGAGTTCAAGTACGCTAACACTTTATAGACTTGCAAATGGATGCTGCCTTCTTCTCGCCGGATCGTTAGCCGATTTCATGGGCAACCGAATGATCAATCTAATCGGCTGTTTCTTGCTGGGAACCTTCATTCTGGCTTGCGGTGTAGCCCAAACCGGTATACAGCTGATTCTGTTCCGCACATTCCAAGGCATCGCAACCTCCATGTGCCTGCCTACGGCATTCAGTATTTTGACCGACTCCATGCCAGTGGGTAAACGGCGAAATATCGGGTTTGCCTGCCTTGGACTGGGACAGCCGTTTGGTTTCTCGGTAGGGCTGGTTTTTGGTGGACTTTTCCAAGGAACTTCTCTCAACTGGAGATTTGGGTACTACCTCTGCGCTGGTGTCACCATGGGCTTGGCCGTGGTGAACTTTTTCAAATTGCCGAAAGATTCTGAGAGACAGCCGTTCACGTTTGCGAGACTGTGCCGCGAGATTGATTGGATGGGGATCTTCCTGTCCAGTTCTTCCTTGGGAATCATCTCTTATGTGTTCGCGTAAGTATACGTCCGCGTTTTGTCGGTGTACACAAGTTGATAAAAACCTCCACACAGCGCCATCACTGATAGCCCATCGAATATCCACAAGGCTGAAAACATTGTCCTCCTCTGTGTGGCAGCTGTTATGATCACCGCATTTCTAGGCTGGATGAACTGGCGCGAGAAGATCGGAAAGCCGGCTTTAATCCCGAATTCTCTTTGGCAAAACACCGCATTCAGCTCTATTTGCATCATGGTCCTGTTCTCGTGGGCTGTGCTAAACGGCATGGAGACGATTCTCAGTCTATTGTGAGATTTGTCTCATTCCGCATGCTAAAGAAGAGTTCTTCTGCTAACTAGTAGAGCAGCTTCCAAGAAGTTCAAGACCTGCCTGCCATTCAAGCGGCCCTTCGATTCCTCCCCAACATTATAATCGGCATCATCCTCAACCTTGGAACTGGTTTACTGGTGCATCGTCTTCATGCTAATTACCTAGTGCTAGTCTCCTCAGTTCTCAGTGCAGGATCTCCACTGCTAATGGCCATCATTGACCCCGAGTGGTCGTGGTGGTATTGTGCCTTTTGGGCCGTGCTGCTGGGACCCCTATCCGCAGACGGTGAGTATCTTTGGTCTTTTTTGACATGATATTATTGCTGACAGTCTGCTAAAATAGTCATCTTTACCGTGGCAAATCTAATTATTACGGACGCATTCACGCCCAAAACCCAGGGCCTGGCTGGAGCGGTCTTTAACGTTGTCGCTCAGTTTGGAACCTCCATTGGGCTTACTATATTCGCCATCATCTCTGCTGGTGTGACACAGGGTTCTTCATTTGAAAATAAAAACTCACCCGAAGCGCTCATGTTGGGCTATCGCGCTGTATTCTGGACTTGTTTCGGATTGATGATGGCTGCATGTGGCGTTGGCGCCTGGGGACTACGCAAGGTCGGGAAGGTTGGCTTGAAGAGGGAGTAAAGACGGATCCCAGAAGTCACCATTTTATCCTCGGACTCAGTTGTAGTTACGGCATGTCTTTTAAAGACATTGGACGTAGCTGTGAAAATCGTTAGAGCGTCATAGAATGCTTTCCTTCCAATTTGCCAATCTATATAACGATTACAGATCTTGGCATGAACTCACGAATCGTAAATGAATTGGCTTATCTGTTAAGATATATATTACAGGACACAAGCATGTTCACGTCCACATGATTGAATTATATGAAGGTATTAGAAACACAACATTCACAAATCGTTTCGTCAGGAAGCCCCCGAAAGATGTAATCAAGTCACTTCGATCATCTGGTCGACCATGGCAAGGAACTTCTGGCGATACTCGCTCGCCGTGGTTGTGATGGACATCGGCCCTTTGCGTCCAACAACATTGAAAGTCTGCACGACGCCTGAGAGCGCGTGCGCATGGAACTTGTGTCTCGCCCAGAAGAAATCCAGCAGAATAGCACGGTACTTCCATTTCCCATCGCCAGACCTCAGTCCCTCCCTCCAGGGACTCTTTCTGCCCAGTACTGGAGGTGAAGAAGATGCCGGTATACGTACCAGAAACAGTGAGTAGTCGACTGCATTTGCATCTTGCAAGAACTGCGTATCATCCTGGATACACCGCCAGAAAGCTTCGTAGTCTGCGCGCCGTAGACGAAGCTTGTCGTCGAATGTATCTGCCAATCTGCTGAGGGTAACGTCGCTGACTAGCGGCTCGGGGAGCAGGTCTCGCTCGGGGTAGAAATAGTCGGTTGGTTTCAGATCGTACGTTTCCCACTTGTCGCCCGCCGGATCGTCGTCGCGGCCGTAGAGGATGTTCTCCATGACGATATGGTGTGCTGGAGTGCAGCCCAACAACGTTCCAATCGTAACATAGGGTGCCATCACATAGTCAGTGATCCATACTAGCACTGAGTCTGGATGTCCGCGCATATAGTCGTAGTACGGCTCGAGCAGATCAGCTTGGAAGAAGGAATGCTCGAACCGGCGTGGGAGGCTTTTGATGACGAAGTGGCCGTCTAGGGTACCGAAGAACGTCTGGGAGTGATCAAAGATTAGTGGCTCACCTTGACAGGAAGAAGGGTATCTTACCGATCCCGAGTATCCCAAGTCCCCCATCGCCTTCAAGGGCGCCCGTCCGCTGGTCGTGCGGAAACTGGCCAGGTATTCGTCCTCGTCGAAACACCACACCTCTTGACGCAGATTCGCAAACAATTGTCGCTCATACCGAATGAGCTTAATGTTATAGACCCGGAAGAAGAACAGGAAACGTTTAAACACGGTCTTCTTGAAGCGGTCGGGGTCGTGGAGGAGGGCGGACTGGATCGACTTGGTTAGTCCTGACTGGCGGCGGTGGTTATCCATGTTCACTGGAGGTAGCGAGCATGTTTGAAAGGGATATTATGCTGCAGCAACACCACATGTAAAAGTTCGTCTTGTTTCTTTTTAGTTCAAATTCCCAGGATTTTGCGCCATGGTCTTGGTGACGTCAGGCATCGGGGGGAGCTCTGATTGGTCCCTTCCACTCTATAACACGGTAATCCGGTTTAAAGATATAGGTCAGTCATGTACGTTTCTCTTCCTCTTGGCCATTTCTCACACATTATAATCCGAATATAGAAAGACGCTGGAGCTGGCATGACATATATACGTATCTCTTGGAAGGATGTTCATATACACCCAAAGCCCATCATGAAAGCTACAGATATCCTGCTAATATCCTGGTAATATGTTCATTTTTCTTTCTAATAAGGATAATAATAACAATAATTTTCTCCATGTCTTACGAACACGTTATTAGTTCCTCGGTACACTCTTTGTGTACATCGACTAAAATACATCCTTCCAGGTCTCACGCACGCACTGTAAAATACGGACTTTATTTAAGGAAGCGGTCCGGGAAGCGACAGTCGTACCTTATTAGGACTAGCGCATTGGAAATTAAGTTTCAAGAATTAATTCATGAGAGATGCGTTGGTGAAATCTACAACAGTCAAGCAAAAGATCAAGGCTCGAGCGCTCAAAGTGGGAAGGGGCAACAATAGTCTACAAAGTCCGGTGTCGACCAACCACTATCTCGGGATCCACTGCGACAAGGATCTGCCTTGTTCGAAGAACCATTACGAAGTGACTGGTAAAGGGCTAGTGTCTAACTTGGTATTTGCATAGAGTATGTTAGGTAGGTTGCACAACTGTAAGAAATAATTGCCTTTGATTAAGTATGGGAACTGTTGAACGCTAAGTGAATCTCCCGATATGCAGGGCTCTAATATGAGCGTTGCTTGGTTTAGCCAGGTCTGTAAAACGCCTAAAATGATGGGGGACATTAAAAGATAACGAAAAGAAAAGACAGGCACCTGTGCATTGCGGATTTATTTTCCGCTAGGAATCCGTGTTCGAACCCGGCCCTGTATGGACAAAACAATTAGATAGGGAAAATGCAATCAGGTCATTAATGCCGCATGAAAGAGGATACAATCAAACAGAGAACTTTTGAACCAATTAATCCGAAAAAGTCATGAAGCTGTGCACCTGTATTGGTCAGAGACAGCCCTAATGTTCCGTAACGGGACATAAATCGAGTGGAATGATCACTCGGCTTGCGAGGATTTTTGACATGCATTCCGAATCGAGCTTAGAAAATGATAGAAGCTTTGTCCGTGCGAGCCGTATCCACTCTGGTAAGTGTGTGGATCGAGGGGGTTTTCTCCAAATCGTTGGATTCGCCCTGTAGACCTTCCTCTCGTTCGAGTTCGAGACGTTCTTGCTCCCTGATTCGTTTCAGTTCCTGACAGAACTTGCTGTTGGCTCTGATTCGATCGCCGAAACGGATAAATGCAAATGGGATAATGGATACCCCAAGACTCAAAAACGCGATCAGGCTGCATGCCCAATGCACGCCGAGACGATTGAACATGGGCTTAGTGGCGAGGGGCAGAATTGCACCAAATATGCTTCGTGTACAGCTGGCAGCCGATTGTGCACTGGCGGATAGGGTCACGTAGGCGTCTGTGAGGTAGTTGAGCATAGCCATGAAGATCAATAGATATCCCATTCCGAAGGGGATGCCAGAGAGAAAAGGGACGACCCAATGAATGTTGGGTGATGCTGTCCATCCAACCCAGAAAAGGGAGATGACGTACAACGGGCCCCCGACGCAGGCCAAGGGCAGTCGTCTGTACTCCTCGATGTAGGCCCAGGGGGCCCCACGGGCTTTCGCTCGGGCGAGGTAGCCGTCATACCAGATGAACACCATGCAGGCAAAAATCGCACCAACGCCAACTATTTGATGATATCAGCAAGCGGTCTAATATCCGGGGGTGTTAGGAGATATACTTACTTGGCAGGAAACATAGGCCGGAAATACCAGGACTCATCCCGTAAATGCCTGTGTCGTTCATATTAGCACCGGAAACGACAGATGGAATAACCAAAACTCACCTTGGAAGATAATCGGATATGCCTCAAAATAGAGATAGAAAATAGCGTACGCCAGCGCCAGGTACAAGGAAGTCAAAGAAACGATGGACTCGTAAAAGAGCATGCGGAAGGGTCGTGAGGTCGTAATAATAAACATTTGTTTGAGGTTGCGGCTGTCCATATCCAGTGGTGACCAAAGGCTCGAATTGCCAGTTTCTTTGCGCAGCTTCTTCGCCCGGCGCTTCAAGATTACAGGGGCGTAGGTCTCGGGCATGAAAATCACCAGTGGCAACGTGGCACCGGCGCATATAAGCCCGATCCAGAAGCACCACCGCCAGCTGACAACAGCGACGAATCCAGAGACCCAAGGTCCCATAATCGGTCCAAATGTTGTGCACTGTCAGGTGTCAGAAAAGAAAACTGATCATTAAGAACGAAAGGGACTTACAGCCATGTAATATGCCATGAGACGGCCGCGTTGGGTTGGATCATCATGAACATCAGCGAACAGTCCACCAGTAGCAGCAATTGGCGCAGAAGCCATCATTCCATTAAACAGTCGGAAAACCAGGAGTGAGGAATATGAGTTTGATACCGCGCACGCCAGTGTGAAAATCATGAAGCCGCAGAAGGCGATGAGAAGTGGGCGTTTCCTGCCGAAATATTCCGAACTTGGGCCCCAGATCAGGGGACCAACGATGTAGCCGATGAGAAAGACGGAGATGGGTAGGACCAGAAGCTGCTCGTTGTGGACGTTAAAGGTGTCACCGATTTGGGGGATAGCATTGCTGCAAATGGAAGAGCCGATCGTGCTGTTCATGACTTGCATGACACCAGCCAGGAGAACTAGCGCTTTTTTCCCCTGCACAGTGTCAGTACGCAATCTGAAGGGTTTCACGGAATGTGCAACACCACGCTCCTCCAATGTATATCATACCTTTTTCCAGTTTACAGGATTCCCTGGGTCATGGGGACCAAATGAAACAATTGTCTTCGAAGCCACGCGTCGAAAACGAGAATATGATGGTTTTTCATAACGCTGCTGAATAGGCTCATGCGCGATCTCTGACTCCTGAGATTCGTGAGATTCATGAGAATCTTCCGACTGTTGCGATTCTCGGGACATTTGAGACTCTAGATCGTGACGTGCCTCAGTGGGAGACACTTCTATGTCCTCTGTAGAGGATGTTTAGCTTAGTGATGCTTGGAATAAGTGCAAAGTCTAAACCTACCTGAGGTTGACATGACCTTCTGTAGGTTCTCTTCCATGGAGAAGTGGTCTGACATATTGACGACTTGGAGAGACCCATTAAATTGGCAGGTATTGCACAAGGTGGGATGGGGGGCGCTTAATAAAGCTCCGCAAAAAAGAACGGAGAAATTTCAGGAAGAAACCGTGACTGTAGTCACCCATGTCACAGTCAAAGATTTGATCAGTGACGAATGAAAGCCGACGAGCATGTGGGTTGGGTCTCCACTTGCGCATGGCATTTTTTTTGTTTTCTACGCCCTATTCCTGACAAAAGAGTTCAAGTGCGGTACTATTCCGGACAACACAGCGAGAAAGTCTAGTCTTTTTCAGTCCAATTGGGCAGTCGGTGGTGTTGATCTGAGAGCCGACTCGGCTAGGACGGCTCTTTACAAGCCCCAAACATGCCAATAATACTATGTAAACATGTGCTAAGATCCTGCCAAAAAGTATTAAGTGGCAATTGCAGATGCTATAATTATTCTCGCCGCAGCCTGCGATGACTTCATATAAAATTCTGCTCTCTACCCACCGGCGATTGCCACAATTCTTGACAGCCACAGATCTCGGTAGAAGGCCGAAAACATGGGTTTCTCGGTGGATTCCGATGCGCATATTTCAACCGCATGCATCACGGGCCATGAGACGAGATGAGGGGTATCGTTCATGCAGACAGGATTTTTTTTTCACTTCTGGTTGTCTAGACCAAGCCGATCAGTAGGCGTGCCTGTCCTTATGATCTAACTGTGAGATGCCTGGCTTGATTATAGACCCAACATAGAGTTGTGGTGGCGAGCCCTAGCATGAAATCATGCAAGTTGCCCTGAAATCCTTTGGCTTCGGTGGGCACACTGGAGACAAGTGCGGGTAGTGACGGCGTGCGCCGCGGTATTGACTCATTTTTTCTCGGAGCTGGAAGCCGAAGCCGGCGCCACTCCGTGCAACTGCAAGCAATAATGTATCCCAATTCATGTTACTGAGCATTGTCCCGAACTATCGCCTGCTATAAAAGGCCTTAACGGGCTTGTCGTGGTACGAAAACATCTATTCGAGGCGGTTCAGCGCTTGGAATAGCAGGAATGTGCCAGATTGACGGGTTCGGACATCTGGCCGATGGTTAGTCATAACCCCCACGCTCACAGGGGCAGGGATCTAGAACAGTCTACAGTGGCTGCGGTACGGCAAACAGCATCGCTAAACAAACCAGGAGGAGCTACATAGAGAGATAGAACAAGATAAAGACACAAAAAGGGCCCCCCGGGGTCGTCCCAACCTTACTGTTACGGGCCAATGACCTTACGTATATTTAGTTAGTCACATGACTTAGCTATTTCTCGACCGTTGCCCAGCAATCCAGCTTTATTCACACACCTTCATCCAACCTTTACGATAAGAAAGCCGGATGCGCTAACAAGTTATGCCAGCCGGGCTACTTTTCTATGTTAGTCATTGAAGGCCATATAAGTCTAATATTCTTATTTGTATGACAGTTTACTGCATTATTTATTGTAGGGCTCTTTATACAACTTTGCTTAAAAAAACCCCCCGAATTCAGCATATTCTTTCTGCGTTCTCTGAGACATGCTGGCCAGCCCAGGTCTGCCAGTGCCAGTGAAAAAAGTAAAGTATTTGGTGTTCTTAATATGCTTGGAGAATGTCTCGGCCCTGTTATCTACTACGGTCAGTGGTTCGCGGCGCTCATTACTGCAACCTGGGGGCCCTCGTCGGCCCTCGAATATGTGAGTTTTCATATCATTCGAGTTAACGCGGCCTCAAGAGATAACTCAACAAATGGACAATCCAAGCAACTGCCGCAAGTCACGCTTAGTTTTAGTAGACCACACAGTGTCAGCTGCGGTCAATCAATTGAAAATTTGCTGTCCCAACTCGAGAGCCAGCAGTTTGTTGCGCATAGTAGTCTGTCACGTCTTCAGAACAACAGTCCTTCTCAGCTTCATAACTAGCTTCCGTCAGCACAACATTGATCATAGCTGGTGGACACGGGATTATTGTGGCGTCTATCGGGAATCAGCAGATAAGTTACACTTGTTTGCCAAATGAAAAAGTTTGATCTCTTGTTTAACGTGAACGATAAAATCCAACTAATTAGTAATTTCACAGCTTTAAAGAGTGTGATATATATGAAGCGGCAAGGTCCACAGCTCCATGCTTGATTTATAATCCGAATGTTAGTAGCATGAGATCTGCTAAATTGAGTCCATTATTCCGTTTGTTTCTTTGAATAAAGGGTCCTGGCCATCCGCTTCCTGTAATTCATTTCATCTACTCCATCCTCGAGTTTCGTCCTAATGTCGCACAATATTCTTATTACTGGCGCTTCAGGGTACCTAGGAGGGACCCTCCTCGCACGCTGGAGTAGCGCCAAGCTTCCAGCATATCAAAGTCTCTACGCCCTTGTTCGAACAAAGGAGCAGGCTGAGTCCGTAAAACAGTACGGTGCTGAGGCACTGACATTCGACGTCAAAGATGAAGCCAGCACGACGGCTGCAATCATCGACCACAAAGTTACTATCGTCTACTTCCTGGTCGATGCTATGGCGGGAGATTCACTGGTCTATATTATCAAGGCCCTTGCTGAAGTCAAGAAACAAACGGGGCAGGAGGTCCATTTTTTGCATACATCGGGCGCGAAGCTGTTCAGCAGTCACACTGGGCATCCGACTGATCACCCACTTTGTGACAATGATCTTGGGCTCTATGCAATTCAGAAGAGCTCCAAGCCTCTCTATCCAATTGCAGGGAAGGCAGGGAACCCTCCAATTTGGAATCGCCATCATTGCATTCACTAACTAACATTAGGGTCTTGATGCAAACAACACTGTCATCGAGTTAGCCGAGGCACGTGGAATTCGGAACTACATTTTCATCCCGTGCATTGTATATGGACAAGGTGAGGGATTTGGAAATCCAATTTCTATTCAAACAGTCGCAATCGTGAGAGCCGCCAAAAAGACGGGGCGCGTGTACAGTCCCCACACCAACAATCCGGTATGCGCCCCTGTGCATTTCCCGCTGCATTTCTAGCGCTTATTTTACTTTCAGAAATGGCCCGTCTGTCATGTAATTGACAATAGCACTCTTTATCTGGAAATACTGCGAAACATCCTGGCTGGAAAAGATATCGGCCACGGTCGTAATGGATATTACCTCGCCGCCAGCGGCAGTATGGCATGGAATGATATCTACGGTGCCATGGCGAAAGGATTGGTCAAGCGTCAAATAGTTGACACCGAGTCGGTGCAAGTGGCAGATGATGCGGCTTTGCAGCAGATGGGGGAGGCATTGGGATGCCCCAAGGAAATGGTGCCCCTGTTCTTAGGTGGAGAGTGAGTACCTCGACATCGCCTATCAGCAAATTATGCTAATATTATCTAGATGTACGCTCGAGGCACGGCATGGTCATGAGATTGGCTGGAAACCTCAATATTCGCCGGAGCATATACTCGAGGCGGCTGACGCAGAAGTCGACCTGATTATTAGACATCTGTAGTGTCTGCATTGATCTTTGGCAGAAAATGAACAGGCTAAATTAGTGAGATGGTGCGGCAGCTTATTGAAAATGATTTTACTTGGAAATTGTATGACTTGTTATTATATCGGAGCCCTTCTCCGATTTCAGGGCTGACACACCCTTCCGCAACTTCCATCCCACTTGGGAAAGCAAGAAAGGGCATCAAGTGCTCCACTTTCTCGGGATAGACCGAACATTACCGAACCTGTGAATACATATATGACCACCTGCCCTCATATTATTGTAGACAGCCCTAAGGCTAACTCCCCCGACCTTTACCACCCACGAACTTTGGAAGTATGGACCCCTCAAGTCTACCGCCCTTCCAAGTCGGAGGCCCAATCCGACCCATCACTTGTGTGGAGATGCACACAGCGGGCGAACCAACACGAATCATCTGGACTGGATTCCCCGAACTAAGTGGTACACTACTTGAGCAGCGAGCGCAGGCGAAAGAGAAATCAGATGAGTTCCGCCGCTTGCTGATGCTGGAGCCCCGCGGCCACTACGACATGTACGGCGCCATTCTGCGACCCGACACGGAACTGGTGGCTGAGGACAAGGCGGATATGGGGGTGTTGTTTATGCATAACGAAGGTTTCTCGACTATGTGCGGACATGCGACGATTGCGCTTGGTCGATTCCTAGTTGACGTGGATGAGATTGTCTTTCCGCGCCGCAGGCACTTGAAGTACGATGCCACCACGGGGACTACGCGGCTCAATCTCCATGTACCCTGTGGACTGGTTGAAGTCATAGTCCCTACATTACCCACCGGAAAATCAGACCCGGCTCGTCCGGTATCTTTTATTTCGGTCCCATCTTTTCCAACAGCGACCTCGTTGAAGATCCCACTGCCAGAGAAATATCAATGGCCCGAACTGCAAGGTCGCACTTCAGTCACGGCTGATTTCTCTTACGGCGGCGCCTATTATTGCCTAATCAGCGGCGAGGAACTGGGTTTTCCTAAGGGGTTGGCTGAGATCGATCTTCAAAGGATGGATCATGCCACAAAGCTACTCAAGGAAGTTATCAACACCGACCCGAGTCTTAGATATCTCACCCAAAACATTGAGACAGGAGAGCAAGGGATTTTGTACAGCGTTATGATTACAGATACAGGACTGGGCCATGTGAGTGCCTTGGAGGGGTCGGCGGCGTCGCGCGCTCAGAAGCTTGCCAATAGTGAAGAGACGGGCCTTTGCTTCTTTGCCAATCAGCAGATCGACCGGTCTCCTACCGGTGGCTGTGTCGCTGCCCGTGTTGCCCTTGCACATGCTCAGGGACTTTTGCCTGTGGGCGAGAAAAGAATCTATAATTCGTTGGTTACACGCGCCTATCAGGGTCTGGCTGGGTTCGTTGGGTCTGTTGATGCTGAAACGGGGCCAAGTGTGCGTGTCAAAGTCGAGGGATATGCTTATTACACGGGCTATCATTCGTTTGTCGTGGAAGCAGAGGACGGCCTAGGGGTTGGCGGCTTTTCTCTGCGAGATATTACCATGTAGAATGACCGGAAATAGAACAGCTAAACATAACACGTGTGATTTTGGAAATAGAAACCAAACGAGCTTCGTTGAAGAGAATGAGACAAAAGTATTGTACATCGTATTGGGGGGATGGACAAATTGGGGGCAGAAACAAACGAAATCTAGGGGTAGTCTCTATTATCCTCCAGTGTCAGAAACACTCGAGTTCACCTATTTTCCAATCTCAACACCGCCAGTGGCACCAAGAACACGCTTGATGTCACCGTAGATGGCAAACTGACCGGCAGTAAGGGAGCCAACCATGAAGAGACGGGCACCGATGCCGGAGTACGAGCCACGGAGGCCAAGCTCCTTACCGATCTTGATCAGGCGAGAGACGGTGCCCTCACCGGGGAGACCTTGGGTCTTGTTGATCTTGGAGAGCATGGTGTCGGCGGGCTGCGAGACGATGGCGGCGGCGAGACCGGCGACGAGACCAGATCCCAGGTTGATACCAGTCTTCTGGCCATCAGAGAGGTTGTTCTTGTCAACCTGGCGGTAGATCATCTCGGAGACCTTCTCGAAGACGACGAACTTGGCCATGGTGTAGGGGACCCTAGGTTTTTAGGGTCAGCCAACGTATATTATCATACCACAACTCAGGCACACTTACTGCTTGAACAGAATGGGACCGAATCCAGAGTAGAAAGCACCAATGCCCTCCTGGGACGCGATCTTGGTGAAACCGCTCAGAAGACCGCTGGCGAAAGTGGGCTGAGACACCAGACGGATACGGGTGGCCTCGAGAGGGCAGAGGGCGATATCAGCCATGAACTCGGCGCACGCAGAGGAGGCGAGGTAGACGGCAGTGCGGTTGTTGGCAGCGGTCTCGTAGCCCAGGTAGTTGATGGACTGCTGCTTGAAGAACTCGTAGCCACCGAACTTGAAGGCACCCTGGAGGAAGTAACCGGCGGCGGTAGGACCGAAACCAGTCAGGAGAGCGCCAGCACCCTCGTTCTGGATGACCTGCTTGAAGCCGCCGATCATGCCACGGTTGTAGGTCGCCGGGTCCAGCTGGATACGGGTCTTGACGCTGCACAAAGATGCGCCGTTAGCCACAGCCATCCGCCAAGTCGTCTTTTGGACCATTTTGACTTACACATCAAGAGGAGTCACTGCTCCATGAGTGACTGAACAACAAACCGCGCCAGCGAATGCGAACCGGGAGTATAGCCTTTGAATTTGGGTCAGAATCGCGCGATGTTGGCGATGGCGAACAACTTACTGCAGGCCGGTGAGCGGGGCATCTTTCTGAGCTGCGGAGGCAGACATTTTCTCGATAAAGGTAAAAGAGAAAAGGGCGGAGAGGAGATGATAGGAATTGAAGTCGTTAGGGGTGGAAAAGAAGGAGAAAAGGATTTGAAAGGGATGACGGGGCTCCGAAAACTTTTCGCGGGCCAATCCGGGAATGGCTCGGCTCCCCATTGCCACGCTAAGTCCGGCTGCCCGGTCAACCATGATAGTTATTACAAGCCGCATTTTCCTACACTTCAACTATCATTGTTCTCCGTAGACAACTATTGTTATTTCTGGTCGACTGCTCTACATCGGGCTGATTTTGAAGAAATCCAGGCCGTTTTAGGATTATGAACACGGTGTCCAGTACAGTACTTGGGTCATGAAATCCATGAACTCGCCTCGCTCGAGTCCGGACATGCCACAAACCTATTGTGAAGCGTATCATTGCATGAACCGCCCATTCCGACAACTCTGTTTTCTTCTGTACAACTTAACCTAAGAATAACTACGTCACTATGGACAAGAGCGGCGATGGAGCAAGAATGGTAGAGTGGATCCGCATTTCCACAAATCAGAGCGCCCCGTCGGCAGGATCCGGGTTATGCGTGGCACTTACCTACAGTAGTATAGATGGATGGATATAAGTCAGGTACTTCGCTAGGAGAGCTTCAATTTGGACTAGATAAAGATCTGTAGTATTCAGTCGATGATTTCTAAGGGTTCTTGCTCTTATTTGCCCTTGATTCCCCCTACTTCTGCTTGTTTACCACGAGCTAGGTCTTTATCGATCCGAAGCCCGCTACTTGCGTTTGGCAGAGGTTCACGATGTCGCCATCACAGTATTTCACGGCTCCATTTCATTAACCATCGCAATAGCACTTGGATCCAAGCTAGTTATCTTGCTATCGTGGAAGAAGCCGAATCCCTGCGGAAAATTCAACTAGCGCAACCAAGGTTTGTTCTGCTGACCGTGAGACGCAACCAATAAGGCTGTGGAATCTTGTTTAGCTGCCTTTCTTCCCGGAATTAGGCATTTCCATCGGATATAAACAACTGTACTTAAGAAAATGAAACCCCGCAATCTTGTTCCAGGTCTACTAACCCTATGTCCTCGAAGACTACGTCGCAATTCTTCAATATGGGCTCAGAACCAGGATTCAGTCTGCATGTCACCATCTACATTGATCCTCTAAACGTTTCCAAATTCTTTGAGCATTTCAAGCCGGTCTATGATGCGGTAGTGGCGGAGCCGGAATGTCGCTTCTTCGAAGTGTACCAGTCTCCCGATGACCCGGGGACCCTGCACTGGGTTGAAGACTGGTACGATGATTAGCTCTGACACCCTAGAGTGAATCAAAATAATCTAACATACTTTCAAGGGTCGCATCCACTGAGTGGTTCATGACTGTTTGTTGTCCTTGCCTTTTGCTGTGGGCGGGTATACTGACTTCGATCTACAGACCCAGATGACCAAGGATTACTACAAGGACTACCTGGCTGCCACAGAGCCCATGTTTGTGAAGCCTCGAGAGTATAAGATATATACTCGTTTCGGGGCTCCATATTTTACAGCCAAGCAGGAGTAAACTATGAATTTCAGCTAGTGAATATTTGGTTGTGGAGTTATATTTCCGTCTGATCTGCTCAATTCACCCGGGTAGCCAGCCTCATCACGCTCCTTGTATAAATCAGTTCCCATCACTATTGGTTGCCTTGCTGAGAATAGAACCTGAAGTACCGATCAAGAAATAGGCATAAGCGGATGCGGCTGAGGCCTACCTGCTCGAAAGACAAACATAGTACCCTAGTATTAATATTTCTGGGCAACATGGGAGGATTCTTCTGACTGGCCTACCGACTTTGCACATACTGACCCAATTTAGAGTGCAGACAACCAGCTCTTATTATCACTCCGCATTTTATGGCAGCAAATTATTGTCCGGTTGTACCTACACTTTGAGTTAATGCTATACAGTATGCGAGATCGAGGGAACGGGCCGTCGACGATTGATCGGGTGATATGTACCGCATGGGCGAAGCCTCAGACTTAGTTACGTAGCATTGATGGGGTAAGCAGGGTTCATTGATTGGTACATTCTATCAAGCTAGGTTTCGGGTAGGAATTGGTGCAGTAGCTTCTTACAATGGGGCGAGCGGTTGGACCCTATGCGCATTTACCTGATTGGCTCAGCGCGAGGCGCGCGTGTACATGCGACAAGGATGAATGCCCTCAATCAACATTCAGAAAACATGATACTGTCGAAAATAGTCCGGAGGTACGCTTACTGCATATTTAAAAATTTCATCCCTTTTCCCTCATCCAGTAATTCTTGAGGCTATTTTTACGCGTACAACTTCTCCAAGCGCCTTTACAGGTCTTTACATGGAAAATTACATGGGCTCGATATGGAGTCATAAAAGTGCTTGTTAGCCTTCTAGTTCTAGAGTGGACTCGGAGACCTCAGGCTCTCATGTGGAAGGTGTATATCTGGCTCTAATATTGGTTCATGGATGATCTCCACAACATAGTACATTTCTAGAATAGAATGATGTCCCTCTATGGCTCTAATAAAAGATAGAGAAGCGGAGCAAGGCAGTTCAATATTTGTAAAACATGGTATTCGCCGCCGACGGCTGATTCCGTCATGTCCAGCCTAATGCAACCAGGGTGCGCTGACATGCGAGTTTCCACACCAGTACTTTTGGCCTAGCCAACATCATCGCGGGCTAGTACTCCGGACTAAACTATTTACAGATATAGATTTGCATGAGTCTACAGGGAGGCTGGCGCTGAAAACCCCCTGGTGAACTGTGCGTGTAATAATGGGATAAATACGCTCGCAATGGACGCTAAAGATCACATATCCAGCTTTTGCTTAGCGCATTTCTCCTCCTCTAACATAAAGCCCACAATGGGCCTGAGTGCTTCCATATTGGTATTTTGGATTCTTCTATTCATTAACCACGCTCTTTCGCTACCTACCAATAGCGCGGCGACAGCTAGCAACGGAACCTTCGTTCATATACTCTCGACGAATAATACTGAACCACACAAAGAGAGACGGGAAGGATGGCAAAGTGGCCCAAATACAAGAGGAACTTTTGATATTATGTGGGACTGTTGTTTCACTATGTTCCTCTGTTCGTGGTCAAGCCTCTGTCTGAATGTGCCAGCCCCAACCGACTCACGAGCCAAAGTGTTCCGAAGGAAAATCTACCTGACTGCCTTGGCTCTCTTGGGACCTGAGTTTATCTTTCAAATTGCACTTTCTCAGTGGGAATCAGCACATCGATCTGTGAAGGATTTCAAGGCATTAGGAATTGAAAGATGGACAATGACACATGCATTCTATGCCGACATGGGCGGATTTCACTTGCAAACTGACGATTTTGACGCTTTTCCAATCAACGCAAAACAACTTCACTATCTCATAACGAACGAATATGTGGACGTTCCCGATCTTGACAAGAAAAGAATCGCGGATAAGAACAAGGTCGACAGTATGCTGCGGCTCCTCACATTATTCCAAACACTGTGGTTTATCGTCAACATCTGCGGACGTGCCTCACAAAACCTCGAAATTTGTACTGGTGAGCTCACCACTGCTGCATTTATTGTCTGCAGTGTTTCAACTACGGTTTGCTGGTATCAAAAGCCCGCCGATGTTCAAACACCAGAAATCATTGTATCAAATGTCACTCTAGACGAGATTTTGAGAGATGCGGGAGATCAAGCCAAAAGGCCATATCGTTATACACCCTTGGACTTTGTGTCTCGCAACGAATGGTCATGGTCTCTCTACTGGTCTAATTGGGTCAACATACTTCGGAAGCTTCGCATTATGGTCATATTACCGAAGCGGCCTGTTGATCGATTTCAAAATACGATCGTTTCCAAACCTTCAACCGTTGGCTCTGCTCTTTTCTATCTGCTGACTGTTATTTATGCATCCGTATTTGTGGCCGGCTGGAATTACAGCTTTCCAACTACTGCCGAGAAGATCTTGTGGCGTGTATCGTCCACAGCTGTCTTACTTTGCGCATTTTTATTCTGGGCTATTGGACATTTTGCTTTTTCATTTTACCCGAACCACCTGCGCCCGTATATTGACGCGAGAACACCTCCCAAGGTGGTTAGCCAGGAACTGGTACCTGCAGCGGGCCATCCACTCTGGGGCAAGTTTAAGCGCTGGGCGAAAGTGATGGGGGGTTTAATACGAAACAATTCATGGGATCGAGATCCGGAACTCGCTGTTCCTTTGAAAGCGATATTGCCGATATACGTGCTCGGAGTTGTTTATTGTCACGCACGAGCATTCATATTTCTGGAGGATGTTATTCAACTGCGTTCGCTTCCAACGAGCGCCTATCTGACTATGAACTGGTCCGGGATATTGCCACATTTTTGAACAATTTTCGGCATTTAATTCAATCAATTCGTTTTATTTTGTTACTGGTATTTATTATGTACCGCTGTACGTCAGCCCTATTCGTTTGACACGATATATAACTGGATCAGAGTCAATATAGCTCAGTCTCAACGTAAAAATTCATTAACGGCGCCAATTGCCTCGTATGTTGATCCTCAACGGTTGGTCGTTCGCCATAAAACGAGGGGTCTCGCGTCACACATGGAAGAGGGGAAAATGAAAGATATTCTCTATTGAACCTTCTTGGGCTCAACAGGGCTCGTGTTTCCGGAAGTGGGCTTGGAAGCACGAACCGCGGCGTAACGATGGAAACTGAAATAACGATAGGCAACGATTGCGGCAACACAATTTATGAAACGTGCTTCAAGTCCGAAACATCTGATTATCAGATACGGGATGTATGCGAGGACGAAGAAGAGGCGCAGCATCGGCTTCACGTTTTCTGACAAGTCGGAAACTTCGATGTCTTGGAAGCCAATCTCCTCGAGGAGTGCCGGGAAAGTCCCTTCCTCGAATTCGATGTTTGCGGGCATTGCGGCATACTTGTTGACTTGTCCGAACATCTTGACCATCTCCTCTGGCGCATTTGGAGGGACGGAATGCTCATATTCGAATAGGGCAATAGAGCCGCCGGGTTTTAGCACACGAAAATACTCGTTCAGCACTTTTCTCGCGTCTGTCGCATGTACCGTAGTTTCCATTGCGTAGACGCCATCCAAAGACTCGGACCGAAAATCGTCGAGGTGATGAAAATCCGCTTTTTGAACAGTTATGGCTTTTTCAAGTCCCGCCGCAGCGGCGTTACTCCGAGCATGGGCGATATGTCGGTCGACTATGTCAATAGCCCTAACTTTGAGGCCTCCTTGGGCCATTCGCATTGCAACATGGCCGTAGCCGCAGCCAGCGTCGAGGACAGTGGAACCCGGGGGCAGGTTCAGCGTTTCAAAAAGGCGGTCTTCCATCTTCCGGAGAGCAGTTCCAATAGGGAATGGCCACCAGGTATCACTATCATAGTATCCAAAATGACGAGTACCGCCTAAGATAAAACGGTAGCCAACCCTTGATTCCAAGGAGGCGTAGTAGGACTGCAACAGCTTGTGGTGCCTAATCAGGGGCTCTGACTCGGAGACTGTCATCATGCGGGCGCGCGTTGTCTCAAACAGTGCTCGCAACAAAAGGACGCGAGATATAGTCAGGGTAAGGGTGTATGTGTTGGAAAGGGAGTGGTTGTCGTGCGCGGTGGCTGTCGTTCTCCGCCTTCAGGGTGAACAAAAGGGGCCTTGGCATTTATTATTACTTAAGATGTGAAGAACCGCCGCACAGTGCAGGGGGGCTTAGGCTAGCGGCAGCTTCTAGCCAGTGAAGCTGCAGGGCTGTACTCGCCAAACAAATAATAATTGGTTCGAGGCAAAGATTGGGTGGCTCCGAGGTCCGGCTGGGCCTCGGGAGGGCCCGCCTGGAACACTCCCGTCTCAGATCAGTTCAGTGGAGGCGTTTAACAACACCGCCCCATTCGTCGCTCATGATGTGCATATTCCCGCCACTGGTGATAAAAGATGACTGCACCGATTCTTATAGGTCCACACGCTCGCGCAATTTTTTCAATGTGATATTTTGTGTTAAAATACTTATCACAGCGCCTAAATCTAAGACATGGTACTAGTGTGGGAGTCACTGATAGGGTTTTGCAGCCCTAACAGATCTCGCGCTCTGCTATATATAGTACTCTCAGGCATGCCGAAGCAGAGGACTTAGCTGAGAGCTTCGTCATAGTTGTCTTCTTGCCTCAGTTGGTTGTGCGTGACTGGACGGACCGCTGACAGGCAACTTTCGATACACAGAGGTACGTTTTGTGTTGCCAGAAGATTCCTAGATTGAGGGACTTTCCGCAACTGCTTTTCAGACGGTGTCATGGTCCCAATATGTACCTCATCTATCGGAATAATACAGCATGGAGGTTATATCACATACACGATGTAAAAAGAAAAAAAAGGTTACGCGTAGTCCGCCGAGTACGGGACAAACACTTCGATTCTGTTAACCTAGCTGGGAGAGCACCTGCAAGACGCCAAAAGCGTGATATGTACAGGGGCAACAAAAGCACCACCTGCGGCACCGAGAAAGCGAATACTACTGCTGCGGAGCACGATAAAGAAACAAATCCAACTCCTCGAGTGCGTGCGGAGTGTGTGAGAGAGAAGTGAGAATGGACTGCAGTGAAGACAGACACTATTCTGTCTGCTTGCTAGGCCAGCAACAGATGAGAAGGGTAGAAGAGAAAAGTAACCGACCTTGTGCTGCTTGAGCGAGGTGGAAGCTTCATTATGGGGGATGGCAGCTTGCCATGCTGGCCGGGGGTCAGATGTTAGAGATTTTTTTTCTTTCTTTTATTGGACCGGAATACTCGGTGGCGATGGTCATGATACTGTATCAGCGACAGAACACGGATAGCAGGATATAGATGGGGACAAGCCCCGACGGGATGGATGGGTTGCGAATGACGCAGAAGGGCATTCAAGCCGGGGTTGGGGTGCTAGACATTGCACTCGACGTGACCTGGCGCTTGGCGGCTCCTTGGGATGCATTCTAGGGGGAGAAAACTCGGCATTAGTCATTCCCAGCTGTTGATACCTTGGAATCCTCGCGGGAGGTGGAATTGCGGGTTTCAGTATCGAAATTTGGCCGAGTCAGGCTCAAATTTTCGTCGCTTCTGTGGACTTACGTCTAACTCGCTGATGCTGCGTTTCTGGCCGGCCGCTTCGGTCTTCTTGATCACCTTCTTCTTGGGTCGGGGTGGTCGAGTTTCCCCGGGTTGGAAAACATCGTCTGGTAGGTCGAAACTGCAAAGGGTCAGATGATGGGATGTTCAAACACGAGGATCGTAATCAAAATACCTGCGAACATGGCTGATGGCCAGTTCATTGATACCGGGTTGGTATCCAGCCCAAGATGTGCATGTCGACTTGAAGATTTGGGCATCAGTGGATATATCCAAAGATCGGGAGGCACCTGGCTCCAGCGGCTTCAACTCCAGACCAATGTAATAGGTGGTGGTGTACACGGTCTGGCTGTCTCCTTCGGCTTTCTTTTCTGTGGGTTGCGCGACATCTGCGTTTTCCACTCCATTCTGTGCTGCAGCCTCATGGGCTGGGTCCTTGGTCTCATCAGTCGTTTCGGTCTTCGTACCAGTGGCTTGAAACTTGGTCGATCCATTCTTGACGGCTTCCATCTCTTGCTCATTGGAGATGGTGTGTATTCTCTCAAAGCCCTTAGGGAACGGATGTGCCACCGCAATGGTTGCTTTCCGATCCAGGGCTCCGACAAGATGCCGCAGCTTGGACTCGACGAGACCAGACCAAACACCCTCGGATTCCTTAGTCCGGCTGGAAGCAGTGATACTGAGGTAGTACTTATAGTCTTGTGTGAAGAATGTGTGGCGTGCAAACAGATCGTTCCAGGAACTTTGCTTCATGAAGATCTTGTCAACTAGGTCACCTCCACGCTGTAGTTCGCGAAGGAGGACCGCTTTTGTTGACATCGAGATATTGTGCGTCGCACACATGGAGGGATACGCAGGGGTTATGATCGGCATGAGGTGAAATTTATCGTGATGGTAGAGCTGTTTGGAAGGATGCGGTCAATTGGAGGCAACTAAGGTGATATGAAAAGTGGTGTTGCATACCTGCGGATTCCACACTTTAATCTGGAGTGGGCCCTCCTCGATCGGCTTCAGTAATACAGGTTGTGGCCAAGCCCACTTGTTCATGATCCTGAAGAACTTGCCCACAATCACAGATCCAGTCGCCTGGGGGTATAGCTGGCAAACTCTGGCCACCAGCATCGCCCATGCGACACCTCCAGGGAAGCCCACGATGTTCGCGTAGATAGCCCGACCTGTATGAACGAATTAGTCCCACAATCCCAACGAAGCATTCGCAGTATTCTTACGCTGAGCCCAGAGCTTGATTGCGCGAAGTGCGAGGCGGAACGTCTTTTGTTGAGGAACGAGCTCCAGAATCTCGTCAGTGACACGAGTGCCGTTGAGTGAGCGAACCTCAGCTTCAGTCAGTCCCCGGAGATAGTCATTGTTTTTGAGGTCTAAGTTCATTGGCACGCAGGGGACAAGCAAACGTCCAAAAATCAAATCGATACTAATACCCGACAGCTCGAGTTTGATGATAGGAACAAAAGCATCCGGAACTGGCGTCATCTTCTCAATCGCACCGGCGGGGGCCATTCGTTCTAGCACAGGAGGAAAATCGGCGAAGAAATCGTCGATCAGGACATGCTTGGGTCCAACCACAAGGGTATCAATATCCGATCCTGTCGCACAAACAGCGGTTAGTACCGTCAAAGCATTGGATTCTGCCCAAAGAGAGCTCACCTGGCCCATAGACGCCGAGACGGTAACTCCCGAAAGAGAAGATCTTCCCTCCTGCTGCTTCCACCGCGGCAGGAGAGAGTCCCTTCTTGCGGCTGACCACTTTGACGAATTCCACCGCAACTCGTTGCAACAATTGCAGCATTTGTTTTCTGGAGTGACCATATTAGCAACACAACCCCTGTGTTATGTTGGGGCTGATTGATCACCCACCTTCGCTCAGTCTCTGACGGCGCTTCGAAATTGTTCTGAGCCTTGAGCTCAGCGATCAGATTATCGTTCGCGACAAGCTCATCTTGGGTCGGAAGAGCAGTTGAGATCGGGGGAGTGACTCCCCATTGCCGTGTGGGTGGTGCTGCCATTGTGGTCGCGTTGGTGATGGGCGTCGCACGCCTGTCGAGGGAGGGTAGGGATTAGATATCGGTGGGAGGAGTCGAGGTGAAAGTGATGCGCCGATGACAAGAACCAGACGTGGCGGGAGTGAATCGGATGAGAACAGAAAAGAAAACAAACGAGGACAGGACGAAGACAAAAATGTGAGGAGACAAAGCGAGGGAAGGAGATGCGCGGCAAAGCAAGACAAGCGCCGCGCAGTCACAAAAGGTTGATCGGCCACGGCCTGGGTGCTGACTAACAAAATCACATGATTGCTCATGGAACTGATTATTTCAGCTCAGGCAACGATATCAGAAACTATTTGGGTCAGAAACTGTTTGGGTCAGAAACATTCTGAAAAGGAAGGGGAAGAGTTAGGCGGTTGATGATTGATGAAGAAGTAACTACCTAAGGCAGTTAAACTGCAGAAGGTCACATGACTGTCAAGCAAATTGATTTCATCTGAACATGAAGCAGCAACATCAACTGACGAAATACAAGACATTCTGTGCTACCCGGATCGGTAATAAAGGATCAGCCCAGCACCTCCTCAAGCTTCTCCGCCAGCTTATCCAACACGCTCTTCTGCGCAAAGAAATCAGCCATCTTCTTGTCCAGCCATTCCACATCCTCCTTGCTATCGCCAGGACCTCCAGCCCAGTCTGGATTTCAATCAGCCATTATCCTTGTCCTATATTGTGATAAAGTGGTATACTCACGGCCCCAGATAGAAGGGAAAACCTCCAGCTTGCCAATCCCCGGCTGCATACAAGCAACTTCATACTCCGAGTCCTCGGGGCTACGAGCCACGCCACCACAGTCAGCATTCCATTGCTTAGAAAAACAAAGGGAACTTACGGAAAGTACAGATCGGTCTTCGCCGGCATGACGAGCGTCTTGGCTTTAATGGACGCCATGGCCTTTTCAAAGTCCCCGTTGTACGGCTCCTGCTTCGACACATCGGCATTCTGCCAGGTCTGCGTCATTGTCAATAGGTTCTCGGGATCTGTCCTTGCATGTTAGTTCTTTCCCCCTAACATAGGTATGTATTATGCATCGGTAAGTACCCTTGGAGCACGCCCACTTCTCCCAGAAATTAAGCATAAAGTCCTCGAGATCTTTGTATCCCAGCACGGTTTCATAGAGCTTGTGTCTATAGAATGCCTGGCTGAGACCCCTATTCGTGCACAAAGTGTCAGTTACCGCTAGCCAAAAACAAGAAATATCAAGAGCGGACATCGCATACCATCCAGCATAAACCCTCCCCAAAGCCTTAAGCCCAACCTCCCTCTCCTCCTCTGACCACGTATGCACCTCCGCCGAACTATCCCTAACACCCAACCCCCCAGACCCGGCCGAACGAATCTTCTTAGCCGCAAACAGGGCACTCTTAACCCCCTCCAAAAAGACCTGGTTATGCAACGACGTCTTCGCAGAGCCACAGAACGGAACGACGAAATCCATGAACTCCGGATACTGCGTTGCCCACTGGTAGCTCTGTCCCGCGCCCATGGACCAGCCGACGACGGCGAATAAGTGCGAGATGCCCAAGTGCTTGGTCACAAGTTCGTGCTGGGCGCGCACGTTGTCGTATACCGAGCAACGGGGAAACGGGCCTGGGCTAGCCTGGTTCGATGGCGATGAGGACTGGCTGTTCCCGAAGAGAGCGGGGATGATTATGTAGAAGTTTTGAGGGTTGAGGGTTTTGTCGTTGCCGATCAGCCAGATATTGTCGGATATCACTATGGCAAAGTTTGTTTAGGGGTTTTAAGGGTTCTTATAACTAGGAAGTAAAGGAGAAAAGAGATGCTTACATCCAGAGAACCAAGTCGGATAGACGATCGCCGGCGACGTGGGATCTCCAAAGGTCTTGTACGCGATATGCGCATCGGGAATCTTCTCTCCGCTCTGGAGTTCCCAGTCACCAAGTTTGTAGGTCTCGTAATCTGGCTGCGACATTATTAGTGGTTTGAATGGAAGTTAGGCCGAATAGTATGCGAGTTTACTTGCCTGATGGCCGATGACCCTGCTTTATAGTTGGAGATAAACGGTGACCCCGCCCGATTCTCCGCACGATAGACGGCTTAAGCCGGGTACGATCGCAATCAGTTTGTCATAAAATCTTAGCATGCAGCTTATGATATTTTCGATGTGCTTGGTTATAGTTAGGAGGAGTTTTGATGGCTTTGTAAGTTGTGGGTCTATTTAGTTAACTACTTAGTTATCTGGGATTGCTTAGCAATTAGTGATGCTATTCTCACCGGATAAAGGTTGCCAGCACGTACCTACCGCCTTCTTTTCAATGGACTTGATCTACATAAGAACCTTGACTACAGGCTCTAAGCACCTTCACTCTATCTCTTTCACTTCTCTCCTGCGTTGTAAACGATCTCTTGTCAAGACCAACAGTTTTGGCCCTGACTATTGCTTATCACCCTGATAAGCAGGAATGACCAATCAAGGAAATTACCAATGCATCACTTAGGTTATTTGTTTAACTCATGTATCTTATTTCAATATTGGTAATAACGTCTCCAATCTGACAAATTGTGTCTCTCACATATGTCGTGTGCTATGCCCTATGTAATGCTCATGTCTCATTCCAGTTCTATCAGATCTAAATCACCCAACTAAAAGTGAGGTCTAGGTATTTCAATCGCATCGGTAGTCCGGCCGTAGGAGATTCCACCCAACCGACTAATCGGCTTGAGCACTTTGAGATCGACGACGCTGCGCTCCTCGTCGATGGCGTCCTCTCTCACCCAGAACCGAACACCCTCAATGATTGCCAGAACGCCCGTCTTTTTCCCGGGAGTAGCCCGGCTTTCAAACTCCTTGGTCTCGACAAGCGTGCCCTCGATCGCAAGGATCGACTCTTTCACGCGGGCAGGCTTCACCACGGACGTGGGTGCTTGGTGCAGACCGGAAACCTCCCACTCGGAGTGGCCGTAGGGGGCATTGATGGCAGTTGCGTTGGCCGCCTCGACGAAATGCTCCGAAATGATGTTGATCACGCACTCCTTTGTCTCATGGAGGTTCTTCAGCGTATCCTTGGCTTTCTCCAGAGCTCCTACGAATCCAACAATGAACAGCGGAGGATCATGATTGATGACCTGTGCATAGCTAAATGGCGCGAGATTCGTTGTCTGACCATCCATAGACTTGGTGCTAATCAGGGCGATTGGCCGGGGCACCATGCCCGAAATCAAAAGCTTGTAATTGGACGCCACAGGGCGGCCCTCGGCGTGCGGGTCGATCTCGACATGTTCCTTCTTGAGGCTCTCGCCGCCATCGTTGGCGCCGTCCCCGTTCGCCCACTCCGGGTTCGGGGGCTTGAAGAAAGTGACTTCGGTATCGCGGCGGAAATCCGGCCGGGCGGCTTGGGTCTTTGCGAAATCGGGACCGACTTTGAACATGGCGGAGGTCTGGCTCAGGGATCGCTTGGCTGTGACGAGAGAACCAGAGGGGCGGCGGAGGCTGAGGCGACTAGAGCATCACCACGTCAGCTTATGTTGCCCCAAGGCTCCAAACAGGGCGTTCATGCCTGTGGAGTGACGTTGAAATAAAACCGGGATGATAACCTAAAAGGATTGCCTGGTGGTGTGTATAGTACTTACAGCGGATGATGAGAATGCTTCCAAGAATTGCGGATGGTGTGTGAGGCGAGGGAGGAATAATGCATGGAGGTGGTTGCAGAAGCTCTTATCGCAATCCATCCCAAACTCCCGGGCAGCAGACCGAGATGAGCCTTTGTATTGCCACTAAGAATGGTGTTGCCACAGCCCAGCGGAGGACGACCCTGGTCAGTCGTGCGTGGGGATAGTGTACTTCGTGCGTGGGGATAGTGGTGTACTGCCGACGCTCGGGCCGAACACTCTCAACACCCACGACTCCCCAAGCAATATACCCGACTAGACAGAAGGAGAGACAGGGTTATTTCTCCACATGTCAACAAGGTTCAAGAGCATGGAGCCTTGGGTATGACAGCATGCCAGCATCCCGATCCATGAAGGTCCGTGTCCTCTCGTCCATCATGATGATGTATATTGATTGCCTGTCCGGATAGTGTGTCTTCTAGAATTGTTCTCTGTCGCGCAAGACGTGGAGACACCAGCATTGACCGACTGGTCCGTGTGGACTGTAAATGGCGGAAAATTCGAGGCAAACCCACCGGCCCCATGTTGGTGACCCCGGAGTTCTGGACACTTTTGCGGAGAAGGTAGGCGAGGTGATGATCTAGAGGGCCAAACTCCCGATTCCCCGGCACTTGGTCTGCAGGAACAATCCAGCCGTCATGATGGTTGCCAGAAAGGATACCACAGTGGTATGGATGGTCCGTCGAGGAGGTAGAGAGACTGGAGACTGACCCACCAGGGCAACAAGTCCCATGACCGACAGAAATCATGTAAACCAACAAACATGGGCGGTCAAGCGAGGCCCAACACGCTGGGACCGACTCTCGTGATTAGATTAGTTGTCTGTTAGTTAGTGAACTTAGGTAACTACAGTCCTCGGTCCCCTCTTTGTTACTCGTCCTCTCTCTCTCGCCTCCCCTCCCCTCCCCATCATCGCTTCCCTCCCTGCCGAGCATTTTTGCCCTCATCCCTTCTCCATGATCGCCCTTCCCGACTCCCTGCGCTTCTCTCACGACCTCCCCTATCGCTTCATCTGCCCTGCCAGCCTGTGGTAACCTAGAGCAGCCTAATGGGTCGTGATCACGGATGATCTTTCGCTCGCGATGAGCGTCCCTTCTCCCAAGAAGAAAAACGGCGGCATTGTTCCCCCTCCTCCTCCTCCGAGACAGATCCGCTTTGTCGCAACCGACGGCCAACCGCAAACCAAACGCCGTCGAGTCAACGCCGCGTACGTTGCCCTATCATGAACGGGAGATACTACTACTAACATACCCCAAGTTGTCTAACATGCCGTCGGCGCAAGATCCGATGTTCCGGTGAACAACCAGGTAGGATTGCGCGGAGATTCCTTGGATATACAACCTGCTCACCGGCTCGCCACAGTGTGCAAAACATGCTCCGACTACAAACACATCTGCCTCGGCTACAGCGAATCCACCGCCCACCTACGATCGCAATCGGATTCCGCGTCCCGCGCACCCCCCATAGCCGCCGCCCTTCGCGCGCAACATGATCCGAACAGTCAGCATGCCACGCGTGCCGTCGAAAGCAGCTCCCCAGATCCTGCACCGATATTCATGCCTCCACTGACCATTGACAAGTCACCCCGGGCATCGAATAAAACGGAACTGAAGGACCTGTCCAGAGATACATCGCTGCGCACAAACAAGGAGTCGGATTCGCAAGCGGCGGAAGACAGTCCAGAGAGCAGTCGCACTTCGATGAGCTCCAGCAATCGCACTCATGTCCCTTATTTTCGATATTTCGGGCCTACCGCCATTGTCCCCGGTTTCAAACAGATGGTGGTCCAAGTTCGGGGTTCCCGCAAGAGCAATGCATCGTTGTCCTCCGAGTCCCTTTCGCCTTTGCGGAGCCCTAAAGTGTTGGATACAGGAGTAGCACCTGTCGCTGGTGTAACAGACACTGGTGAAAACCGCGATGCCAATACGATCCCATTTTACGACAGTGATGATGCCCTTCCTGTCTCAAATCTGGTCTCCCATCTCTGTGATCTTTTCTTCGCTCATCTTGGCTGTAACTTCCCCTTCCTACAACGGGAGAGGTTCCTCCAAGACCTCAAAGACAAGAAAGTCGATACTATGCTGGTGGATGCAGTCTGTTCCTTGGCTGCCCGATTTTCGCCTCATCCATTACTCGGTCCTCCGCAAGCTCAACCTATTGATCGATCTCAGCCGCCACCTGATATCAACAAATGGGACCGCGGTCAACCCTTTGCCCACCGAGCGATGAGCGCACTCGTGGATTCTTTGTCATGCCCAACACTGTCTGCCGTTCAATCGTGCTTGCTGCTGGCTTATGAACAGTTCGGTTCCAACCATGACAGTGGCCTGTGGATGTATCTGGGTATCTCAATCCGGATGGCGCAAGATCTAGGCTTGCAAAAGTTCCAAGGATTGAAGCACAAATATGGCTTGAGCGGCGTGACACCAAGCGAAGTTATGACGGGACAGGTGGGAAAACTGAGAGAAGATCAGTACGATGACTTCGAGGCTTCTCAAAAGGCAGCAACGAGGCCTCCTCCGGTGGATACAGAGCGCGCCAGAGAGCGGGAACGAGTGGACTCCTTTTGGAGCATTTTCTTCCTCGATCGAGTCATCTCTTCGGGGACTGGACGACCCGTAACGCTACGAGACGAGGATATTGAGTTACGCTTTCCCTTGCAGTCCGAATCACAGCTTCCAAACGGATGGCCAGCACCATTTCCACCCTTGATCCGTATAATCCATCTCTACGGGCGAGTGACGGATCTCATCAACGGTATTCAGGATGTCAATCACGTTACATCGGACACGCTCAAAAGACTAGCCGGGATGGAAAGTGATTTGACTGGCATCTATCAGCGTCTGTCGCCGAAGCTTCATTTCAATGCAGCCAACTTCCAAGCGTACGTCAAGGCGAAAGAGGGAACTAACTTTATTCTTCTGCACTTTTGGTTCCATACCCTCATTGTTCTCCTTCACCAGCCGACCTTGTTGAACTCGTTTGGTGGGTCTATCCAGCACCTGTATCCAAATAGTCGCGAGCTGTCGATGTCTTCCGCCAAAACCATTGCCGATATCCTGTCCTTTTCGGAATTAGTGGATGGAAAAAGTTTCATTGGCAATCCTTTCACCAGTCAGCCCATGTACATTGCAGCGTGCGCTTTTCTCATGGAGAGTGCCTATTACTCGTCACCTTCCTCAAGATCGGGCTCACCGCCGCCCCAACCGTTGCTGGCAAACCAGTCCAGTGGCTTTGTCATGCCAACCATGGAGTCGTCGTCAAATGGGACGGAACGCAAATCCACAGCCAAGCACATTTTGCTGGCCTCTGCTGCCAAGGAGAACTACCAACGGTGCTACAAGGCGCTCAAGGCTTTGAACACCTATTGGGAGGGTACCCGGTACATCTTGACTGTCCTCGACCAAAAGGCCAAAGGCAGCGTTGACCCCCTCCTTTACACGGCCGAGGATATGGAGAACGCCTCGGAGGATGGTCTTGTCCAGCCGTTACCTCCGACTAGCTGGCGCCGGGCCAAGACCCCCGGGGACGCCGGAGTGGCTGACATTTCGACTGATGGGACGTGGTCCCCGAAGATCGATCCCAGTCAGGGTAAGCACAAGGATGCCTTGGTTTCTGGATGTCCCGCTGACTCTTTACAAGCAATTGGATGGGCCCTCACGGGAGCCACGAATTCTTCCCAACCCAATCTGAGTGTGCTGTATCAGATGCCTAACACCCAGGGCGAGTCTCCATCCAACAAGCCAACATTCTCATCGCAATACAGCCACACCTATCCACCATTGCCAGTGCAGTCACATGCTGGGGAAGGATCGAGCACCTCCTATTCACAGACTATTACCCCTGGCACTCAAGACGAAGTCAGGACACCCCTTTCCTCCGCAAATGCAAAGTACACCCAAGTTCCATCCGGGTCGATGAACACCCCCGACTCGACATACTACCTCGGCATGAATCAATCCTACCCGGAATCAGGCTCTCGCACGTCCGCCGCAACACAGTCACCCTACAACCAGCCTCTACCATCCTCTAGCCAGACACCAGCCTATAATTACCCACTGCCTTCAGCCGCCAGCCAACAACCAGGCAGTAGCCACATGGGATCAAGAGGAACCGAACTCCACCATCCAAACATGAGCTCGCACGCGGGAGGCATGATGATCGAAAGCCACGACGTGGACGTCAACGCCCTCCAACACCCTGACGCCTTCCCTTTCTCCAACGGCGAAATCCTGCCGTGGCTCGAGTACCTGCCGCAGGACGTGCTCAGCTTTTTCGAGGAGCACCAAAACTACCCAATGATGAGCCCCGATAATCCCACGCCCCGGAACGCTCCATGATGCTTTCTTTCACTTGTGTATATGTATTCTTTTGGCGAAATCTGCATTTACTCGTTCATATCTAGCGATTGGGCCGTTTTCGTTTCTTCTGTTCGTGTTTCATCTCAGGATATGGCAGGGGAGCTCTTTGGATTTTCGACCCAATTCTTTATTATTTAGATCACCCTTCCTGGGATTTGGTTGTTAGGGGGGTCTTTTGCGAAACATTGGCCACTTCTTCTGTTGTTGAATTTGTGCATCGGCTTTTTTTCGTTCGATGACTATGTGCACATTATACTTGAGTTATGACTTGGATCTTGACCTGATATAAGTCAAATGAAAAATGACTATTCAACCCTTATAGACGTAATTTATCTCTTTCTTGTCCGATCTATGGAATCTGCATCGTTGTACGTGCTCACGTGACACGCCTCCGCCCAACCGCAACCTCGGGGCTGATACCGTCGAGTCTCTCTCACTACTCCAGTCATACATTGCTTTTGTTTTACCAGAGGGGATAGCCGTCCGACATGTCTACCGGAAAGCTGGCCCAGGCCTGTGCATACTGCAACAGGAAAAAGGTATCGCTGAGCAGCCTCCGGATTGAACTACTTGCATAGCACGCCCACTAATCGAGGTTATAGATCAAGTGTGAATTTCTAGCAGATCAGGGCTCATGCTTGACATGTACAAGTCAAGGTATTGAGTGCATGTATGGCGCTGTCCCCAAAATATCACAGGCAATCACTGACCTCTCACGAGACGTCGGACAAGAAAAAGGCCCCGACGGGCTACTGATCATTCTTTCACGAACAGATCGGACTTATCAGAAGATTTATTAAACTTGCAGAAATCTCCAAGGCGTATCTCAGGGCCTATTCAACTGCTCTCAGTCTCCACAATGGAAGAGCAGACATTTCCGAGCTCTCGTCTTGTAACGCCGAATCCCCACAGTACGCGCCAAAGAATACCCATCGGATCAGAAAATACAGGCGATAATCAAAATCCAGAGTCGACTACCTATATTGGTCGATCACACTATATTGACCAAGACACTCCAATCGACGAGGACTCATCTCGCGCCTACCCATCCTATCAATCAAACGAACTTACCGGACTCCGAGACTCCGTTCTGCACATGTTCAAAGCTTTCGACCTCCCCCCACGATCCATCCGGCAAGCCCTCATCGACAACTTTCTCCAATTCTGCCATCCATGGACGCCGATTCTATCGCATGCCGAGCTGGATTTTGAAACAAAAAAACATCCATCGCTCCTGCTCATCCAATCTTTATTTCTGGCTGCAAGCAGAGCGTCGCTTTCACCTGGTGTTCTGGCTTTTGCAACACCGGAACAATTCTACCAGCGGGCAAAAACACTCTTTTTCGTTAATCATGAAGAGAATCCCCTTGCGGTTATCAAAGCTACCATCATGCTGCAGTGGTATACCCCCGACGGACCGGAGCATGTCTCCTATGATGCAGGAGAGTTTTGGCTTAAGACTGGTGTTGGGATTGCATATCAGGTGGGCTTGCACAAGGATCCTGGGGAGGGGCGAGACGCGTCTATGAGAAGGCGGCTTTGGTGGAGCTTGGTGGTAAGTGTTGCTATTATAGTGTTGCCTTGTCGATGAAGAGAGAGTTATTGACTCGTTATTTATATGCACAGGTCAGAGATGCGCTCATGTCAGTTGCGCATGGTCGACCGAGAGCCATCAACTTCGAAGATGTGAATGTGGCTCCGCTGTGTGCAGCCGATTTTGAGGACTGTTTGGCCGGTGATGCCGAGTCATTCATACACTATGCGGATATTTGCTTCATTCTGGGAGATATTACAGAATCGTGTTCGCGGAATTCATTAACCAAAGCTAAAAAGGAATACTATCAGAGCCAAATATTTCGCTGGCCAAGGGTCTTACCCACACATCTTCGAATCTCTCATCTCAGCGCCAATAATGCAGACGAATACTCCCTCTGCGGATACGACCTCAACACGCGCCAACTACACATCCCATATTTCATCAGCCTAGCCATCCTCGGCCGTCCAAGCACAAGAAACACGATATCCGCGCAGGGTATTCTGGCAGCGTCTTTCGTTGCGGGTATTTTCCAGGAACTTCTCGTCCGCGACGATATTGGACACCTCGCTCCAATTTTCACACGCTATTGCGTCGCGTCAAGCTTCTTCCTCGTGTCGCTAAGATCAATCCCTGAACTATGGGATGCGTGCCAGCCCGATCTGGAAGTCCTCCGCTTATGCCTGAAGGAACTCAGCAAGCGCTGGAAATCAGCAATCGGTGGGTCGAAAGCCTTGGAGTCGATACTCAATACGCAACGACATAATGCGACCCCGATGAATAAACGGTTGTTGCCGCTCACTCGGGAGCAGCATTTCTTCTTTGATGGGTTTCCGCTCGAGCTTTGTCACATGTGGACGCCTTGCACAACATTCTACCAGGGAGCGGCAGCGAACGCGGGTCACTTTACGCAGTATGCACAGGATCACAGTCTAATCGACGCGGCTCAAGGTCGCGGTATTGAGCCTATTGTCTCTACAGCGCCGTTTACATCTGTTGATGAGCAGGAAATAGAGGTTCTGCCGTTGGCGGATTTCTTGGTTGATGGTTTGGATAATTGGCTTAGCGAGGAGGCATCGGCTGTCTAGATTCTGTACCATAATCAAAGATTGTTAATCTCGTCTGTCCGATTTAGAGCGAATCACCGACCTGCCCGCTTCGGCGTTGGACACAGATTCCCGGATGCCGAGAGCGATGTGGGTCCGGGGTTTCGTGGAGGGGACAAACCCCGAACGGAACATGATGGGTCTGTAGTGTCAATCTGTTAAGATAATCTCGGCACGTATTAAAGCTAGATTGTCTACTGAGCCGTAGTAGTTGGCGGTTCAAATAATTCAAACCCTATTACTGACGGCGTTCCCCATGGCTACTACACTGAACACAGACCGCATCCAGTTGGTGACTCCGCATGTTGGTCGCAATGTGCTACCCAACTGCCCGCTGTTCACCAAGCTCCTTCGGTTCGCTCGGCGTAAGCACCTCGCGATAAGGGACAATATGCTCCAAGTCGAGAAGTCGTACGGCGATCTCTTGGCAGATGTCTTGGCCTACCGGGCGTACCTGGAGTCGTCGTTGAACAAAGATGTTTTGCAGCGAATTGAGCGCAATGAGGAGGTTTATGTGGGTATATTAGCTGCAGGTGGCTATGAGTTTACCGTTGGTATTCTCGCTGTCATTGCACTCGGAGCAGCAGTCGTGCCGATGAGTATGATGATCTCCCAATCAACGAAAAAGAACAGTTACTTACCAAAGGAACAGCAATTCAGAATCCCGTTGCAGAGGGTGCATATTTTGTACAGAAAGCCCAGCAAGTGGCCATTGTGCACTCAACTTCTGCGAGCAAGCTTGCCCACTCAATCAAGGCATATATCAATCACCGCGGCAGTAACCTCCAATGCTTCGATATCCTGCCTCACCTGCCGAAGGAGTCCAACATAACGCCCTACGACATCAGCATCTCTTCTACCAGAAGCCTAGATGGAAATGCTCCCGGGGTCGTCATCTTCACATCCGGTACAACGGGCAAACCGAAGGGTTCCGTAATGCGTCGTCTATACACGGACGAAAACGCCACCGCCGTCGGAGACGGCTACGACATCGTCCCAACAGATGTGGGCCTGCATGTTCTCCCAGTGCATCATACAACGGGTCTGGGCACATCTTTCTTTGCCTTCCTGAACTTCGGCGCATGTATCGAGTTCAAAACGGACAGTTTTGATCCAGAATGGATCTGGAACCGCTTCAAAGCAGGCGGAATCACTGTTTTCTCAGCTGTGCCGACGATATACATGCGATTACAGTGGTATTTCGAAAAACATATCGCTACTCTCCCCCCAGCAGAAAAGGCAGAGTATGTTGCCGCGGCGAGGAAGTTGCGTGCAGTGCTCTGTGGCTCGAGTGCTCTGTCGGCGTCCGTTCAGACTTTCTGGACGAATCTTCGGCAACAACCTATTTTGGCTCGGTATGGGGCATCAGAGCTCCCTGGGTGTATAAAGGTCAGCGCGGAGCCTGATCCTAATCTCCCTGCCGGCTCCATTGGCACAGTTATTCCTGGATTGGAAGTGAAGCTCACTGAAGGTGATCAAGGCGAGCTTCTGGTCAAGTCGCCTTGGATGTTCTGCAAGTATGTAAATTTCTACTTATTTGATATGGAACGCTAACTAATATGGAAACATAGGTATTTGTATGACGATAAAGCTACGCTCGAAGCTCACGATGAACAAGGCTACTTCAAGACAGGTGACATCGCCCGTCGCGAGGGGCCTTACTACTTCATTCTTGGTCGTGTAAGTGTCGATATCATCAAGTCAGGCGGATATAAAATCTCCGCTCTTGACATCGAGCGTGAAATTCTCGAGCTGCCTTATGTATCTGAGGCTACGGTCGTCGGCGTTGCAGATGAAGAATTCGGTCAACGAGTTGCAGCTGCCCTTCTCTTAAAGGGAGAGCAGCGCCCAACGGCCGGTTTCACCATTGATAATCTCAGGGAGGACCTGAGGCAGAAGCTGCCAGGTTACAAGCTGCCAACGGTGCTGAGAGTTGTGGATGCCGAACTGCCGAAAGGGCCGACGGGGAAAATCCAGAAAAAGATCTTGGGACCGAAGCTTTTCCCGGTACCTGGTTGGAGGGAAAGCAAGGAGATTCAGGTGTGGGAGAAGAAGGTTGTTGCAAGGGCGAACCTGTGATTAGGTACTTCCCTATGGTACAGCAATATTCGAAAGCAGATATACCAGCGCTCTTTTACGATTCCCGAACCCTAGCCTGAAACAGCTAATCTACATACAGTGTGGTAGTAGATCCTCCGTTTCCCAGAATAGACCTTGTGTTTTACTGGTGACGCGCGCTATCCTGGCTGTAACCCCTAAAATGATGCGACATTGTGGCCAAAAAACAGTCGAGTAGCGGAGACAGTGGTGGTTTCGGTTTGTGCAGAAATTAGGCCAGAGGTGAGTAGAAAGTAGGAGGTGACCTTGGAGTTATATAATGAAAAAGCTGTCAGGGAAGTTGATCTGAGGGAGGACATGAAGATAGGTGGGATGGGGACAATATGGCATCGCATGGGGAAACAATATACCCAGCGACAGGCCCGGGATCCGTTCGAGAACAGTATGGGGGTGAAGGGAAAGGGAAAGAATTCCGATAATAGTCAAATGGAATCCTTGCACGGATATGTAGCAGGATAAAGCGCTGTTATCAAGAGCATCTAGCGTATCGCAGATGGGCACCTGACGTTGGTGAGATCTTGAATGATGTATTTACACGAAAGTGCTATAAACCTGTCCTCTAGTTCGATCGCGACGCCAATAAGACCCTTTCGTGGTCCCTTGTGAGCCCCTCATATTTAATACAGCAATAAATACCTTACTCTCGCCGGCATAAGTGGTCTTCCAAGTCGGTTAAGGCTGACATTCCGAAATGATCCCTACCACTCGAGCCCATTCCGTCTTGCTCGGGTTACGCCACTTGTGTAACGTGGATCGTTGAATCACCATATCGCCTGGCTTGATCGTGCGGGTCTCATCGTTAGACAAAGTGAGCTCGACTTCGCCTATGAGCACGATAATAATGTCGAGGCTGACGGTGCGGTGCATCGGGCCTTCCGCGTCGGGAGGAATATCGTTATACCACACGTTAGCACCGCCGCCTGGCGTGACGAGTGGGACCTGGGTCTGCAAGGCGGCTTTGTAGCGCTCGAGATCATTTTTGTTGCTGAGCGAGACGGGAGATTTCTCGGTCTGGTAACCTAGCCTCTGGAGACCGCCGCCAAGTTCACTACCAACTTCCACAGATGCAGGTAAGTCGGTAGAAAAGAAGGAGTTTCCATCTACATCGTTATCGGTGATATATCGATTTGGATTTGGGAGCCTGTTGCTGGTCATGATAAGCTATTGTATCGATTTTGTAAAGCGAGAGAGTCAGAAGGGTTCGAGGTAGTACGGGGTGCAAGAACAGGGGAAACCTGTAGGACATGTACCCGCCCCCAAGTTGGGCCCCACGTGGTGGGGGCCGCCACATTTGAATAGACATCATGCTAAAGTTTATTTTGCGATATCTGGCTAGAAAAGATAAGTCTTGCTTTTTGTTCAGATTACATACACACGAAAAAGAAGACTTCATGATGCACACCTATCTCATAAGGTACTACGAACATGATTGGGGGAACGCTCCGAGAAACGCCATGCATTTACTCATATAAGCATTGTGGCAATTATCGTGATAGTCCTCGCAAAGAGGAGGACCTTGTGTAGACTGTTTGCTTTATTTATCGCCCACATAAGTAACACTAAGAGTATATTCCCCCGTTTTCCTTTTTCTTTGAGGATATACACAATGCTCGGGATCGAAGACATCCCGCTCACATCACGGTTCAAGTCTTCAGATTATTGCACGTCACCCAGAGACAGATAAAGGAAGATCAAATACAGTCAATAGTATAGGGACTTCACTTCATGTAGTTACTTCCTAACTAGATACAAGCATCTTAGAATTCCATTCAAACAACGCATGCATCCTAACCATCGCGTAGACCTCAACGCTTAGGTGTACCAGGTAGGCTCCGGCAGTTCATGCAAAAGCGCATACCGTCCAAGTTCCCGATTCTTATAAGCCACCGGATCATGCAGCGTATGCGTTCTCAGATCTCTCCAGAACCGATCCAAGCCCACTTTCAGCGCCGTCGCACGCGCTCCAGTCACTTCGAACACGCCGGAGGTCACACGAAGTCCAACATCGGTTGTAACAACCTTGACGCTGGCAACCCATTCAGCCACCTCTCCTCGATCCTGCGCTGTCACGCCCTCCCTGTTCGTTGAGTGCTGGTTATACAAGTTGGACAGCTGCTCGCCCGCTCGATCAGCTAGGGCTTCGGCAGCGCGCAGATGCGCAAGGAAGTTACCGTATCGCTCGAGTATGTAGAATTCGTCCGTTGCGGAGTCTTTGTTGTCGCCTCCAAAGGGCCAGGCGCGCGTTGAGGCAGTCGTATACTTCGCTGCGAATTCTAGAGCCCCGATGGCTATGCCCAGGTAGAAGTTGCTGAAGACGAGTTGGATACTGCCAGTGCATGTCAGTATAAATTGAATAAAAGCAATTAAAGAGCGATTCCTTACGTAGGCAAGAGTAAACTGGCAAACGGAATCAGCAAAATATCGGCGCGCGGCTTCTTAGTTTCTGCATCCCAGCCAAGCGCATCCCTCCACGGAGCCCGGACATCCTTGATCGTGACTCCGCCCGATTCAGTCAAGCGCAGACCGATATTGTGCCAGTTATGGGCAAATTGGATGCCCAGCTGAACGGTGGGCACCAAGGCAAAGATATGGTCGTTCGTTCCTTCCAGCACGCCTTCCAGGACTGTGACATCGGATACTACACCGCCGGTATTGAAGTGCTTAGATCCATTGAAGATAATTTCATCTCCATCAGAGGTAATGCGCAGATCGTTATCGCGTGGGTTCACGGCTCCGCCGACGAAATAATTGTTGGAGATGATCAGTTCCTGGGTGCGCTCTGCTTGCTCGGCGGTGCCGACGACGTTCGCTGTCGTTGACCAGAGAAGGTGATAGCCAAGGAGCATGCCAATGGAACTAGGTATCCGGTTAGATATGGAAGCTTGATTTAGCGGTGTCATGATGGGCGGTATATCTTACCCATCTGCCTTGGCCACCTCACGAATTGCTTTATATCCAACATCCCAAGATTGCGCACCGCCGCCGTACTTCTTCGGGCCAAGAAGCTTCAGCAGGCCGGAATGCTTGAGTAGGGCCACCTCCGCGCGCGGGGATTTATTCTCCTGGTCTCGTTGCGCCGCGTCCTGCGCCAATACGGCAGCAACTTCGCGTGCTCGTTCTAGCCATGCGTCTGCCGTGTCGGGGTAGTTAGCCCATTTAGCCTCGTACGAGGCGTAAACGGACGGGTCTGTGACTGGGACAATTTTTTGTGTCATTGTTGGATACAATATATGAGTCTAGTCAGCGGGGTAACTCGGTCAAAGTTAACAAATCCTTTACATTTTGGAGGGAAAGCCTTGTATATCTATTCAAGTGATCTGGCAAGACAAATGGCTTGATTGCGAGCTATCGGCCGACAATGATGGCTTGTCAATTGTTTGCATCATTTTCGTCAAGTCGTTGAAATATGTCGTTATCAGGTAGGAGATGCAGATCGTTGGAGGGTAACGCTGTCCATTGGGCACGGACGTCGTTGACGCAATTCTCGTTCGAGAAAACTCAAAAGCTAACAAAATGTTCCCAAATTTAATCATTCGTGATATTTTATAATGCTCACGTATTCTGTAGTGTTTTTGTAGACGCATATTTTTATGCCTAATGCCGAAAATGCTACATTGGGAGCCAGAGAAGCGTACTTCTGCTAAGGAACTAGCAGAGGACAAGAAATCTGATTAAGAATTTATGAATGTATATTAAAGAAGCGATGAATAATGATCTCCCATCACCAAGTATCACCACTCAACTCTACTCGCCCTTCTTCGTCTTCCCAAAGTATCTTGAAGTATCACCCAAGGGCAGATCCAGAAGTGAGTCCTTTAGCAGCAAATGGAAAACAATATACCACCCCACCAAGCCAGCAAGAAAACAAAACACTCCGCCCGATTTCTTCAGCGCAGTAGAAGCGGCAGAATGGCCGTCCGCTTCAGCAAAGTAGCTTGCCGCGACCGTGAGGAAACCAAGATCAACTAGGAAAAAGACCAAAATATAGGCCAGATTGCTGGGAAGCGAGGCGATGAGAAATGTGAAAACGAAGACTGTCCACAGAATCATGAAGAAGCCCACCGCATTATTATATTGGGTCGTGTCATTGCCGTATGCTTGTTCTATGCCGAACGCAGGCGTGAGGAGAGCACCGTAACCGGCATAGAAGAGACCTACCAGAGAGGAACCTATCAGCCTCGAGATGTTTTCCAGAGTAATCTTTGAGACTCACCAAATGCACTGAAAACAGTATATGCGAAGCCATTCCCGATAGATAACTCCCATTGCGCGGTGACCACCAGCCCAAATGCTGCGATGAAGAAGAAATTCGCAACGTAGACATTTGTCGTGGTGACACCTCTCCATTCCATTAGACTCAGCGAGAGAGTCGTCAGTGTCGTGCCAAACGCTCCAAGAGCCAATGCAGACTAAAGTTCGGTGTTAGAGATTCGGGGGTCTCATAGATTCATCTCAGACTTTACCCCTGCTCCTAGGGATTTAGGAGTCTCAGCTATAGAGGAACCAGCTGGATTCTGTTTCTCAACATCAACTGGACTGTTATATTCGTTGTTGATAGCCTCTTTGGCTGCTGTGGAGGTCATGTTGAATGGAAATAGTGAATTCACAGCGGAGGAATAATAAAAACTTATGATTTGGAGAATGGCTAACGAGTTCTCGTTATTCACCATGCTAAAATATTATTCTACTAACGATTTGGATCCTTCATTGCATCATTGTCAATGATGATGGCGAGGATATAGTTCTGCACGACGACATCGAATGATTTACACTAATGGACTCGCTTCGGGTGGATGGCAAAAGAATTAAGTTCCTTTGCAAAGGCCTATTTTGAGAAATTTTCTGATATTACATGACATGTCGGCCGAGAAGAGGTTGCGCAATTAGTATGCAGATGATGTGCTTGTTTGTGGTTTTCACGTGGGCTGGGAACGTGCAATCTACACATCATCAAAAATGAAAACTAAACCCAACTGCCATTCCCCATGGATTGGCTTTCTTATCTCCTTTGAAGAAGTTCAGAGTATGATGATGATGAATTCATTCAGACAATGTAGCTCGCTTTTTGTACATGCTGCTATGCGGGAATGCTATCAGGCGGGCCTGACGGCGAGAAAATGACTCCCAGAGCCCACTGTAGTCCTGATGTCTGATCTGGATGCCAGACCGTATGACCTTTCAAAGAATAGATCGCGTGAAAAGAAAAACAAAAGAAAGAAATGGCTATTTTCACCCTAAGTTCCCACTGTCCGACCGCCCAAAATCCAGCTACCTACACGTCCTCACTACACCCCGGTCTGTCAATCCTCGATTTCAAAAATAGCCTCCGGAGTTATTCAATTGAGGAAAGTCTAGGGATGCCAAAGCCTTGTAGCCAAAACAGCGCGCCAGTATGAATGTATGGGGGCTGAGAATGAGCGACGGATCGTCGATTATTTCAAGCAGAGCGAAATTATTTCTCACTTAAATCCATTATGACCATTCCATGTTAAAATAGCGAGTCTCCAGCCGAAATAACACTTACACTTGTGATGTCCCTAGGAATTGTTTCGTGTGTACCGATTTGAGCTCCACCAGAAAAATGGGAGGGCCTCCGTCAGGATCCTTCGGGATGGAGAACTGCAGAGAATGTCTGACGAGTCTCGACTGGAGGTTTTGAGAAGTACCTCATTTTCGGCGATTTCTGCAAGTCTGGATGCAGGTTCGCCGATTCTTCTCCACTTATCCGACCTGATTGTTCCTACGATAAGAAAGATAATTGCTTCCACTTCATTTGATTTGGTCCGAACTTTCGAAATTGGTACGTTGCTACCCCACTATTTCGGATTATCGGCGTTCCCTACCAACACCGGCTTTCCAGCTGCACTTATCCTTAGCAAAACTTGCGGTGACTTAAAGGAGAATCTCAAAGTCGAATTTGGATCACGTCTATCTAACGCGATGTCCTCTGTTAACGCCCCGAAAATGGATACAAGACGCCTGGGTTCTGATCTATCGCTGAAGAAGAGAAGAGGAATAATCGCGTGCGCCAGATGCCGGACCCGAAAGGTCCGGTGTAATGTCCAAAATGGATTCCCTTGTCATAATTGCCAAACCGACAAGATTCTGTGCTCCATTCCTGAGCCGAAACGCAAGAGATCACGATTTCGCAAAGAGTGAGTGGTGGAAAACCGAGTCAATTGATCTGGAGCTAACATACCGGCCACAAAACCAGAGCGTATAGGCTTTGGCAATCAAGCTGCGCGGAAAGTGCATACGAAGGTCCACTGGAAGGTTCAGAGATGAGACGTCATCAAGAGAGTTCGCCTATGGCTTGTCCATCAAATCATCCGACAGTTTCAGCACCACGATACCCGGATTCTTCCAACTCAATAACGACGCCTTCTGCCTCCTCAGAAAGCGTCGGAGTTGATGCAGATGAGCAAATCGCCGAGTGGATCCTATCCTGTCCCATTTCTCTCGGCACTGAACTGCCCGGGGATTTACTGTCTACGCTTATTTCCATCTCGGCTGGCACTGGTGAATACCCTCAGAGGTCAACGCCGCCGGGGCCAGTATTTCGGAAGTGTTTGAAGCACGTCGACAACGCTATAGCAGGCCAACCTACAGCAAAATCTACAGCACAATCAGCTAAAGAAGGCCATGTTGAAAACCTGACAAAAATCAGCAATAATCTCTTGGCCCTATCTCAAAAGCTCTGCGACACATTGCGCTGCTCTGCCGATCTCGCAGATCTACATTGCTCGTCGGAGGCCCCGAAAACTCCGGAAGCTCCGACAGTGACCCATGGAATTATTGAGGCGAAAGGATGGTGTTCAGATGACAAGACTCTTGAAAATTGCCCCTGGGATGCAAGCGAGTATATTCTTCCATACGGCTTTGACTCCGTGCTGGAGCTGTTGAATACGGAAACGACGTGATATCGAGAACCCGGAGGCGCGTAGGCTGATTTTCTTTTTTTTTTTTTTTTTTTTTTTTGGCTTGAGGAATGCCCTTTTCAGATATTCCCACCCAAATTCTTTGTACAGAAAATATGAAGCTGCCTAAAACTTTATACTGGAAAGTACCCCCGTACTACCCTTGGGAGGTCATCGAGGACAACCTTGGAAGCAGCGATGCATAAATGTACACATATCATTGGCAGTATGGGTAAATGCCGGGGTCGCCGCCCCACATTTAAGGGCCGAGCCCCGGCGTTTACATTCCCCGGATATTCCCCAGATTTTCAGATCGGAAGCCCCGTAGTCTTGTCACAGGAGGGGGATGATATAAAGCCTGCACATCTTTCCCGAGTTGGTGAGTGTCTCCCCCTGTCCAAAATTCTGAGTAGCGAGATCCAACTCTCAGGGCCAGTACAACACCATGACTGCCGCTCCTCTCAGCTTCCTTGGCCAGCGCGGCTCGCGCCTGAAGGTTGCGATGGTCGTGTTGGTGGTGATGCCCAGTTTCTTGCTGTTTGGATACAATAACGGGTCTACCGGAGGAATTACTGAACTTCCAACGTTTGTCTCTGTTCGTAAACCCCTCTCTGTTTTCTTCAGCAGTCACTGACGAATCTTTAGCAATTCCCGGCTTTGGACACAGTGAACACAACCGGTGCGCAAGCATCGCATAACGCAGTCATACTTGGTATTTCAATCCGCGTATCTTTGTTTCTTTCGCGTTGGCTAATACTTTTACAGGTGTCGTTACGGCCTCCTACGACCTCGGCGCAGTCTGTGGAGCCCTTTCGTGTATCGCATTCGGTGACAAGATCGGTCGCCGCCGATCTATCTTCTGCGGGTTGGTACTCTCAGTGGTCGCTTTGGCCATCGAGTCATCCGCATTTGCTCTGTCACAGTTTATCATTGGACGGCTCTTGGTCGGGGGCGCCATTGGTATGATTTCTGCCAGCATCCCTGTATGGCAGACGGAGTGCTCCACCACAGCGCACAGAGGAGCGTTCGTTATTATGGAAGGCATTTTTATTAGTGCAGGGGTTTCACTACCAAATTGGGTCAACTTTGGCTTCTTTTCAGCATGGTCGAACTCCGCCCAATGGCGCTCCACTATCGTCCTGCCGGTCGTGTTTTCTTTCTTCGCCATGGCCTTTTTGTTCTTCATGCCAGAGAGTCCCCGATGGCTTGCGCGAAAGGGCAGAATGAATGAATCTCGAGCAGTACTGGCTGCATTGATGGATCAGCCAACTGATAGCCACGAGGTGAATGCCGAGATGAATCATATTCACGCACAACTCGAGGCCACCCGGGGCAGTTTCAAGCTCTTCTTCAAAGGCAGCAACCAGCGCTATTTACATCGCACCATTATTGCTGGTATCGCGCAAAGCATGACACAATGGTGTGGCTGCTCTGCACTCATCTTCTACACCTCAACGGTGTTCAGTGGTTTGGGCTTCACAGGCACTCCCGTCCGCTTGCTTAGCGCAGGCCTAGTGACCTCCTTTACTCTTTCAGCATGCATTCCTTTATTTACAGTGGACCGTGTTGGAAGGCGTGTTCTCTTCATGGTCAGTGCCGGGGGCATGGCCATTTCGATGGCCGTTTTGGCCGGCACCAGCGGCAAGATGAACATGGCCCCGGTGTCCACCGCTTTCTCTTTTCCTCTACGCATGCTTTTACGCCCAGGGATTCCTTGGTCTGCCCTTTTTATACGCGGGCGAAATTGCGACTATTCGGATGCGCGCCCCGATTGTGGCTGTCGCTGTGACAGGACAGTGGCTGGGCCAGTTTGTTGTGGGCCAGATTACGCCACCGGGAACTACGAACCTGAAGAACCGTTACTGGATTATTTATGCCGTTCTCAACGCTGTCTTTGTACCAATCGTCTATTTCTTCTTTCCAGAGACAAGCGGAAGATCTCTGGAAGAGATTGATGATATCTTCCAGCGGTCGAACACATGGAATCTGGTCAGGAATGCTGCATCCATGCCGAAGGATAGGGATCTTGACGCCGCTGATCTGGAGAAGAAGTATGCCCTTGACTCTATGACACCAGACAAGGAAAGCTCCATTGATGAGGTTGAAAATGCGGGTGTCTGATTGGGCGTCGGGTAACAAGTTTCTGGGGATACTGTAGATAATTAGGCTTGAAATCTTCTTTTGTATGACTTTTCTATCCGTTTTTCGTAATGATACATTCACCGAATATTGTAACTGACAGATGGTACAGCAGGGCCGAGACTTAATCTGGCAATGGGATATGCTAGTAGTGTATCCTCTTCTCTACCAGGGTTCTGGGACTGTGCTCAAAGCTTGTGTCGCTTTGCACCTGTCCTCATCTTCTCAAACTCTTTCTGCGGAATACCCTGGACCTGTCTATCAAGACCTTCGAACAACTCCAACACATTCTGTTCATCCATCTCTCGATTCTGTCGATGCCGAATTAAAGCCTTGATCCGCAACATACTAGAACCCACCAGATGCGGACCCATCTTGTCATTGACATCCTTCAAAACGGCCTCCAAGAATCCCTCCTGCGGGAGAATGTGGTTGACAAATCCCACTGCGCGCAATTCCTCGGCGGGTATCCTCCGGCTTTGGATCAAGGCCTCGCTCGCCTTCGAAATTCCCATCCGTTGTACAAATCCGTAGCTTGCTCCACCCTCTGCCACTAAACCCAGGCTGCTAAACGGCGTCATAACGAACGCGGTGGGGACTGAATAGATAAAATCGGAGAATGAGATCAACGCGGCGGCGAGACCGATAGCCGGTCCGTTCAAAGCCGTCACCAGGATCTTTGGGTGCGTGTGGAATGCTCGGGTGATATTGAGGTTGTTAGCGACTGTTTGTTGAAGCCCGTGACGGAAGATGTCAGTCCCTGGTGGAGTGGCTCGTGAAATGGAGACATCGGCTCCTCTGGAGAGAGAAGAGGTGAGCAGAATTAAATAGCAGTGTCAGATTGTAACTAGGACTCACGCTGAAAAATACCTCCCAGCACCTGTCAGAACCGTAATCAGTACCTCATCGTGAGTAGCGATCTCGCGAAGGTACTTGGCGATTTGATAGAATCCATCTTTGCTTTGCGCGTTGAGTTTCTTCGGGTTATTGAGAGTAACGATGGCGACGGGGCCACGGTATTCAAGAAGAACGGGTTCGGCCATGTTGAATAATGGTGAAACTGGATGTCTAATAGCCGGGTGAGAATTGGAGGTGGTCACACATGCGGGGATATTTATTGCGTGTAGTAGAATCGTGGAGTCGGCGATCAACTCGGCAATGCCAAGCAATGATGCCGGCGTTTCGGTGATTGGGCTTGCTGTAGTGTGGAACATGGGTAACAGAGTGCTGCCAGATAATGTCTTTGGAAAAGAGAACACTACAGTAATATTCCATTAATAGTTGCGCCAGTCTATTTAGACGCCAGATGCCAATCAATGCGATGCCTTTTCGTCACCACTGGCATGTCCAGCTGCCAGTTACGTGCATTTCCATCCAACTTCACAAGTACCTCACATTCAGCCATAGACATCATTTAGACAATGGGAGAATTTAAGATTCAGTATTATTATTCCAATTTAATTCACTTGCAACACATCCATGGATATCAACGGTTCACGTTGGTTACTGTTCGGAATGTATAGTTCCTCACGGTTGCCCCAACAACGCGGCGGTGGAAGCCTGTCAACAACGGCGAACGTGGGATCGTCCGATCAGCTTGTTGTCCGACAGCCACCCTCGTGGACTCAACTGCCGTCTCCCATGGCGAGATTGAACGACGACTCGCGTCGGGATTCATCCTGCACATCGGATCCCGCACGTCACGACGCCGATTCCGCAGGCGAAGACACCGGGCCCGACTCCGAACACAATTCATCCGCATCATCCACGCGTCAATCAGCAAGCGACATCTTCGGCCGCGACATGGACGAGGAACTGGAACAGCTAAAATCAACAACGTCCAGTCGCTCGTCCCTGTCTTCAGGGCCAACATCCGTCCTCGTGCACTCCCTCGACGACCTGAAATCTGCGCATTCAATGGATCCCCACGAAAAAGTCTCCCTATACACCACCCACGAAGATGACGAGGCAGTATTTGGTGGTTTCGGAAATCCGCCGCGATCAATACACACTCTTCGTACGCGCGAAGCTGCTTTCCGCAAACCGAGCTCTGTGAGGGCAATGCAGATGCACACAGAGGACGAAGCGGATGAGGACGACTACTTGACACCCCCGAGACGCCGACCAGGGTTGCGATCGCCTGGCTCCTCCCCGCTGAAACGCTCGCCATACTATTCACCCAGCGCATCTGCGAAGAAGCACACGGTTCAAAAGGAATACCCACTTGTACTCCTTCATTGCAATTTGCTCTCGCCGTCCCTGCCTATACCTGGCGCGGCTGACCCTCATAATCACAAACTTCTTGCCGAGGTCCTACCGCCACCGTATTGGAAGCGATGGCAGAGATTGCAGGAGAAAGTTGGGTCCGGTGTACTACGTGACCGAGGCGTGCTGATTACCCACCCGGAGGATATGTATGATTTGTTGGAGGAACGATTGCTGGAAAGTCTGGAACTACGACGCTCTAGGCTTCACAACGGCCACTTCCTGAGTAGCGATGATGGAAATCCGGACTCGGAGGAAGATTTCTCGGATAGGGGAGAAAGCGAGACGGATGGTGAGCAGGGCGAGGAGTGTCCCGATTGCGGAGGCCGTTATTTGCGGCATGCAGACGAGAACCGCAAATGGGAGATCAGAGTATTCGCAGCAAATGGCCTGATGCGTGCCGGAGCTTGGGCAACTGCTTGGAAGGAAATGGAGAAAGTCGATGTCGAGGTCGGGCTCTGGTTGCCGCCAGATGTTCGCCGAGATCTGAAGAGAAGATTGTCACAGGAGCGGACAATGATCTTGGAAAATGTTGACTCTCGGGCATCTCTCAGGAGTGATACAGAGCTCCAGGGCACTGAGGGCCTACGTTTGCCTGTTTCGCAACATCTTCGAACGCCCAGCAATACAAGCACCTTCCTACCCGACAATTCGCCATCACCCTTTCCAGCTCCTCAACATCGACCAGACTCCGGAGCATCCGGTAGCCCAGTCAGCAAGCAGCCTGAGATTGCCTTGCAAACGCTTATCATCAACTATATCCGCGTGCTAGCAAGCGACAGACGAAACGTTGCGCTATTCGTGCTGAGCATTCTCGTGGCCTTTCTTTCCATAGGTTCTTGGCAGCAACAGCCACCGCAATATTCCGATATGCGGCCATTCCCCCACGACATGTTTGAGTCGGCCTCGGTGTCAAGTGTTAGCGTTATGCAGTCTTCACTATCCTCGGCAAGCATTGATGCCACCGGTAGCAGCGCGATTTCTAGCCCGCTGAATGATATCCCGGTAGCCCAGACAATGATACCGGTTGTTAAAGAGGAGGCTGTTTCTTTGTCGCGCTCTGTCGAGTTTTCGGTGTCACCAACAGGCGAGCCAGAGGAGCAATCAGCAGAACCGGATCTTTTGGATGAAGTTCAATCTGGCACATCAGAAACGGTGGAAGAATCATACTGATACAGTCCGGCTCAGGGAGGAGCCGGCACTTCAAAGAGGTGGATGTTCTCTTCTTTCTCTTACGACGGAACGATATAAGGCGAAATGGTAGGATCGGGTATTATAGTTATTCTGGTTGTGTTCTTTAGCCACTTGCCTCTTTCTCTGTTGATCGATGTTAAATTCAGGCTTGTTTTGAATATCCATTGCCGACGCTATCATTCGTTATGATGATTCCCAAGCCAAAGCGACACCTCTCAGGAGTAATGACCAGCAGAGGGCACGCATGCCATGCCATGCAATGCAGTTGAGAAGGAACGCTGAAGCTACCTAGCAGATCGTCCAGAAACTAGGCTCCAGGCGGCCCTCTCCGCGTGATTTGCACAGACCTCACTACCGGTTTCCAAGGAATTCCACAAGTTTTTCGTACGCTTTTGTGTAATTTTACGTAGTTAGGTACAGTACAGTCGGATTCGAAAGTAGCTTTTACGCTTTACACAGAGGAGCTATCTAGGCCCAATTCAGCTCGGCTGCAGGTCAACCTCGTACATCATCAAGGTATATAGGGACAAAGGCGCTGAAACCCACATCCACCTGCCCAGTCTTAAGTAATAGCTTCAATACCGCCCTGGATGCGTGCTTCGCAGCCAGGTCCCAATTAGTATATTCATCACCGCCCCATATCCATGCTTCGCAGCCAGGGATAATGGTATGAGACCTCTGTTGTTCTTCGGGTCCACGCCAATCTGGCCTGTCTCAAGTAATAACTTCACCAACGCCATACGTCCAAATGTTGCGGCATAGGACAACGGGTTGTCCGAGCCAAAATAGTCAGTCGAGTCCACCTCCGCCTGGCCTTTCTCAAGGAATAGCTTCAGTATCGCCTCACATTCAAGCGCGGCTAGAGACAATGGCGTCCAACCTTCATAGTCCTTCAGGACCACATCGACCTGCCCTGTCTCAAGTAATAGCTTCCTCACCTCCTTATATCCAAGCTTAGCAATCTGGGATAATGACTTGTAAGCTAGGGTGTCCTCCGAGTCCACATCAATCTGGACTGCCTCAAGTAATAACTTCACCACCGCCTCACGTCTAAACCTTGCGGCCCAGGACAACGGTGTCCGGCCGGAATAGTCAGTCGAGTCCACCTTCACCTGGCCTATCTCAAGTAATAGCCTCACTATCGCCACACGTCCCTCCCTCGCGGCGTAGGACAATGGTGTCCAGTTTTCATTGTCCCTCGAGTTCACATCCACTTGCCCGGTCTCAAGTAATAGCTTTACTACCGACTCGTGTCCATGCTTCGCAGCCCAAGAAAATGGTGTACGGCATTCAAAGTCCTTCGAGTCCACATCCACTTGCCCAGTTTCAAGTAACAGCTTCACTACCACGTCATGACCATTTTGCGCAGCCCAGGATAATGGTGTCCATCCCTCGGAGTCTTTCAACTCCACAACCACCTGCTCTCTCTCAAGTAACCGCTTCACCATGTCTTCACGTCCGTGCCGCGCAGCCCAGGATGATAGTTTCCGGAAAATTGATGTCCTCTCGGAGTTTTTCGAGTTCAAAATCGGATGCCCTGTCCCAAGTAATAGCTCCACCATCGCCTCATGTCCGTGCTGCGCGGCCCAGGATAATGGTGTCCGGTCCCCGCTATCCGTCACTCTGACTTTAGCCCCTTCCTGGACGCATATTCGAGCTGTAGCCACGTTCCCATGTTGAGCAGCCCACAGCAGAGCGGAATTTGAGCCTCGAGAATTCAGTCTATAGAGATATGGATTAAGGAGAGCGTGGAGTCGTCTGTTTGTTTGAGCCAAAGAGTTGATATCTCGTTCTGTCTCCAGGAAGGTCGCTAGTTGTAGTAGTAATTCAGAGGGTAAATGAAGCAGAACCATTGAACTGAGGCACAAATAATGTTGCGCGGTGTTCTGAGCTGGGGCGAAGATTTGGGTGTTTGAAAAAACCATTTATGAGCAATGAGGGGCAGCGAGTAATGGCTGTATCGCTATTTCGGGTAATTTACTGCATTCGTTAGCTTATAGTATCTTCGTATATACATTCCGGTATTTCGAAACAATCTAATTTTAGGTATAGATTAGCTCGATCCAACTAAGGTCCTAGAAACAAATTCGCTGTGCAAAACATGGAAGCCAATTTCGAATATAAGTGTACCCGGGGGGCTTGCAGTCAAGGTCCGCCCTGCCAAGCACATCAGTCTTACAACACTGGGCCTGGGTATAGAGCAGCGATGTAGGGCAAATGGGCCCAACCATGCCTCCGCTATTGCCTCCATTGCCTCCATTGACAAAGCCACCATTAGTTCCCGGCTCATTGAGGGGCACAGCAAGAACCGGAACCAGAAATAGGAATAGGGCGACAAGCCTCATGTTGACGGGTAGGCAAGCCGCTGCTGGCACATAGATCCTGGGTCTTAAATTTTTCGGCCAGACATTGAAGAATCAAGGCATTACAGGTCCAACTGACAGGATAGTCCCGGAAATTCCCAATACATAGACTAGTGAGTTTTGGCAGAGGGGATGCAGAATCAATCGAAGAGTGTAGGTGGTCGCACCACTTTCGGGACGTACTGTGGTACCAAATTCTGTCCTGTATATGACATTCCCAGATATCGTCCATCTAACCATACCCCTCACCCTATACACTTACCCACTGTCAAGAGGATTCGGCTTCGTCCAGCCTATACTCCAAAGGAATAACAGGCCAGTGGTCAACCCCATCCAAAATCGCCAGAGCCATACCTCCGCTCTGATGCATCTGGATATGGCAATGCATAAAAAACGCCCCCGGGTTAACAACCTGGTACCTAATGGCCAACCAGGTTGGCTCGTTCAGCGGAAGAGGCGTGGGGGATGTATCTCTATACTGCGGAGTCTCGAGATTAAAGGAGTCCGGGATAAACTGCATCGCCTCCGCAACTGACGAGTAGTTGAAAGTACCATTGCCCTGGCCGATGACGAAGTGCTTGTTGGAATGTTTGTGTATTGGATGCCGCGGCTGGCCAACTGTAGTTACCTGCAGAATGAGGTCGATCCAGGTATTGTTCTTGGTGCGGATGTACAGGTAAGATGGGATGGAGGACTCGTTGAAGAGAAGGGGCTGTGACTCTTCAAATCCTATATTGAAGGATTGATTGGCCAGTTTCCAGATGTATGAGGAGTTGATCTGGCCGATGTTGAGGATGTAAGTTGCAGCGACGTCGGTGGAAGGCGCTATGACCGGGAAAGGCACGACTTGGCTCTCATCGAAGAGAATTGTCTCCTCGGTAGCATTTATGCCTGCAGGTGTGATCCACGGGTTGGACGGCCTGTGCAGTTTGTTTGTGGCCTCGTAGTGCATTGTCGCTGTGACGTTGAGAACCTGGTTCGCGCTTGCGCTGGCCACTCGGACTGTGTAGTCGCCCGCTGGTTTGTTCAGTGGAATCATTACTGAGTATCGGTTTGCGTTGGGGACGATGACGGCGTCGGCGAGCTGAGGCTCGATGTAGCGTCCGTCAATGGCGTAGACGTACATCTCGTGCTCGTCCACGGAGAAAATCATCTCGAGGACACCGGCGGAGCTGATCAAGTCCCAGCTTACATACTGAGCAGCTGGGTTGACATTAAATCGCGCATGAGAGGCCTCGGTGGGTACACATCCATCAAACATGCCCGGTAGTAGAGCGCTATAGTTGTGAGGGTAAGCACCCTGTGCGGCGATAAGATCAGGAGGTAGACAACTAAAGACTTCTGTTAGCATGAATTTTCTCTCTCCTCTCACGTATCATATTACACTCACCCCAGGTCTGTCAAGGTCTCGTTCCCCAGAAACGGTTGCAGTCCCGTTTCGTTGACGAAGGAAGCAAGCTCAGCCTGCGAGAAACAATTCACGGAGCCCATTCCGTTGATCAAAAGCGCATTTGCACAGAGTGCATCAACTCCAGAGGCTTCTTCGGCACTCCAGATTTGCTCCGATGTATACCGCTTCCAATCAGACAGCATGATCGGGGATGTGTTCTTTTCCGCCTCCAGCATAGCCTTGAGGTCGGTCGAGCTGTTGCTGATAAGATCAAAAGGCCGCTCCACCGAACGGGCGGGGGCGATATAAATTGGTCCATAAAGTCCATCATCAATCTGACCGCGGTGATGGGCATGGTAGAAGTAAGCACCGTACTGATCTGCGTTCCATTGGTAAAGGAATGAGCCGCCTTGTGGAATTGGTCGCTGAGACACGCCCGGGGTACCGTCAGACCATGGTGTACCACGCTGCTCGATTCCTAGATTTCTGTATAAGTAAAAAAGCTCATCAAAGTATCGGACAAGCCAGTCTTACCGTGGAAATGCACAGTCACCGAGAAAGGGCAGTCATTTTGAACATAAAACTCGACATTGTCACTCTGGTCCAAAGACAATTGTGGGGCAGGAAATTGGCCATTGGTATGTATCATCGGTCTAGTGATGCCCGCAACAGTTCGATTTTCCCATGTCAGGGTGATAGCAAAGTACTTGGTGGCGGCAGATGCCCACTGTGCAAGGCACAAGGCCGCGACCAGGAACCAACTGCCAAAAGGGATCTTCATGATGAGCAACTCGAGACACTTAGATTGCAGTTCAGCCAGCCAAAGACTTGAACAAGCAGAGCTCCTGTTGGATCATAACTTGTTTATATATTGTTCAGCGCAGCCCCAGGAGGGAGTCAACGCCAGCTACAGCCCATTCCGACTCAGACCAGGGATCCTGGGGTGCACGATGGTACATGGTATAGGAGACATGCAGGATCTATCTGCCGATGAACGGTTGCAGTAGTGAGAATAATGGTCCTTCCAGCGGGTGCAGTCGGGAATCGGAGACCTCTACCAATAGACAGCGGTCTGTCGGCTGAACCAGTTCATGCGAACCCCGACATATAGCGCCGGGATTGTGAGTTTAGATCGGCCACGAGGCCAATCATGGTACAGATCCCGGTCCAGGGCGCTGGCTGGGGCCACTACTAACTCGCAGCGAGGCCTTAATCCGGCAAAAGGGCGATCCACGGGTACCAGATCTTGGGGTGTCGCAAGATCGATCTCGGGGAGAGTTTTGTCCCGATTCAGTGGTCCTGCAATGTGATAATTAGGAAGACGCAATGAGCCGTGATTCCTTTTGTTGACAAGGACCCTCGTGACTGTAACCCCATTGGTCATTGGCAAAGCCTCACTTCAGTAGTCGGGTGGAGTGCCACGAACGAATGAACGTAGGACGACCAGCAGAGGTTCCATAGCCATGGGGCGTCTGACTCAGGTCGGACTTTGGCAGGTCAGACAGAGTGAGTGTCGATGAATATAGTGGGTGGGAACAAAGAAAAAGGTCAGTCGATTTGGCTATCAGCTGCGACTCAACCAGTCACCACCTGGGAATATCGGCTCCACGTGCCCAGGGTTGGATTCAGGTACGCAATCACCGCAATAGCCGGGCCAGGAGTGCAGAGAATACGATCGTGTGGAAGCCAGGTTTAAAATCGAGCTACCCTCCACGAGAATGAGGCGCGGTGGAAAAAGAAAAAACCCCAAAATGCATTCGTTATATGATCCCACGATTATCGTCAGTAGATATGCCCCCACAAGCCGAGTTCCAGGTGAACAAAAAAAAAATAAAACCATGAACTTTTCCCACCCAATAGTGTATATCAAATCCGTCTCAAAACTATATCACAAATTCCCAAAATCATCATGAAATGCAGACATCACGTTGGGCAGCGTGTGCCGCAGGAGGGCGGTCCTTTTTAAAATCACACACGATATCAGGCTGCAGATCTGGGTTCAGCTATCCCTGACCCTCAACGTGGTCATTAAACCTCTGCGCCCCGTCTGACTGCAAGCCCGCTGCGTCATCATCAAGATTAATCTTGCTGTAGTTGTCGTTTAAGCGCTGCAGGAATGCCGGATCGAACCCCATTTGCACCAACGGATCAGTTGGCCTTTCACCGGGCGCCGAGGAGGGTTGAGTCGGGAAGGCTGAGGAGGGGTGAGTGGGAAAGCTGCCGCCCCAATCCGTCGACAATGAGGGCTCAGCTCCAGCGGAGATCACCCCGGTACTCCCGGCGTAGCTGCCCGAAAGACTGCCTGCTCCGCTGTGAACGGCAGGCGAAAATCCCGTTCTGGGGTAAGCAGGGCTTTTGATACTGGGGCTAGATACGCCAGAGGTATTGAATGAGCCTTGGCATACTGCTCGAGCAAGGATGTTGGTGTCCTGCGGCGTAGCATGCAGTCCGCCCTGGAGTGCAAATGGTGGTTGCATGCCCAGGTCGGCAAAGTTGATGTCGTTGATATCCATGCTCGTATCTAGGCCAGTATCCCGCTTGAGTACACCTAGCCATAGCCGGTTATCGGCGCAGGTTTGGTTCCACGGGTCATCACATCCGTAGATAATCCGGCGGGCTTCTGCTTGTAACATCTGGTCGGTGGGATGGACTCCCTGAGCAACTTGGTTATGAATGTACTCGGAGAGCTCTCGTGACAGCCTCAGGTAGCAATTGGCATCGGTCGGGACACTGAGGTTCGGGGTCGAGCCCGCCTCCTGGGCCTGGGCGGTGGTCCAGGGATCCAGAGAACGCCATTCATAGTCAATCATGTACGGCGGAATTGCATTCTCCACGCGGTTCATGATTGCAGGCTCAAACCCCCAGTCTCCTTGCCATTGAGCCATGAGGGCCCCGTTCTTGAAGTGGCTAGCCAAGTGATCTACTCGGTCTTTCCAGGTGTTGAAGGTGGTACCACAGAAGCCACAGCGAGACTTGATGTCGTTAATGGTACTCCGCCATGTCTCCATGGGAGATTGGAACTTGGCATTGTGCATCAGACGGAGATGCTGATTGAGATGATCCTTGCGGTAGAAGGTCCTCTCCTGAATGGTCTTCTCTTGACAACTCATATAGTCGTGGGTTTCCAGGTGTGGGCCGTCCGGGTTCTCCATCAGGCAGAATACACAGCGAGACGTACCATTGTCATTTGTTATACCTCCGTGAGGCGAACAGGTCCATTTCTCGAGGACGAGGTGCATGGATTTTTCATGCCGCTGCCAATCGTATTTGGCGGGGAAGGAATCGGTGCAGAAGGTGCATTGATATGGACGAACGGCTTTCACCTTGTGTTGATTGAATGTATTGATCGGCCCGGATGCTTTGCGGCGGCGACGACGTTCTTTTCGATCCATTGAGTTGAACGAGCCACGGGATCGATGGGAGAAGGCAGACGCAAAAGAAAAGTCCGAGAGCGACGAGTGACTAGTCTCTAGGCTGCTAGCCGACGCGGAGCGGATCTTATGTTCGGAGCTCGCGTGGCTTGAGTCATTCGTACTGGACCAGGGGCGCCTCACGTGACCGCTGCCTGGAGGGGATTCGAACGGTGGGTTGGCCAGAGCACGACTGATGTCGCTGATCGTGGCTGCTTCGTTCTCGGGGGGCGAGTACTCCCAACGTTCCAGGGGGGTCATGAGCGACACATCCACGGGGCGGGCGTGGGGGATGTCCACGGCACCCGGCACGGGCGAATTGGTCCCAGAACGCACTTTGCCGCGGCGTCGGGCGTTGGCGAGCCAGTTGGAGATCTGTGTTCTGGTCAAGCCCGTGTGTTCTTTCAGGTCGTCCTTTTCCTGCTCGGTGGGATAAGGGTACTCGTGGTGGTGCCGGAGCCAGCTCTTCAGCACATTCACGGCCCGGCGAGACAGGCGGGCGTTGCTCTTTCGAGAGCGCGCATCCGGGTCATCAGCCCGAGAGCCGTAGGAAACGGACTTGAGGGCTTTCTTCCCCGTCAAGCCGCCAGTCTCCGTGAGAACGTTCTCGGACACTGTATGTAAGGTGTCCAGGAACTTTCCAGGGGCTTTGGTGTGCGTGAAGCTGCACTCGCGGTAGAGAGAGATACAGCACGAGCAACCATTCTGCATCACACCACGATTCCATATGAAGCAGTCGAAGCCCATACGCCGACAGAAATCACAGGGTTCCTGGGCACGCGTCATCGGATAGACCGCGGTGTCGGGCTCGACCGGCTGGGCGAACTCAGCCGTAGCGAGCGGGTCATTGGGGAAGTCCAGTGGCTGGTCCTGGAGCAGGGTATCGAAATTGGCCTCGCGCTCGTCCGCATCATCAAACTCAATATCAACCGAGGCGACATCGTCGGCCGGGTGGTTGGAAGAGCCATGCGCAGACGAGGCACCTTCAAAATCAAAGTACTCCATGTTGCTGCTGCTTGGAGGCAGCCAACGATGTTAAGAATGAACCGTGTTAATCGTCAGAAAGAGAGGTTGGCAACCAGAAGACACGGTATGGAAACGAGAAGAATGGAAGAGTCGGTCAGAAAGCGCAACCGTGGTCTGGGGTACCAAGAGCATGAATAATCAATCCTAGTGGGACCACCAGCAGCCTTGGCGCTAAGATTAGCTAGAAAACCTGCGGGAACAAGAATAATCAGTGATCCTGACGCTCGATCAGCACGGCCAGGATCAGTCCGTCCACAGGATGTGATTGAGACGGCTGCCGAAGATCGGGGTTGACCGACACTGAATGCCCGGAGACAGAGTCCAGGTCCGGCGCCGATCAGATCCACGCCCTGTGGTTGACAACGCCTTGCCTGTTCGGGTAAGGCGCGGGCGGGGTGTCTGTCATGATTCATCTCAGTTGGCATCGCGATATCGGGACACACACAGACAGAGATGGAGAACACGAACACGAGCCTGTGCACATGCGGCACTTTCAGCCGAACCCCGCAGGATAAAAGTACAGGATGCATCAGCCACAAAACTTAGTTGAGAATTTAAATAGAGACACGATCCCTGGTACTTTGTATACTTATTCATGTCTCTCTCGTGATTCGGATTCAATCTTGGACTACTAATTCGTCATGTAATCTGACGTGCCCCTTGTTTTCTAGAAATGGTCAGATCCCGTGAAATCTGGCTTACTGCTCGGATCCGATCGACTTTTCGAGGCAGAGTGAGAATTTGCCCAAGGCGTTCAGGCCGCCGATTGAGTCATCGGTCGGGCTTTTTTTGACTATCTCCGGATTTTCGGGCCGAACAGAGGCCAAGAGTGATTTTAGCTAGGAGAGCCTCTAGAAGTAGAGAGAGTTATAACTTACTATATACTGAGGAGGTCACATACTCAATCCGCACTACTGTACTTCGTGCAGTGGGCGAACATTGCCGATCTATATATTTCTAACCTGCATATGCATAGTTTAGTTAACGGACAGGCATCCATCGCTCATTTATTTCTCACATCTCACTATATCATACCATATTCCCCTCGACCCTCACAGTTGCCCTGTGGTGCATTTCTTTACTTCGTGGGATATAGCGTGGTTTTCTCTGTATTCGATCCGTCCCTCATGGGCATACAGCCCTCTGCGCACCCTCTTCACTACGTGAGAATTGCTCTAGAAGTAACCAGAAGAAAAGTTAAGTGAATAACTCTTATTCGTACCCGGATCTATGTAGGAGCGACGAGAGAAGAAAGCCAAATCGCACGGTGTCTACCCCGATGCGAACCTCAAAAGTCAACAAAGACTTCAAGACGTGGCAGTTGACTCATCCCTATCTGCCATTA